CAGGGTATTATGCCGATAATGCTTTATGCTCAGACCTGGGTATTTATGGCGATTATACCCATAAGTAAAATGCTAGTTGTGCTAGTTTTTTCATATAAGTAAAATGCTATATGAAATTTTGTTTAACACATTTTATCATCATTTTACTATCCTTACAGGGTAATAATTGCAAAAAAACATCTAAATCTTCTCTAACTTTAATAAAAATTATAAATACCCAGTTTTTGGGTATTTACCCGGGCCTGGGGTAAAAACCCGGGTAAATACCCAATTTATATTTACCTACCCACTGGGTATTTACCCGACCCACATCACTAATAATAGGTCTTAATAAGATTAACATTTTTGAAAAATATCAAAGCTGTATCTCAAACCGTTTAGGAGTTATTGGTTTTTTTGTAAAAAACACATAAATACCGACAGTCGGTAAACTAGACACCACAGACCCATGTTCCTATGGTGAAATGTGTTTGTCTTGACCTAAGGAAGCTATATACAAGTGTCCAGAGAGTTACGGGACACCCTGTATAAACACGTTTTATTAAAATTTTGTACGGCTATACTAAGTCATAAGTCATTTATTTAGCCAAATTAACCAAATACAATCAGCGTTAGCCATGTCAAAATAAACTAAAATACAAAACTTCTTACTAAAATACAAAACTTCTTACTAAAATACAAAACTTCTTATGTAGTACATTTTTATACTATTTACAATCGGTCATGACTACCAGCCAAAAAATCCCGGACGCTGTAGTAAACCCCATTCAAGAGCAGTCTCTTCACTGTTCGTTTGAAAGTCTGCTCGGTCTTCAACCCCAGAGGAAGGCTATTTTACAGCTTTGTAGCGTTGTACTGAAAATGATGTTGGAAGAATGAAGTGGAGTGTTTGGGGATGGGAATGTTGTTAGTGTTTCGAAGAGAATACTGGTGACAAGAAGCAACATCAAACATTTCAAGATTCTTTTTTACAAACGACAGCGTCTCCAAAATGTACAAAGAAGGAAATGGTAAAATTTTATACTGCCTAAAGATTTCCCTGCAAGATTGTTTTTTTGAGAGGGAGAAGATTACTCTTATAGCCTTCTTTTGGAGACGAAACAATAGCAGAGTCCTACTAAGCTGTATGTACATACACTGATAATAATCTTGATAGAATCATAGATTAAAGAGCAGACACAGATACGGTACCTCACGTCACGAGATAAGGAAGTAGCGAAAGCCGCATAGGTATTTGATCAAGTGATGTCGCTGTTTTTGCGTTTGATCTTGATGCACCCCGTGTTGCTACTATTCTTGTCATGGTAAGCATTTTTTTGTGAACACTACTCCTCCCTTATTTTTGGACCAATTTAAACGTTTGGGGTGTCAAATGATTTGTCTCAATTTGTAATTTTGCAATAAGGGTTTAGAATTTATAAATTCTTACCCTTAAGGGCGCGAGGTGTAAGAAAGATTCTTACCCCCTATGTCCTCTCCAAAAGAATGGCTACAGTTAATAAAGATTTTATACCAAACCTTTGACTGACCAAACACTACACGCCGATGTTATTCATCGGTGCGGACGTGTTGCGACCATGATTGTTATTGTGCTGCGCTAGCTCTAGCAACAAGTTCGGTGTCAGCTGGCATGACGTCATCGGGTGACGTCATGGCATGACGTAAGCATGACTCACCCCTCCCCGCCCCTCCTGAGTGCATCACCCTATCCTATCCTTTGTGTCCTTCAAACTTCGATACGTTGAGAATAATGTCACTCAAGCACCAAAACATTAGCTAGAGACCTACAAGTACGGTAGTCAATGAAAATGGATTTTGTTTCCTTTGGAGCAGTGCTGATAGGTTCAACAGCACGGAAAATGAACTCTGCATTAAACTTCTAACATTAAATCTGTAGTTCATAAAAATAAATCTTATCAGGTATTATTGAGTAGTTATAGCAACAGTAGTTTTGATTTACAATATTTATATAATAAAAGTAAATGTTCTAAACATTTATAATTTATAATGGCAATCTATGACTTTATAATTATTTATCTATTGGATATTATTTAATCCAATATGTTGATATTAATTTAATGATGTAGGTAGATCACATTTGGTTAAAATTACGAGGTTAAAAAGAGAAAAGTTTTCTTTAAAATTTTCAAGCAAATGAATTTTATTGGCCCTAAACATGCAAGAAAATAATATAGGCCTACACTTGTAGACCAATAGTTTTTGTCCAAGATAAACTTACTATACTGTAGTAAATGTTCTGGATGTGCAAATGAAGCTAATACCTTCTCTGAAGGGGACTAGTCAAAATAGCTTTAAAAATATCAAGTAAAAGTAAAGTTTATTGGATTGAAATACATTTTCACATCCAGAACATTTACTACGGTAGTTAGTTTATCGTATAGCCATTCTAAAAAGACTGGTAAAGTATAAATTAATTAATTAGATGAAGTTTTACAAACTGTTATTCTCCTCGAGTTATTTAATTGCCGGTCTCTGTGTGCCATAAAAATAGTTGATTTTGGTAGTAAAAGCGGTACAAAATTTTTTTTTTCCCACAAAATCCAATTAGGTAAGCACCTCTAAAGGTATATTTCTATTTGAAACATACCTTTCAGGGGAGAAGCATGTCTCTGACTTGTCAACAGTGGATACTGTCAACCATAAGTTCTGAAACATGTACTTTGGATTACATTTACAAAGTATTCTAATCCTTCAAAAAAGGGCAATAAGAATCATGTTAAATCTGGATGATGAAGAATCGGCCAAAAAATATTTTCCTAAATTAAAAATTCTAACCGTTTACAGCTCATATATATTGCACACTATTATGCATGTGAGGGCTTCTGAAGACAAGGTGCCACTGCTGGGGGATAATCATAGGTATAACACTAGGCATAAAAATTATCCATCCGTAACACAACACAAACTGGAGTTTTATAACAAGAAACCAACAGCTGCAGGTATTAGGTTTTTGTACCATCTACCAAAAGAAATATTTGATATAAAAAACATTAGGTCTTTTAAAAAAAAACTTAAATTGTTACTAATTGATAGAGCATTTTACTCATTTGAAGAGTTTTACAACATGTAATTACATTAATTAAATTTTCCTGTTTTATTTAGTTTAACCAAGTATTTTTAATTAGTAATAAGCTGTTTTGACGCCATTCTGTATTTATGCATATATTTCATGTAGGTATATAATGTATAAATCTTGAATAAAGCTTTTCTGATTCTGATTCTGATTTGTATGTATTTAAACATTATTTTAAGATCTCATACCCAAAGGTCCCATGGATTTTTCATTTATTTAACGGTACCTAATTTTATTATCAATTTCCTTTAACTTGTGAACAAAAATCAAACATCTTATGACACAAGTTTTTGATGGAATATACTCTCTAAAGATGAGTAAAATGTACGAAACTGCTAAGATTTAGTACAGTTCAAAAAGAACCAATCCAGTTCATCAAGATCTATCTGTGAGTTCACAATTTATTTTATCTGTCCCTCTTCTATCAGGTTCTGCCAGATGTAACCTCCCTATTAGTTGTACATTGGTCCCGACTGATGGGATTTGAACCTTTGATGAGACATAGAGCCCGCTTTTGGTGGTGCAAAACCAGTGCAAACATGCAGCCCCTTACTACAAAAAAGTAATATCCCAAACTCAATGTATAATGTTAGTATTTATACTCCCCCTTTGGTTTTCTTCATTGACGTAAAATTCACTGACTTTTTACATTAGCATGTTTTACCAAGCGCCCCCCTCCCCACCCCACCATCCACGAGGCACAGGGTACTGTGCGGCCAAACTTTTCGCACGTGCTCTTGGTTGGTGAGACAACTCAGACCACTTGGCTTGATCATAGATCAGACTTAGCATTTCACCACACTACAATACAGACAAACCCAAAGCTAGAGTAGCACTCGGCTAACCAACACAAGTAGACTTCTCATTCCATTGTAAATTTTGAAGCACGTTTTTCTTGTCTAGTTCATGTCCGGTGATACTGATCGCTAGTGTCGACGACATGTTGCTTCTATTATTTTAGAATTCATTTCATGATTTGTGCTTTACAGTTTGGTTATGGGTACAAGTTAATGTTTGTGATTATATAGTTTTATTTGGCTTAACGAGGCTTTAAATGGCTGTAATAACGGGAAACAAATTGTAAACAAAACACGACCTCTACAGTGCACAGGACAGAACTAATAATAAAATTCGCTTAAGCTGTTCCATAACGAAAATAAATATACTAAAGGAGTATGTTTTATCTATGGTAGCACACGGTCATAAGCTCAATTCTCAGATAACTTAGCTCATTTTGCTTAAGTTATGCTTGAATAGATATGTAAAAAGTTTGGTCATGGGTTTGCATGATGGCAAGTATATAAGATTTAGAAATTTAGAGGGTTAATGGCTTACCCAGACCTTAGAAGTTTATCAGATTCTCTTTGCCGTTTGGTTGACAACCTTGGTAAGACAGATTGTCGCTTATTCTATGCATCACCAGCTTTAGCTTAAGATTTCACTTAATCGTTCCTCATGTCAATTAAGGACTTCTTTAGCATTTCTAATGTGACAAGTCTCATCACATGCATAAAATCTCAACAGCTGTTACAAAATAAAGACGTTTGGGACAGAGTTTTAACGATCGACTAACATAAAATCTTGTCATTTATTTATAGAAAGTGCATACCATGTTGTGAGATTTACTGGATGGGGAAAAAGTGTCTAAAAGATTCTTAACAGTTCATTCTCATTTAAATCCATTTTGTTGGGATAGCCACTTTTATAAAGTTCATATATGTACTTGCACACACTAAGCTTTGACCATAGCAATTTAATTAAAACCAAATAACAACCTGTTCGTGTAGCACTAGCACAGTTCAATGTAAATATATTATAGTTTTTGACGCTTAATTATTTGTTACCCATTCAATTTACAGTACTGTCTGCTGATTTATTTGACCAAAACTTTTGATTTTGATTACCAAAACTGTATGATCATGAGGTCTAAAATATACACATTTTTATACAACAAGATTCAGAGTTTTACATTTTTAAGTTTTGGTATGCAGTATAAAAGTTTAAAACAATGCACACATAGTTTATTCTAAGAGTAATATTTTACAATTTTACACAATTACCTAATTACTTGGACTGATGAGAAATTGAAAATAAAATAATAAAACAATAAATAAATTGTGAATAATAAGTGTTGTAAAATGTAAACAATAAGTTGTATCAAATCATTTTCTACACAGTCTAACAATGTACTTACAACCAAAAGGTTCAAAGACTATTGTCTTATTACTTATCAAAATGTACAAATATTTACAACTAACAAATAAGGCACACTTCATAATAGATCAGACATACTTAATCTTAGTTAGCCCTATATGAATCTTATATAGAAAAATATTAAAAGGAAAAATTACAAACAACAATTGAATTATTGGCCTTGCATTTCAATCAAAATATTAAATAAATAATCAAAAATAGCACATTTTTTTATGATTAACTAACTGCTACACATTAGTACAAGGCTTATCCAGAAAGTAAGTACCGTTTTGGATAAAACATACAGACAATTTTTTTTCAACAAAATTTATTTCTACAAGAAAGAGGATATCTTAAACAATGTTTCTACATAGTTTCCACCATTGTTTACAGATTTGTCGTGGTGAGGAACCAACTTTTAAAAACCCTCTTGGCAGGAGATGCCGCCATTGCAAGAAACATTGCCTTACGCATTTTCGGAACCCATCGGGAACACATCTTGTGATAATTCAAGCGATATACCAAAATATCATGCAAAAGAGATTTTGAAATTTGTGGTAATTCATCAGAAAGCATTCTTATGGTAAAACGTATGTTTTCGAGAATCTTTTCATTCTCTTTTTCAACCAATTCCTGACTAACGGCTGCCCGCAAGCGAGCCTCGTCAAACTGAACATTCGTTCGCCCATCATTAAATTGCCGAAATCATTTTCATAACATTCCATCACTGATAACTTTTTCTTCATAAACTTCTGTAAGTCGGGGATGAATTTCAGCAGCCTTCCGCACCTTCCTTGCGTTAAAAAGCGTATTACAGAACTAACTCTACTTCCGCGGGATCAGAAATTGTTTCGAACATTTTGAGCGCAAACTAACTAATGTAAACAAAATTCAATTCTGCCGTAATTGCGTCAGCTGTTCGACCATAAACCAAGGAGACTAGTGCGCATGAGCGTAACATCGTTGTTGGCACAGTGCTGGCGGTAGATTGAAACGGTACTTACTTTCTGGACAAGCCTCGTACAAAAATTATAAAAGTTATACAAATACTGTAAAACATAAAAATATGTGTGTCAAACCATAGCCTCCTCTAATACAAGGCCGCAGCGTCACACCGTCATGCCTATTGCCATGGTAAAAAGAAATAACAAAAGTGTAAACGTAAACATTGTCTATATACTCTCCATTATAAATTAGTATAACAGCTGTTTCGGTTTAACTGGACACCGGTGTTGCCACTTATGTCTTGCTGCGGCCTTTTATTAAAAGGAGGCTATGATCAAACCCATTGTTTAAAATGCATTGGTGATATTGAGCTCATATTACAATAATTAAAGGATTATTGCAGACATTTTCCATAAATCCATATATAAATCCCAAAGTACCCATGAACTTTTGAGAAAACTAAAAGTCATGAGACCCCATAAACCATATACACTTAAAATCTTCGTCAAGACGAGAAACTTTGCACAAAACTATCCATTATTTTATAAATTGCCCTTTAAGGTCGTAATTCCTTTCTAAAGGGAACTTTCAATATACCTAATGTTAAAAATACCTCAGCTGTACTTATTTGTTATTCTTTCAATTTATCAATGTATTACCTTATTAAAATCAGGTGTGATTATTTGTTTGTATTACTGTATTATGTTTTATTTATTTCAGCTTAACTTAACCAATCAATAGTTTTGTTTAATACTTATGAAGTCAAACCGGGGTGAAGCCCGTGGGTAACAGCTAGTGATAAGTAAAACACATTTCCAGATCTGGAGAAAAAAACAAATTCCGGTTTCAGGTAGGTAAAGAAATATCTTTAAACCTCTTACTAACCATGAAATATGTCCATGGATTGAAATTCTTAACAAAAATCTTTTAAACAGTATTAAAAACATAAAAGGTTCATATAAAACCCAACATTGAATTCTCAAATAGAAAAGTGCAGGATCCAAGAGAAAAATAGACAGCACTGAACCACTACCACACCTTTGATATTAGAAAAAAGTTACTACCAATGGAATTTAAATTAGGCATTGATTTTATGTCAAATATTATACTGGATATAAAATACGGCTCAATGGCTTTTTGATATAGATAGTAAAAAAAAAAACAATATTAATAACAAACAGACAATAGAAAAAATACAATATTCTCAACTTACAAATACAAGTTACCGATCTGTTGTCTATTCGGGCACCAAATAAATTATAAATATAATAAAATGATACAAATTCAACGCCGATTGTACTACAAACTCTCGGATGCAAGGAATTCCAATTACTGAAAAAATAACTTAGGCTACATGTTAACACTGATACACTTTTTACTAAAACCATTCAGTCATTCATATCTAGCAGATAAACCAACAAAAAAGTCCAAAATGAACTTTGGTCTATCGCTTTTACATTACATATTATTACACTGCCTGCTATTCCACAAGGTTTAACAATATTTAAAAAATATATAAAATACAAATCTCTTGATTCTTCCACTAATAACACTAAAATGATCACTGAACTTTGTTCTATATACAAATCGAAATCATGCATGCATTCATCAAAGTTATAGAATGAAGATGATCCTGAAGGTTTTTCAACTAAATAACAGATGCTATGGAGGACATTTTGCTGGAAGTATCAAGACTGAGGCAGCGGCAAGTGCATGCTGTCACAGGACATTCTGAATGCTCTCTGGAACATACCATACCACACCTTTAGATTGAATCGGCAGAATTGAGTAATATTACTCAGTTGGCATTTTTGATCTAATAGGAATGCTTGTGGAGAGTAAGAAAAAATAGGGAGTTGAGGGAATTATATAAGGAACCAGATTGTGGGAGTGGTTAAGAGTAGAAGGTGGATGGGCCACATTCAACGCAGAGGTGAGAGAGAGATGATAAAAAAAGTTATAAGAGGTATGTCCAGCAGGAGACCATTGGGAAGGCCAAGGATGAGATGGATTGACAAAGTTGCAAAGGACCTAAGGAGTATGGGAGCAGACCTGGAGCTGGCAGAGGACAGAGGATCCTGGAGGCACATGGCTGGTGGGGCCAAAGACCGTCTTGGTTTACAATGGCCTTAGGAGTAAGAGTAAGTAAGTAAAGATGGATTAAAATATTGTTTTGATAGTGCTTTCGATTGTGACTGCTCATACCTCATCTTAAGAGTACTTCATTGTCAGGGCCTGTGTGGAATGGAAAAATCGACCATTTTCAAGAAAAGTGGTCGATGGTCATCACAAGTAGGCGACAACTCTTAAAAATACCCCTAACGCAGCAAACCTGCAGACTAAACGAATTTCCATCTTTAATGTAATAAACTGTAAGTTTTATACGCTTTACAAATTAGTTTGAAAAGAAACTGAAAAATTATATGTGTAGGGAATCGGAATCGTAATGAGAAAAAACTAATCTTACCCCATAAAACCATGTTTCCATGGTCTTATTATGCTGGTTCGTAAACTCGTTCCATTAAATATAGGATTACACGTTTGTACCAAATTTGATCAAGAACGGATATTAGCAAGTTATGGTAACAGACACACACATTTATGAGGAATCTTAACGAATGGTGTTTTTAGCCCCTGGGGCTAAAAAAGTGGGCTAAATTGGTCTTGGAACTATGAGACCCTACTGTAATAGCTTTTTTCCTGTATGGGAAATGCATTAAGATTACTAAGATTACTAAGATTACTTGCTTTTGGTACTTACTTTTGGCGTATGGCCTTGGCTGGTGTAAAATAAGATTGTATTTGCTTGTGTAATTTCAATTTCTGATTGAAAGTGTTATTTTGATTTTGATTTAGAAGTGTTAAGTACTGTTTCTATAATCTATTGATATATGATACTTGAATGAAGGTTTGAAAATAAAGAACGACAGTGAGGACCTAGTTTTACCAGTTGAAACTAAGAATGTGTGTCCAGTCCACTATTTCAAGCATAATACTATACTTAGTTTGATCTTTAAAGGGGCAAACAATTGTTTTCCTAAAATGTTGTTGTTTGAATTGTATTGTACAAAACGCTGTAACTAAAACTTATTCAATGTTAAGACTTCTGTAACATTTCTTTTAAATTATTTTTAGTTCATTTCCAACTTTATATAGTTATAGTTTACTCCAACAAATAAACTACTTTATCCAACGAATTACCTGTTTAAGAACAAGAGCCTAGAGACAAATCTTGCAATATAAAGATGATTCAGCTGTTCAAACACAAATCTATTACAATTAAAATAATTATTATACTCATGTAGCTTTTCAGTAATTTATATTTTTACAATGCTAGATTCTGGAACTTCAACCCTTGGATTCGCGAACAAATTCAGTTTACATATCTATACTTATAAAAGTAAATTTAAAAAATTGTAAAGTATTTTAAAATTAAGGCAAAAACAAATTAACTGAGATTTATGACCATAAAATTGTGTGTTTACACAAAAAACAATATCAGGTGAAAAATGGACACGTGTCACAACCAATGCAAACGGACACAGTATAGTATGTCTTAACTTATTTATTTTACCTAATAGTGTTGCTACAGTAATAATCTAAGTTATCGCTGAAATCCACACATGTGTTTGTTTAGGTGTCACCAGTTGTGGCTTATTAAACTGTTTGACCTGGTTCAGTTTGGATCGCTCACTTTTGACATCAAACTCTCTCTAAACCAGACATGACGTGGCACATAACGTTTCTTGTGCTTATTGTATTGACCACTTACAGCCCAAGCCGAGTCCTCGCGGATGAGGAAGACACTAATGATGATTACAACGACCTTGACTTTGGAGGAGGAATGGAAGGAATGGAAGGAATGGAAGGAATGGAAGGAATGGAAGGAATGGATGGAATGGACGGAATGGGGATGGGGCAGGACTTCTACAACAGTATGTTTGACAATCTAATCTCTTCATCCATCACTATCTATCCGAGTACAGAACACTTCCATAAAACCAGTTTTCTGATATCCGGTAGACCATTGGAGATGACAGCGAGTTCAGCAGTGTTTAGAGATTTACATTCCGTGAAAAGAGCCGCTGATATGGAATTTAACGAGTTTTCAGAAACCACAGCTCAAATCGCTGTCTCTATGACTTTTGATGTATTCAACGTCACCTACAATGACTTCATCTTTACTTTGGACGAGTTTCAGACAAGAGGCAAAATTGTGCTGCAAGTGAAAGAAAATGAAATATACGTCAAAATAACTGGAGGAAAAGAAGAAGATGAATGCTTTGTAACAGCAAACGACATCAACATTACCAAACTAAAAAAGTTCAAACTCGATTATTATTCTGATTCTGGTGACGAAAAAAGTGGCCAGTGTGATCAAAGCCTTGGCGTGTTCAGAGCGTTTTTCGCCCGCACATTTGTTGAAGCTGCAAAGCCTGACTTGATACATAAATTTTCTGATCTCATGAACCACTTTGTGAAGGAGATACAAGACTATGTATGTGCCGACCAAGGAGATATTTAACGTAAGTAATCGTGATTACGATGAATCTATCAATGTATCATTCTAGGATATGGACAGTTCCAATTGAGTATCAATGTGAAATGATGTTTATGCCATTTGTGTTCAAAAATAAAACATTATGGGTAAATGTTATTTCATAGTAGTCAATCTTCCTTCTGCCTCTTTAGACTAATAGGTAAAGATGGTGAAAAACGATTGATTGTGATTGATGATTCTAATTATCAGTGTACATAGATCTACCGATTGGAGTAGTAAATATATTATATTTTAAGATTGTAAAAGAGAAATACTGTGATGAACTTAAGGAATTAATTTTCAATGAAGATATTCAATTAATTTCAGCAGTTTACAGTTTTTATAACTGGTTATCATATAAAATTATCACACAATTCACATATAGAGACGTAATAAATAAATATCCAAATAAATTACAATTACAACTGATATAAAAATAAAGCTCTTAATAGGTCTCAAATCTTAGTAGCAAAGCAAACAGGGACATAAGAGTGAGTAGGCGTGTATTGCTTTAAATTAAATTTGTCTCCTTTGTTTTAATAGTACCGGTAGTGTTTTTAATAAGACATACATGTTATCCGTTATTTCTGATGATGGTTTCTAAGTGTAAGTTTAGATATTATAATGAAAGACAATCTAAAAGCCTTAAATAAGTTTGACAATGAATAACTTCATTCATTCAATGATTTTAACAGGTATACAATAGTTACGATGGTCTTAGTTTTCATTATTTTTCAAGTAACCTAACCTTGCACCAACCAGTTAAGGTTGGAAAATTTACCGCAACATTCAATTGACTGATTAGTGAAAGAGCTCGCCTTCAAATCTGGAGAGTATTGGTTTAATCTTGAGATGTCTGGACCCAGTTACCATTTTTTACTGGGCTATGCTATAAGTAAATATAGCTTTCTAACAAGACCTGGTTTTTCCATTTTTCACTAGAAAACAATTTAACATTATCGTTAAATGAAATTTTAAATCTCAGGACTTCGGCCCCTGAGATCCCGGGTTAAAATCCAGCCAAATCACCAATGGATCTTATTTAAGTGATAATGCCGCAACCCCTGTTGACTAAGTCGGGCACTGCCTGCATCATGGCAGACAGATCCCGTTACCTAGATAATTCCCCGAATTATGCATTTTTGTTATGGTTTCAGTTTAGTGGGTAGTAAAGGGGGTTTTGCTGTATTGTTTCATATACTAACAAACATCCTCAAACTGTGCTATGATTTCTCCTTGAAAGGTTGAAATGGAATAAACCGAGATAAACAAATTATGTAAAAAACACGGGTTGGTACCTGAACCACTGGGTGATGTGCGACGCGTGACCTCCGTGTCTACAAGTCTGGCACCACGTATACCAGGAGCTGAGGGGGGACAGTCGAGTGGAGGGGGGTGTCCGAGGGGGTGACCGAGTACCATCGTAGGTCGACGGCGTACCCATGTTGACTAGACAGATGGCACAACGGGGTTGCGGCTTACGACAGTTCGGACAACACGTCATCTGAAACAAAGGTATACAAGTACTGACATGGAAAATATTCTCAAAATATTATCAGTAACAGTAAAATGTTTCAAATTACCAATGATTTTGGTTTCTGTCTCTTTAGACAAAGCGGTAAATATGGGGAAATATGATCAGAGGTTGTATTTTTGTGATAGCCCTATTCTATGGCAACTATTTATTTATATGTCATATGTGTCAAGTTTAGTGTTGAGTGTATGTGTAATGAAACCATTAACGAAGCTCATCAAGCAGAAGTAATGTATTTCTTAGACTAGAGTCGTGTTTGACAATGGCATTCTGCTAAAACAAAACACATAGCTGTCAACATTTGGAACTGCGAGAGGTACTGTAAACCCTCATAACAGCTTAGTAAATTATTCTAGGCCATCCAATATTAAACAATCCGGTATAACGAGCATGTGTGACATAGTGACAAGTCCAATAATTGAGCTAATTGCAAATGTAAGTAGTTTTTTGTCAATTCTATAACATACAATTTTGAAAAACATTTAATAATGAGCCAGTTTAAAACCATGTTCTATGCAGTTGTTGATATTGATGGTGAACTGTAACATGTTCACAACATGTATAGCATAATGAAAATTGACACTATAAGACCTAAGTAAGCAGTTATTATAATAATACATTTTGTTCTTACCATTTGACGTTTATGCAATCAGGGCCGAAACTGCACTACGGCCATTTTGGAGATAACTCCATCTTCAGGTGCGTAGTGGACCGAAGCCGCTCGTCAGTTTTTAAGCCGTACACATGCTCTAAATGTTTTCCTGTACTATCATGTGTCCGTCCTGTTTTTATATGTTTAATATTTATTCAGCCCCTGACACAATGCAAATGAAGACTTTTTGTTTAAGTGTAATAAGACCATAGTTTAGTGTACTACTACGCACTTGAAGATGGAGTTATCTCCGAAACGGCTGTAGTGCAGTGTCGCCCTGTTTGCATAGACGGTAAGAACAAAATATATTATAATATTTTCAGACAATCTGCCACACTAAAAAATTATTATAAAGTTATTGTAAATACTTCCAATTAACCTTGAGCTTATTGCTGGTGGTGCCTAGTCTGGCGAGTTGGCCTCGGTTCATGGCGTTGGCCTGCATGTACGCTGATACACTTTTGCCGCAGAAGTTACAGCTGACAAACACCTGCTGTTGCGGCTTGGTACCGGGGTTGCGCATGCTCAGCGAGATGTCCACACGTGCACGGTGGTTCCACATACGCCAGCTGTTCAACAGGTTGCGATAGCTGCCAAAAGCAGATTTAAATTAAGGGTTTTGAATGTGATCTCTTATTGCTTTACTGTACAAACAATAGAAAACAGTATATCTGTCGAGGACAAGGTCGTAAAGTCAATGTCAGAAAAGCAGAATTTGTTTGTAGCAAAGAAATTTAGCTTTTACAGTTGAAACTTGTTTGATAGAAAATCTTACACGTGATATTTTTAATATACACAAAAATTAAGTGGTGACTTGTATTGATTCTCGTCTCGCAGTTACATTAATATCCCAACAATCAGTTATCCTGTAACTCACGTATACCTTGTCAGATGAGATATTCTACTGTAGTGGACAAATCACTCTATTGTTAAAGTTGTGGAAAGCTTTCAATAAAGTCTTCATTTTGCCTACAGTATTAGTGAAGGAAAGCAGTATAAATGAGTAAAAAAACTCAAATCTCAAAACAACCAAAAAAGTTTGAAATGAGTTTTAGATTTAAATTTGAGATTTATTTTAGTGTTTGTTATTTATTAAAAATACAATTATTGTGTTGGCAGCTTATTTATTTATTTTACGTTATTTCTTGTTTCTCTTTTTACTTTTCTGATACATGAATAAAGGTTAAGCATATTTTTTGAGAAATATTAATTGGCACTCCTCCAGTTATTATGGACGCTGTGTCAAGAGTTTAATATAAGTGTTTGTTATTTAAAAAAGTTAGTAAACAAATTCATGTTATTTATGACAAGGTCAGGAGTTTCCTTGACCAAGCAAGTCAAACAGTTTTGGGTTTACATTTCAACATTTGAGATTAGGTAAAATGTCTGTATTCGACCATTACTGGAAGTGGAAAGCAGTAAATTTTGCCCTTCCTTCCTAACAATGTTTTTTAGAACCTAGGATATATAGTAAACAGAACAGAGGTTAGCTAATTGTGACATACTGAAACGGCAGCACTTTCAAAGATATAAAATGTAGAACCTTGATAGCAAGACTCTCATGGGGATTAGGCTATTAAATAAGATTTGTTATAAAGGTTTACTTCTTATCAAGGTTTGCAATTTGTAATTAGAGGTAAAATAAAATAAATTCAAGGGGGTTTGAAAATGATACTTGTAGTCAAGGATGACTTGTTATCGAGGTTCTACTGTAGTGTAGTAGTCACCTGTTGATCCAGTCCTGCACCTGAGTGTCCTTGTCCAGCAGTTGTGATGAAAAGGTGCAAGTAGCGACCAGAGCGACACTCTGCACATCCCCCGTGTTGTCTAGGTAGTGCTGCAGTAGTGGTATACAGTCAGCCCCCGCTCCTGTCAGTAACATCCCCGCTAGTCTGCCCCGCTCTACCAGCCCCGCCGACAGAGAAGATACATACTCAGCTAGTCGCACGTTGGACAGGAACATACAAGCAAACGCCACCCTGTCCTCTACTGCCATACCCACCTCGTTCTGCACATCAATGTTGGTTAGACAATAGGTGAGGTTTAGATCGGTTTGCGATTAAATTAGAAGCATTACTTCAGGTAAACGTTATTATTTCATGTTTCTTTAATGATGTAGGGGTACATAACTTTATTACCTATGTAATTTTTTTTTAGGTTATTTTGTTGTATGACTTACTACCAAATGGATTTTAACACTTTATGTCCTGATTAACCAAATTAAAAGCCACTAGTGTAAAAAGAAGATACACTGTTCTTGTGTGCAATCCTTACTAAGCTCACTAGTTCCGTCATAGACTAAGCAACACAAGTAGACTCCTCATCCCATTGTAAATTTTGAAGCTTGTTTTTTGCGTCTAGTTCATGTACGTCCACACTGATCGCTAGTGTAGACAACATTTTTTTTTCTATTATTTTAGAATTATTTTCATGATTTGTGCTTTACTATTTGGTTATATAACTAGGAGACCAGTTATTGTTTATGATTATATCGTTTTATTACGTTAAACGAGGTTTTAAATGACTGCAATAACAAGAAACAAATTGTAAACAAAACATAACCTCTATAGTTGGACGTACAGAACTAACAATAAAATTGGCTTCAGCTGTTACATTAGGATGACTAATCTACTAAAGGAGTATGTTTTATCTATGGTTCCGTCAACTTCCACCCAAGCTGTATACCATTTTTTGTTTAAGATGGGAGCCACACATTGGTAAGCTTTTCACATCGGTAAACTCAGCCACCATGTCAGCGTTGGCCAGCCCGGACGAGTGCCACTATAGACTGAATGTGACACTATTGCTCACGGATAAAATTCAACGAATTACTGACATTGGGTTTGCAGCACAGCTATGAAGCTGCTAAGTGCTAAGTGTCAATCAACAATCAACTTGTATCGCCCTCTTGAAGGGTTGATCCAAGGCATCACGAAATAAACTACCGTAATGTTTCTAAGACGTCATCATAGGCAAAGGCAATGACGCAATGTTATTTTTTAAGTTATATTTTTGTTTTCCAAGAAAATATTCAAACAAGCAGCTGATCACAAACGGCAAACCTTATGTCATTGCCATCGCCTATGATGACGTCATGCCAGAGGAGCATTACAACTGTTTATTTAGTGTTGCCTTGGTTAATCATTTAACTTGGCCTCAAGAATTATTATAAATAGTCAAAGAAGTATTTGTTGCTTAACACGTAGAGTGCGGCCGTTCCCAATCGGGTACGGCGCTTGGCCAAGGGTGCGTCCGTACCCCATCGGGAACGCTCGGCAATGCCTTTTGTATATCTTCGTTTTTGCTCTAGCGTCGGCCGAAAGCAGACCTATACCACGTTAGCGTGTAGTAGGCCTATGTGACTTGCATTTTGTTGTGGTGTAGGTTGGTAGTAAATTTTCCCATAAAATCTCTGTCTGGCAATCTCAAAAATCTACTTTTGTCCCGTCTTTTTCCCTCCATTTGGCAATACAATTCCAATGAGACCGGCTACATTCCAAGCAGTGCTGCTATCTGTGGGTGTTTAGCGAACTACGTCGACTCTCGTTGTAAAGCAGGAAATCCCTGCACGTTATTTGTTGTTTGTCAGACCAAAATTGGAAAGCCAATCACTTGCGGCAATCGGGTTTCTTTGACGCTGAGGGCTGCGCCGCACTGGGGGTACGCTCGCTATTTGACGTGCCGCAGCGAACGTGTTAAAACCTTGCAGAAATAAGAACTAAACATACAAACTATTTAAACATTTGACATAGCTTTGGACTTCCACCAGTACAATTTTACACAGATTGTTTTACCAGATAACACAGGCATTGCATTCAGACACTTGACACCTTGCCTCATCTGGTTCCAATTTCTATTCAGGAATTTTTAATGTTCAATTAATTTATCTATTATCTAGTTCTTGTCTATGGTCCCTAAGCAGTTGCCAGCTTAAAAATTAATCCATGGTAGACACTAAATATTTTTTTTCATCTGTTAGTCAGGAACAAGCATGCTAATAATAATTATCAGCTGACCCTGGAGAATGGAGCTGCTAATTGAGAAATGATGATGATTAATAGGAAATTTCAGGTTAGTGTTTCAACATTAACTTACCAAGACACCATCGTAGTTGTCTCCCTCGGCCGTCAGGAATGCAAAGATTGCTCGCAGGTAAGGATCAGACAAATTAGTGCGAGAAGACATGCACAACTCTCTCCACAAGCTGCTCTTAGTATCTGTGTAGCCTGCAAGTCAAAGTTGAGGTGGTACTGTATTGTAAAATGTCCATAACCCTTTGAAACCTTGGGGTCATTCCATTTATCTGTCTAAGTTTATTAAGTATTTCTTTCATCCAATGAACATAAAAAATAATATTAATACAACCAAGATTTTGGGTTGCCACACTCAAAAAATAAGGATACAGTAAACAGAAGCAAACGGCTGAGTTTAGGTGCAACTCACAAAAAAAAATACACCTATCCCTATCAACAGTGACGATGATGACGCCTCCGTGATAGCAGTAGGTGGTCAAAATAGCTCTGTACACCCAAGAGACAATGAAGATGTCCCCACAATTGCGGAAACTATTTACAATGGCGCCACCATCGAGGAAGCTGTTCACGAGTGTGCCGCGAAGGCGAGACATGTTTAATGATGGCATAGTGTTCATGGGAGATGCTCACAATGGCGTGGTGATCAAGAGTATTAGTGATGGGTTGGTACCAGCCAACACTGGATCAGTAGTCTACAATGAGAGGCGGTAAAGGTTTTGATAAAAATTAAAAAAGACGTAAAGCCAAGTTTGGTACAATGTGACGTACCTGACAGAGCCATGGCTACCACACTGAGGTTGTCATGCTGGGCCCTGGTGAGGATGTCGATGGCGACTCGTAGTCGCAGGTTGAACACTGCGATGGCTGCTGCGCGACAAACATCTCCATCGGCCTCTAGCCGCTCCAGGAACACTGACAAAGCTGTTGTGTCTCGCTCAAACAGCCAACCACACAGCTGCAACGCTCTGTCTCGGTCCTCACTCCTGATAAACCAGTCACATGAGTACAGCAACCACCATATTTCACTTAACTAATGTCATTTTGCCAGTTGCAAACATTGATAAGTTTCTTTCATTACTATGGGTTTTCCTTAATGTTTCCATCAACTCGAAAGGTGCAAAAATTATTTTAAATTCAGGACAGTATAAATAAAAAAAAATTGATACAATATCAAAAGTGGAAAAACTGTCCAACAGCTTAACAAATGATCCTGCACATCTTAGCAGAACATTTTGATAATGTTGGTTGATGTACTCTCGTCGGACAGAAAGTACACAACTCCTGTGCACTTTCGTAAGCACAAGAGAGTAAAGAAAGGTTAATGGATTAAAATTTAGAATTTGAACAAGTTATGGCTGTTTCCGAAAGAGGTAGGCCTAACTTTGAATTATTTATAAAAAAATATGAAGAGGTCATATCTAAAAATTCTGGTAAACCCAACGTTCATAGTAAGTAGATCCCATACATAGTAGACCCAAGCAAATCCAACACATCTACCTACACTCAGAGAGGTGTAGGAAAATCTAAAACTATTGAAAAACGCTTTTATCCCTAGCTGTTGAACATGCGGAATAAAGTTTTGGTTGTTTCTGTTAAGGTATGGAAACTTGAAAGGTTCTGTTAGGTTGACCCTACCTTTAGGGATTAAAGAATTTAAGTTACACTGAACACCTACCTGTAAACTTTTACTGGAGTCTGAGTGCTGTCAACCCAGGGCAACATGATTGCTTCAGACTTGTTGGCTACAGAACCTCCGCTGTCTAGTCCCAATACTTGCCTGCAAAATAAAAGTGTACCATGTAGATTTAGAGTTTTCCTTTTTTATGGTTCTCAGATTTACGTTAAAACACTATACTACTAGATTTTCCCTATAGCCCATGTAAGGATGCCACAGAGAAGCGTTAGTCTACACAGGTAGCCTATTCAGAAATGCTCAGATCCATGAATAATCAGTGTAAAATTATACAATGTTTTTCTACAAGCATAATGTTTGGCTTAAACATATGTTCACACCAGGTATCTTAAATAAATTGTCATGTCGTAGCAGTGAAAAGAGTGATTCAAAGGTGTTGATACATATTGTATGAAAAATTGAAATAAAGTAAATTCTTGAAGAATAACAAGATTTTAAAACATTACCGTGTGTGTGTGAAAGCTCGGGCTTTAGTATGTTTAGTAATCAAGTATTTAAGCCCCCAGTATAATATATCTATAGTTCTGTACTGCTTGTACTTTTAACACTAAGATTTACAAAGCTTCACAACTCTCGTAAATTCTAAAATCTATAGCATTTGCTGGCTATTGACCAAAGTGTACGTTCACTGTAAGTTTCATTGACACATTAGACCCACCTGATGCCAGGATGTCTAGTAGATCCGTTACTCTCTATGTAGCCGTCCTGTACCAGATTGCGACTACAGTATAGCCAGTGCCACAGGTTCTTCAGCTCCTCGTCGTCTGCTAGTTCTCCATTCTGCCAAAGTTCATCCTGAAAAACACACTTTAAACAATAGAATATTTTCCTTCTAATACTATCAATGTTCTAGTTTTGTCGATGGACGTTTCTGTTAGTATTTAAATCCATTGTTAGAACAGTTTAGTTTAAGGCAAGGCTCTAAGCCAGAGATGAATTCTGTAGGAAAAAGGGACATAGCTTACCCTAAAAATAGCAAACGTCATAGTACAAATAAAAGACACAAAAATTGATCATCCCCTGAAGGACTATGTCAGGTGTAGACAAAGAGTGTTGTTCGTAAATACCCTAACAGACAAAATTGTTGTTATATGTGTCATATATATATATATGTCTACCTGGAGTTATGGACTTTTTTCTCATATAAGCTCACACAAAAAGTAAACACAAGTATTGGGGCAAATATTATTGAAGTTAACCTTTTTTAGACTACTACTAATCTGCTTGTAGCAAAGTTACAGTACATATGAATTTATAGGGGATGAATGAATAAAATAGGTCCATCCATGGGAGTGAGAGAAAAATATTGCATCCTCTCAAAATACATACTGTGAGGCACTTAGTAGCAATAGGCCCACAAAAAAAAATCCACAGTTTAAAAGGACGATGGTGGTTAATCATGGTTACCGGTACTCTAGAAGAGTCACATCTGGGTCAATAACAAAATACTCACCTTTAGTCCATAACCCACAGTAGCTCTGTACTTGATCTTGGTGCTGATATCCTCAAAGTTGTCATATATGGTGTCTTTATCACTGATCAGTTTGAGTGTGCGTCGGCCGAACGTCCACACAACATGGCTGCCGCTTGACCAGTTCACTGTCATTCGCTCAAACACTGTGTAGTCTGTCAAAGCACCTGTAAATAGGATCAAAACTTAATATTTTACTTGTAGGAAGCAGTTTTTTACTGAAATATAGCAGTTACCGTACGTAGTAGCTTGATAAATGGAACTGATAATTCTCTAGATTCGTAGATTGGCTGGCTAGTCCTGTAAAACTAACAGATAGGCCTAATACAATCCTGCTTTGTTGTGGCGTAATCTTGAAAAAATGAATATTCAATTCTATTAACTAGCAGGACGATTTGTTCAACATGTTAATTTGATTCGGATGAAGAAAGTTTTAAGTATACAATGTTATTGTCCAAAACGATATGCAGAGCTCCATTTTGGCCAAATAAATAATAAGTTGTTTCTCTTGTCTTTGGCTGGCTAGCAAACTAGTACGGTATGTATTGTGTTTCTTTAGCTAAAACTATTAAAATTTCAATGATCAGCTAAGAGTATGAGAGTTATAATTTTTTTTTAAACTATTAATTAACTTGGCTAAACTCGACATACAAAATTGGTATACCTGACAATGAAGCGGTAATCAGCCTATTGTCGTGAGTGGGATGCCAGGAGAACGCAGTGATGATGTCGTCTGCACTGCGCGGTTGTACGCTGCGCTCTAACACTGACGGCTCCGTCTCGTCCATCGACTGTTGTACATCATGCAGATGAATTACTGTGGAATCTCTCTGTAGTGAACCGAGGAGGTTATGTCTGCAAAAAGGGAATCAGCGACCATCACAGAAGAATGTTTGAGCATCAAAACAGTAATACAATACTTTACAAGTTAATCCGCTTTTTATGTTAATCCACTTTTTTTAAACTAATTTTTTTTTTTATTAATGACTTACAAGGTTTTATTTAACAATTTTTACTATGAATAAATTAGTTTAGTTCCAAAAACATTTAGCCATTAGTTTAGTCCTGTTTTATTTGTAAAATGGTTAAAATACTTAAAAGGTGAGATGAGTATTGGTTGCTGTATCAAGAAGAGTTATACTTCTTAATTAGAAACATTAATCATACAAGATCAATTAATAATACAACATAAATTATGGCCTTTAGGGAGTAAAAATAGTAAACTACATTTTAGTACAATCTAGAGTTTCACTTCAGACCGGTAACATCAATCATGTCATGTTTTATTTTGAATAGTGTAATGAGTGTGTTCGTTGGATGGAAGTGTCAGTTTCTCGGAAATCTATTTTTAATCAGACTTCGCCCTCAACCTTGAAATTAAGTGATTGGTTTTGGTTTTGACTCCTTGCAGGCCTTGGTATGGTCTAAGCAGCCATTATAGTAACCAAGGAGTATATGGAGGTGTTTAATACAATTTGATTTGTGTTGCATTATCTTTGACTCATGAGGTTATAAAGATGTACATTTAACAATCAATAATAATACTGAAGTCACAGACTTTAACCAGCGTAGACAGCCAAACACCACTTAATCTTTAAGTTACCTATTTACAGCAAAGCCCATTAATCCGGCATCCGATAATATAGGACTTTCAATCATCCGATGAGCAATCGGCAGACATCGGTTGAGATTACAAAAATCAGTAGTGACAGACATTGGGTAGTCGGAGGACATTGGAAACAATCGGCAGCGATCAGAAGACGACTGTTTTTAGCGATCGGAAAACTAGTGGTATTTTCATCCCGTCTTGCAATAACAGCTGACAGTAATCTGACAAAGTTGCAGCTACTGTACTGTTCACTATCTTTACCTTGTAGGGCACCAGATGACCTTGTTCACTATCTTGGCCTGCGTGAGTGTGAGGACGGGCTTCTCAAAGCCGCGCATGTCCCAGATGGCTATCTGGTTCTCATAGAAAGACGCCAGCTGGTGATCATTGTGCGGAGACACTGCAACACCGTACACGGCTTTGGTTGGTGCCGAGTTGGACGCCTTTGACGAGTCTGTAACAATCCAACGGATCAGTTGTCAGATTAAATCAAATTGAAATCATTGAACTACATCAGATAATATTTAAGTCAGAAAAAGATCAAGGTGGGTGTATTTTAAGTACCAATTATACGTAGCAGACTTTTTCCAAACGGACGTTATGACAATTTAAAATCATACAGTGGACTTTAAGTTTTAAATGTCTAAACAGACTTGAAATTTTATTTCATTTTAGGTAAAATAGTTGGAGGGGTTTTAGGAGCAACTGAAACTAAAAAAAGTCTGATAGGAAAAGTAGGCTACAACTATTTTATCATAAAATAAAATAAAAATGAGTACTGGTATTCTTTGCAATAATAAACTTTAAAAAAATTTGGAATTTAATTTTAGATTTTTTATTTTTATTTTTATTTAATTTTAGTGGTATACTTCATTTAAAGCCATTTATATACATAGGCCTACTGCAACTGGATTTTATGAAATTATAGGCCTAAACCTATCAAGCCATACTTAGAACATGCATTGCATTTTAATTTGAGCGGACACACACTTTAATTATATTTTGAATCATGTCATTTTTCTGTTGGAAGTCAATCAAAACTAGGTTTCATTCAACTTTTAATTGCATTTAAATTTGATAAATACATGAAACTATGGCGCAACATGGAAAAAACTACAAGATCTAAAAGATAAGAAAAGGCAGGGGACACAACTTATTTCTGTTAAGAGCTTTAAATATATTTTTAAATTATTTTTGTTTCCTTTTCTATGATTAAGAGGTTAGTTACAGAAAACATTAAAAATTTATTGCAAATAATTTCAAAGTATAATAGACACCTCAGTTTTTTCTCCGCATTTTAATTGCATAACAGTTATAAAATTTACTTTACCAACAAGTCTATGAGGACTAATGGGGAAATTTTAAAAAGTAGGTAGTGAACATTTCTTCATGAAAATGTCAAACTGGATGAAATAGTATTTTTATTTGGTCACAATACAATCCACTTTTCTAAATTCATTGTCTTTTGCGTATTTGTTGTTTCTCAAGAAAACTGTTAGTAATTTGTATTTAAAAGGTGCTTAAAGCTGGAATATTAAGTTCACATTTTCACTAAACAGAGATGTCTCTACGACTTACCCCTGAGGTCGACCAGTTTAAGATGTTTGTTGTTCATGCCAATGACCAAAGAGCGAGGCTGGTGAGGTAGCCAGACGAGCGAGTGTGCTGTGTCACTCAGACCCAGCTCTGCAATTGGCCGGATGTAGAGGGAGGGGTCGGACGGTCGCAGCACGTCCCACAGCAGCACCGAGTGGTCCGTACGGTACTTGTCGTAGCCTGCAGCTATCATGGACGGCTGGGAGGGGTTCCAAGCTACCGCGTGGCACTGCCTTGCATGTTTAGGAGCTACAACAAAATGAACAGTTGATTATGTACCGGTACAACAATGGCTTTTGTTTTGTTTCTTCTCACCCTAGGACACTAGGCTCTACCCTAGAGAACCCAAGAACACATTATGTTTAGTAAAGGTCTGGATTGTCATGGCATAATCACATGGCTTAACCTGTTGTTGATTGGCAAGATTTAAACCCAAGACCTCACCGACCAAAGCCCTGTGCTCTGTCATTACACTAGCTTAATCTCCATACATTGGAGATGTAAGGTCTAACACCTAATTAGTCTTTGACCAAGGCAGCACAAAATCATGTGGCATAAACTACTAAAGAAAGAATACAGATGGTGTCGCCCCTAACATTCATCACATAAACCACTTAGTTGAAAATTCTTGTATGCAAGATATATTGAGCCAATTTCAAGGTTTGAGGTGGAAAAACAGTACTGTCCTTATATTCTAGACACTAAGTTTCAAATTTTTTAAACTGTCCCTCAAAAGGAGTGGGTTGCCCTGGTTTTTGAGGACTTATTCTGCGATGATCCATCTAGAAGAGGTGATAAAAAAACTAAGTTGTCTAATCAAGCTGTATATAATTTTATTCACACTTTATCTAGTATAGCCAGGTGTAAGTAAGTGTGTAACATAAGAACTGGAAACATTTAAAGCCCCGTTCACACGGGGCGAGTTTACAAGCTACACGCCGGCTTTTTTACACGCAGCTAGTAAAATAGCTCAGTGTGAACGACGTACTCGCTCAAAAGCTGCTTGTAAAAAGCTCTGGAAAAAGTTGACGCTGCCGCTACTTTACACGCCAACTCGCCAGCTTTTGAGCGAGTAGGCGTGTAAAGTAGCCCAGTGTGAACACAGTTGCTTGTGCTTGTGCGCTTGTTACTCAAAGATGTTGGAGGATTTGGTTCAAGCCAGCTACTGAGCGAGTGGAAAAAGCATCGTGTGAACGACTACAAGCGCACTCGCCGGCGTCTTTCTACACGTCTGCGAGTTGGCGAGTGGACAAGCTCTGTGTGAACGAATACAAGCACACTCGCCAACTCGCCGGCTTCTTACACGCTGGCGTGTAGCTTGTAAACTTGCCCCTGGGCCTTAATAGTTAAAAAGTTCAACAGGTTTGCTACTGTTCTACTAGTTCAACATGAACATTGAGTTAAGATAGATTTTAGATAACTAAAATATAATAAACTATTTTTGCTTGTAAATCACCAACTTGAAACATTGAAAGTGCAAACAGGAGGTAGCAATTAGGACAAATTAGGTTGTGTTCTATTGGTGATATGCAGTGTTTCAATTGCTGCAATTGTTAGCGTAAAAAAAAAACATTGTTGGTTCAAAACCGGCTCTTATAATTCTCTTATCAGTGCAACCTCGTTGCCAGTTTGTACTAATAAATAACATCAAAAGGCCTACCTTCACTATATTCACCTCACCACTCTAATTAGTAGGACATTCATTTTGAAAGGGGAATGTTGAAGCCATAACTTTAATTTGGGTATCAATTCTTTAGATTAAATTTAAATTTTAAACAACTTAAGCAGCCAATAAATTGAATAGTATATTTCGTACCTAGGGCCGAAAATGAGGTTTTGCCGGCTCGAGATAGTTTTTAAGTTCGAGACGAAGTCGAGAACTTAAATCGATCGAGAGCCGCAAAACCATTTCGGTCCGTGGTACGAACGCTATTTTTCACCACACTATACCCTATTACCACTATTCACCACAATAATAATGCACACTGATAGTCAACACAACTACAACTTTAAGGTTATGTGAAGAAATAATTTGAGGAATCAGCAAAAATAAAAATATATAGTTGCTAGGCAACGGTGACAATAACACAATTCTATTGAAATGCTATGGATTTTGATTATGTATTTAAAATGCATTCATGTTTTAAGTAAGTAAGCGGACAGCTGATTTTGCGGCCCCGGCCTGTAAAAACCTGCTCGGTCCCCAAATTATGGACAGCTGGCATCGCCAGCAAAACCTAACTTTCGGCCACCAATTAACGTATGTAATACAGCCAAAAACATGATAGTGTGGTGAAAAGTTTTTTTTCACCACACTACCATGTTTTTGGCTGTATTACATACGTTAATTGGTGGCCGAAAGTTACGTTTTGCTGGCGATGCCAGCTGTCCATAATTTGGGGACCGAGCAGGTTTTTACAGGCCGGGGCCGCAAAATCAGCTGTCCGCTTACTTACTTAAAACATGAATGCATTTTAAATACATAATCAAAATCCATAGCATTTCAATAGAATTGTGTTATTGTCACAGTTGCCTAGCAACTATATATTTTTATTTTTGCTGATTCCTCAAATTATTTCTTCACATAACCTTAAAGTTGTAGTTGTGTTGACTATCAGTGTGCATTATTATTGTGGTGAATAGTGGTAATAGGGTATAGTGTGGTGAAAAATAGCGTTCGTACCACGGACCGAAATGGTTTTGCGGCTCTCGATCGATTTAAGTTCTCGACTTCGTCTCGAACTTAAAAACTATCTCGAGCCGGCAAAACCTCATTTTCGGCCCTAGGTACGAAATATACTATTTCTTTTGTATGGTACGTTTTATTGCAACCCTATTTACTTAGCCTATATACTACAGTATTATATCTAACACTAGTTACCACTATGTCTAGATTTTTAATTATTAATAACTAAAAGTTTTTGAAATAACTACTAGTTATTAATAACTACTCCACTAGTTTTAATTAAAATACTATAGGCTCAAATCCCAAGGTAAACCCTCTTAAAACACAGTTTTCATTAAGAATATGTCATAGTCACCTAGCTCCATTCCCGTAAGACCGACTGCATCGAAGGCCGAGGGGCCAAAACTGGTGAGAACGACCTTCCCATTGGCTTGTCCAACAGCCAACAATATGTCCTGCTCCGGCTGCGGGTAGATGTCCACACATTTGACATAGTGATGGTTGGCAATTGTGGCTAACAAATGAGCCACTGCGCCATCTGATATCGGGACACCTGAATGGAAAAGCATGGAGAAGTTATTAGCTAGTCTAATATTTGGGACAAAAGTAAAAAATCCAACATTTGACGTATCAATTTGCCTTTAATTCTTACATATTTGTTAAGTTTTCCTAAGTCCAAAAAACTAAAAGAATGTCTTTAACAAGTTCATACACTTTTGAATTGAGTTCACATTTCTTGCCACATTAGGCCTACATGCAATTCATCTCTATGTTTAGAGGGCTTGATCATTTAAGCAAAATAAACCTCCTGTGAAACAGAGTTTTGGAACCTGTATCTCTCTTAAGAAAACAAGTTTTTAGGATAGGCCTAATCCTAAAAACAACATAGTTCTATACCGACTTGTTAAACATTGACTTAAATAGGCTAATCGTCTGGACGTACATACATGCTGATTTTGGAGCACTACTCCTCGGCAGTGTCTCGTAAAGATGAATTTCAGTGCCCCAAGTAATAAACTTGTCAGGGTGCACAGGAGACCACTGAACCTCCAATCGTGCTCCAGTCATCCTAGGGGTAAAAAACAAATAAGTTAGGCCTAGTAGGTATTCATAAATTAAAACTCATACTTAGAGTGTAAGTGTGCTGTTATAATAGGCCTAGTGGTTTTAGTTGCTTTGCTTTAGATATTTCCCATAACAGTGTAGTGTGTCTAAGGTCACAGCCAAGTATGTTTACTAGGATTACAATAGTAGGGGAGAGCGGGGCTATACCGTACACATAAGGGAAATTCGTAGTTACATCGCAAATTACGAAGTAAAAGTAATGTAAAGAAAAACAATATATAATTTAATTATTTGGCTACTGATTGTATGTAAACATTTTGGAACTATTGCATTTTTTACATGTAAAAGTTTGTAATTAAAAAAATGTTACCTTGTACGAAATAGCCCCGGCGGGGGTGGGGCTATTCTGTATAGTAGAAGGGGCTGGATACTGTACAGTTAAAAAATCATTTGTTTAGGTTAGTAATATAATAGTAGGCTACTGCAACAAATTATTGTACAAACACTTTTTATTACTATTATAAAGGTTGTAGTTGAGAAACAGTGTATTACAAGTTAAACATTTTAGAAGAAATTTCATTTAAAAAATCAACCTTTATGAAAACATGAGATATGAAAAAAGTTAAAAAATGTCATCCCAAAATTAAAAAAAAGAAGAACAAGTCCACAAATGTAGTTCTCTGCAGACTCCGCAGCACTGCAAGCTGAATGGACCCACCCTGAACATGAGCAGCACCCTGTACCAGAGCTGTACGGTTTAGTCCCAATCTGTACCTCGTGGGAATTTATAAACATAAACTCAAATTCTATCACTTAAGAGCTTAAGAGGTGTAGTTTACTATGATCTCACAGTTAATAGACTACGATAAAAGCTACTTCACTAACTTTGTATTTAGTACTAGACGAAAATTAGAAGCAAGTGAGTAGAAATATGGTTTTTTACTGAAAAATTGAAACTAGCACACATAGCAAAACAATGCAGATACTGAAAACTGGCACATTCTGCTGCTAGATAGCAGCACTTGTCGGGATCACCTAACTTGAATTCTAGGCACACAAAAAAATGGGTGTACGGTTTAGCCTCGCTGTACGGTTTAGCCCCACTCTCCCCTATATTACGTTACTAGTCCTCAAAATAGGTGTTTACCGGACGAGTGTGGTCGTTCCCGTGCGAGACGAAGTCGAGTGCGGGATTACCATACGAATCCGGTAAACACATTTTAGAAGAGTGACATACCGTACAATATTTTACGCCATACTACTTAAGTTAACTTAACAATAAAAAATATTTACAAATCCTTGTAACTTACATTCCCACTGACTAGACTAACTATCACTAATCATAACCTCTTAAGAGGTTATGTTTTTGTTTATAACCACTCATTGCCAAATATAATCAGCTGGTTGGTGTCCGGTACAAACTCATTACAGTACAGTAGTACGTAATGAAACCCCATTTGATTAACCTGGCGGCAAACAGCTGCTTTCCGGACTAAATCCTTGCGTGGGAAGTTCGCTAAAATAGTGTAGTGTGGCGTTAAAATAAATTATCAGTAAATAAGTTAATGTAGAATGGTAGAATGTGTAAAGTTAACGAGTTTTAGTACTGTACATCGAAAGAAAATAATTTAAATCACTGTGCCTGGAAGCTCACCTAATTCAGGTCAAGAACAGTATGGTAAATATTAGTACACAAATATGAAGATATTAACATTAGGCGGTACTTTCCTGTTAAAGGGAACATTCATTATTATCGATCTGATTTCTTTCGATATATCGATAGGTTTGCTTTCTTTTACGATCCATTCCTTCTGTTTCAATATCTTCAAACACATTTAAATTACAAATTGACAACTGATCTTGTTTATGCAAAAATAATATATTATGTGGATCCAGAAATAAAACTGTTCTAAACTAACCTAACATAACTAACCAAACTTGCTGTAGGCCTACCACTTCAAAATTTCATTTGATAACAGAAAAGGCATGTGAGTAATATGAAACGGGATTTGGAAATGTTACAGCAAGTTTGGTTGGATAAGGTTAGTTTAGATTCAGTTTCATTTCAATAGGCCTATAATAACTTATACTTTAATTGTTTGTTGATACTGAACAATATTTACTAATCGTAGTTGTCAGCTGATATCTCGTTCATTAATATCGGTACCTATATCGGATACAAAAATAAAATATCGATGTATAAAAAAAAGCAATCAATAATAATGAATGTTCCCCTTAACAGAAAAGTACCAATTGGACCTCAAAACTACAAATTATAGGTAGCCTACAGTGGCACAATTTTTTTAATACCATATACTACGCTACAGTAATTTATTCCCACACACCACTTATGAATTGACATAGGCCTATATCAGATCCTTACCTAATATTTTTCAGTCCTAAGACTGCAAAAATCTTATCTCACAGTCTTGAACTTGTGCTTAGGCCTTTATGAACTTTACTTAACTAATTAAAGTTCTATGAAAAACTTCACTACACAGCTTCCGGTTACAGTTTATTCAACTCTAGAGAGAGGGAGATAATTGTCTTCGTTTACTCAATATGGAATAATAAGTATCAAATGAATAGTTTTGTGGAGAACTTTTATCTAGTTCAAATCCCTGAGAACGATAAAAATTAAAAGCATTTGTATTGTGATTAAATACAGTAAGTACGACTTTCTTCATGTTGTAAATAGAACACAAACGGTCAAGAATTGTCATTATATGTTTTCCAAGTCCTTGTTTGTGCACAGATTGGTCAAGCTGAAGTTCATAACAATACACAACATTCACATCATGATCCATATCAAATCTGAAGTGTGAAAATGCAACTGGCTTGCCATCATTTTCTCGAGTGACTATGAGGAACCGACAACTGTTCTCTGACATCTCTTTTCTTTTACTTTCTTCATTCCAACCACAGTCACATTCATTATATAAATCAATCATATTCTCTTTCAACAATGTCATCATCCACTCAAACAACTCTTTAGAACATTTAGTGTATGAAACACATGATATTTTATAGGTCTGACTGGTAGTTTTTGACTGATATTTGCTTAGATTACCGATTTGTGATGTTAAATCTGTCTCCAAATTCGCTTTTTCAACACAACTTCTCATTAACTGTAAAACCCTATTTCTTTTGGGCAATTTATGATGTTTCTTTTTGAAAAGGTGTCTGTTCATAGTTATAAATGTTTAAATAAGAATATTTTGAGTGAGAGTTGAGATGCAGAAAAAGATATCATCAGGATTTAGCCTAAGTACATGTTCACAGAGCCTAGGTTTTAAAAGTTAAACCAAATGATTTACTAAGTTACACTAGTCAATGGTTACACACAATTTTATATCTTACACAGCGAAAATGTCTTATTCGTTATAATTAAATAATTGGATAACATCTTATCGTATGTTTAGTAAATTAATCTACCTAGGAGTAGACCAAGAGCCTATTTTGAGACCCCCGGTCTGAAATCGGGCTCAAACTAGAGCCTAGATCCTATCACTAATTTTTAAAACATTCTTAAAGAATCAACATGGTTTAGATTTTGAAGATACAACGGTAGTAACTCAATTTGCTAATGCATTCTTAAACAAAAATAATAATAATACACATTTAAACTACTTGAAAAATATCAGACCCAAGGCGTATACGCCTTGTATCAGACCGACAACGAACTGAACATCATCAACAAAGTAACAAAACAAACTTAATAAAAACAAAAACTAACCTGTAAGCTTAAAAGTCAGCAGACAGTCAGCCAAGCCAGCAGCACTGAGCTAAAATTATAACTGGAGGTAGCACTGCCATGGCAGAAGTCTGTCAAAAGCGTGTCGCTGATTTTGTTAGGTTGGTATAGCAGAGAGTATTTTTGTCATACTTGAATACTTTTAATACTTTAATAATTTTCTTTGAAATGGCGACCATACAAAGTAGGTATTTTAAGCCAAGTATAATAATAGTTATAGCAATAATATGGCTTCTTATGACACCAGACTCACGCAAACATGGCGGCTGGCGACACGCATCTTTGACATTCAGTGCTACCTCCAGTTAGAATTATAGCTCAGTGGCCAGCAGCACGACTCCATTCAATCAGGACTCGGTACCCCCCACCACCTCGCCCGGGACAGTGGAATTGGTAAATGGTATCGGATCGGAACGGAACACGGAGCATCCGAACTGAAACGCGGCAGACGATTATTGTTTGTTATTGTTGTTGTTACTTGTTATCACTGTAAGTTTAACAACAGTTACTGACTGTCGTCTTCTGCCCAAGTTAACTAACGTATTTGTGTCCGGGTTTCATTATGTCTTAAAGTATTTATTACAGTATTGTTATTACCTGTTAATAATGCATGTTGTTTTCCCACTTATTGTAAAAGAGATGTAGGCCTACCTCATTGAAGCAAAAATGCAGAGGGCAGCCCAAAAGCACTTTTAAGTATTGAAAGCCACATTTTTACTTGCATTGTTTTTGAAAATTTAAACTCGATTAAGTTAAACAAAGTAGTTTGAAAAGCTGACAATTATCTAAATTTTTAATTATCTTATTAAGTAAACAAAGATTTAGTATCATCAATGTACCGAATAAAATTGCTTTTGGGCTGTAATGCAGGGTTCTGCAGTCCAACAGAACACGGTCCCCACCCCGATAAAAAAGTAAAAGTAAGTAGTATTCTTACTGTAAGGGTAAGAAAAAATTTTTGTTTATATTTTTTAACTAAAACCATTGACTGAAGTGAGACAATTCCCCCATCTATACAGACCAGCTTTCACAAATTGTTTTTGCAATGCAGCTTAATGGGCTATTTACATAGGCTGGTAAAGAGAAAGTTTAATAGGCTGGTGTCTAGAATTCTATTTTCATCCTTTTATTTTGCTACTCAGTTAGTTAAGGTGACATAAAGATACTACAGTCGACTCTCGATAGCTCAAACCTCAATAACTTAAGTTGAATTCCTTGATACCGGTAACTCAAATGTTTTTCCGTTCCCTTGAGAAAATCTGCCTAAGTCGAAAAGAAAACCATACTTAGGCTAACTCGAATTAATTTTGCACCCGAATTTTACCTCTATAATTCGAAGTGATAGATAAATTACCTCTATAACTTGAAGTTCAGTAGGTAAGTCGAAGTCCTTAAATACATTACCTCAACAACTCGAAATTTTCAGATCAACCTTCGCTAACTCGAACCGGTCTGGATATGTCGCTGAATTGTCCAACTGCTTGCCAAAGGTTTTAAAGGATGTAGGAAATAAAAAACATTGTTTATTTGTACCTCTATAACTCGAATTTTATTTTGTTTACCCCTGTAAGTCGAATTTAGTGAAATATTACCTCTATAACTCGAACTACTCAAGTCGAACTATACGTAACTCAAAGAAAACAGCCGTTCCCTTGAAATTCGAGTTATCGAGAGTCGACTGTATAGCTTACAATAAGTTGGCCTATCGCTTTGACTTGGTAAAAAAGTAGGCCGATGCATATATTTGACGGAAATCAGTAATTTATATCAGCGCAATCTGGGGGTGGCTCACTAACTTGATTAAGAAACTGGTGACAGCTTTAAAATGACTAACTTATAGCATAATTGGGCTTTAAATAAATGATCCTGACTAATGAAACCGCTGATCTGTAGTCAGTAGCAAAGCTACACAGATCATCTCACATCATTCTACACTTATCCTTCACTCATATTAGGGTTAAAATACGCACCTAGGTGGCGTCCCCATCTCAAGAATTGATAATTGATAATAACTAGTGATGTCAATGGTCAAAGCTCCACCAGTGATATCAATGATATTCAAGTTTGTTTTGCCTAGTAATCGTATTGCACCTTATGTGACCATCTTACAGGGAGAAAGTATCTGGCTGATAGAATCTATCTGCCAGAAAGCACTTAAACACCAAAGATCAGCCTAATTTGTTTATTATTTGAATGAGCTTCAGAAAACACTGAATCATTTCTTGCCTTAAAAAGCTGATTTTAAGGCTTACCAGTTACCAGCTCCACTAAAGCCAAAACACTGTCCAGTAAACTTATAGTAAGTTTAGTAGTCTGGTTCTGGTTCATGATGGCCCAGTTATTGCAAGATGTTGGTTAACTATACTAAGTTAAAAACCTTTTTCGGATTTAAACATAATCTTTTATGCCTAAGTTACTAAAATATGGTTAAGAATTACCAAAATGGATTTTTCAGTAGGTAATTTAGTAAGTTAACTTAGGTTATTTTCAGCTATGTACAAGTAATTAATGTGAAAGCCTCCCAACAAATTAAGCCTACCCTTTTTAGGTGCATGGTGCATGCATTAAGAAAGGAATGGAAAGTCAGCCGTTTGTAGCTGAAATCGAGGCTTTATTTCATTCCATTACAATTAATAACGAGACTAAATCAATAGGAACAAACAAAGCCGTAGAATGAAATTATATATTTGTGTTCAAACTCCTAACCTAGGCCTAACTAAGTTTATTTAAATTTCAAACATTAAGTTAAGCTTACCGTACTGGTAATTAAACTCAGTAGGCTTAAAGAATAAATTGTTTTAAGTTAAGTTAGGCCCTAACTTATGTTTTATTATAAAGTAGCCTATAGAATAGGTGATTTAGGCTAACTTAGGCTATATAACTTAAGATGCAAACAGTAAGTAGGCTAAGATGTTATCTCACCTTAAAAAGAAATTGTCTAAAGAATCAAAAACAAATAATAAAGGTGATATATTTATATACAAAATCATTACCTAAGTTTATTAAAATTTCAAACACAACCAACTGGTATGTTATCCTAATATTGAATAAAAAAATTGCTTTGTTTAACTTATACCCTAAGTTATGTTTTATTATTATAAGGTAAGGTATAAGGTAATAGGCCATAAGATTTTCTATAAGATGCAAAAGGTAACTTGAATGTTTCGTAATCACAAAATTTATTTAGGGTCCATCTTACTCCTTACAATTGACAACAGTTTAAATTCTTTTACCTGACTTTCATAATTACGTATAACATATTTAAATAAAATATCATAATAATACTATTATCAATAATAAAAGGTAAGGTCAGTTAAATAAAACCCTTCAACATATTTGTACAACACAGAACATTGTTTTATAAAGATCCAAAATTAACTTATTAGGCAAGGCCTAAATCAATTAGGCTAATTAATTGGTTTCTAGAAATATATCCATCGATTGATCTGACAAACACATTTTGAAATTAATAGTAAATTAGTTATAAAGATTGGGAACCTAAGTTAGTAAGTTTTATTACTATTACTGGTTATTGTAACTCCGCAACATTAATTATACAATAACAATAAACATAACCTCAATTAACCACCAAACCAAATCGTTCCGATTCCGATTCCGCTGTCCCGGGCGAGGTGGTGGGGGGTACCGAGTCCTGATTGAATGGAGTCGTGCCAGCAGCCAGCAACTGCAAAATGCAATTGATATGATATTGAATTGAATCGAATCGAAATCAAATCCAATCATCAAAGCACCGAACCAACAAACAACAAATAATACCCTCGCCGCAGCAAACCTGCAGACTAAGCGAATTTCCATTTACATTTCATAATAAAATACAAACTAATATTATTAGTAAATCAGCTGATCGCCCAATGCAAATCTAATGGAAAATACAAGTTACAAGTTGTAACTTGTAACTTGTAGTTTATTATGAAATGGGCTGGATTTCTACTAAAATATTCCCTAAAAATTGTCAGATTTATTTCATATTTAATCAACATTAATTATAGAGAGTGCCTAGGTTTGCTGCTGCAGGGAAGATATTGAGATTGGCTATTTCCCTTTAAACCCCCCGTTCCCATGGTCCGATTATGCTGGTTCGCGAACTCATTCGAAAAAACGTAGGTTTACACATTTGTACGAAATTTCATCAAAAACGGATCATTTTTGCTCGAGTTATCTATCGCGCTAACGGACACAGACATATATGAATTTGAACGGATAGTGTTTTTGGCCTCAGGGGACCTCAAAACGAAAATGTAAATCGGTCCCGGGTCCAAGTCTTACCATGAGACCTACGGTAATAGCTTTATTCCCTATATGGGAAATTCGCTCAAATGAAATCTATTTGGAAAAGGCATTCAAGTACAATTATTTTTATATGATTATTAATACTAAAGTTATTTGTCTGAACCATAGATTTGCTATTAAAAAGTTAGTATTATTGTTTTTCTATGTGAGTGTGTTGTTGAGTTATCATTATTTACCATTACATTAGCTCTTGATGGAAAAATAAAGTTAGACCACCGTAGATTAAAACCATTTAATTTCATACTATAATATATATCTAGATCTATGCAATATACAATTTTCTATTGTTATGTTACCATAAAATAATGTTATCATTAATTCAAAGTTCGTCAAGTTTTGTTTTAAGATACTGTGCAGGCAGTGCAGCTGCATGACTCTTATCCACGCTAGCAGTATTTGACAGATTGATAAACAAAACTAATAACAATAACAATAATAGACATGACATAACCTATATATCATAACCTTAGCAAATTGAATTTTGTAAATAGTAGCTAGTAGGTAATAATAATATTTTCGGAATTGGCGCTCTTTAGTAAATGTAACAAAAATAAAAGCTTAAATCCTAAAAGTTATTAAGTAGCTTCATTGTAGGCATGGGTAAGTCTTTAAGTATTCTTATTTGTTGTAAATGGAAAATGTTGTTCAAAATGTGTAAACTATTTTAGGTCCTGTGACTTATTATCATTCTTTTATGCCATGTTCTACCTTCACCCTCTAAACTGCAGGTGTTGGTTTCTTCCATTAAGTCAAGCCCAAGCCTCATAGAACTCACAGTTCCAAAACCAAAATTGTCTTAGGCCTAAGTTAATGTCAGAGGCTACCAACCAAACTTGCTGATGGTGAAAAAATCGCATGAATGTTTACTAATCGAATCAATAGTTTCAATCGATATTAGCGTAGCCCAGTTAAGAAACTGTACCCGAGGCGGGTTTATTAAATTCTTTATATTAAATTTTCATGATTGCTAACACTACAGTCAGTTACAGTTTCACAGAAAACTTATGATATAACTTGGTGTTGGTTGAAACAAGTTATCCATTTGATAACAGGTCCGTGAAGTTAGCGTACCCATATTAGCGTATCCGCTTTTGTTCATACCAATCGCTGGTTCTCAATAGTTTCCCAATATTTTCGTTAAACTTAGTTCTCAAAAAATGAAAAAGCTATAGACCATAATTAATGGATAACTTCCGATTTCTAGCGGGCACCGCTTTCTGGTAAAAAATGCTTACATCTATATCAATGGTTAGTTCTCCAAAAATAAAAAATAGTTATAGGCCTAAAAAGTGGTTAGGTACCGGTAGACTAACTCCACAAAAGACATTCCAGCAGGTACCATTTTCTGATGAAAAATGCTTACATCTAACTTAGGCTTATATCAATCGTTAGTTCCATAAGTGGACTTTTGATAACTTATATAAGTTACCCTCGATTAAAATATTTCAATATTTATATAGGATACCAACCCTACATTGATGTAAAAATTGATTTAAGTTAGGTATGTTACTGTTATCGTACCGCTATTTTAATTTTCCATAAGAGGGCCGCTATTTTTTTACAGCACACTGTGGCATTAAGGCTAGGTGCTAGGTTAGTTTAGTTTACAGTAGAACCTCAATTACTCGAACCTTAAGTTAATATCTTTCAATTTTTTTTTTAAATCCCCATTAATTATAATGTTAAAAGTAACTTACCTTTATAAGTTGAAGTTTCTAAATATTTAACCTCGAATATGGCTCAATAATTCGAAGTTTGGCCTTACAGTGGAAGTCAGTTGTGTTTTGATTCCTATCGAGACATGAAAATCCAACTTCCTGTGTCTGTTTGGCTATCACTGTAGTTAAACTAAATTTTCTTCGTTATTTAGTAGGTTTTTTATGTCTCTATCAAACTTATTTATTAACTTGTTTCATACACTAGGCCTACACAATGTTATAAAACATTAACAGGATAAATAACGTTAACTGATAAATCAACTTCTAAATAAGATTTTAATTAGTTAAAAAAATAATATTTTTCTAACCTAACTTGAAAAAAAAATAGTCGACTCGTAGGTTAGGTTATAATTATTTAGTGTGGTCTGTATAATAGGCCTACCTTAGTACTGGCCTACCTATTTTAAGAGAGCACTAATACAAATTGGTTTTAGGCCTAGTAAATCTTTCCCTTTAAGTTAAGAAATTACACAACATTATATCCATTTTTGTTTTTATAAATTATGTGAAAGTAACATGTTACATTCTTTGTTCTTATAAAAAGTAGACCTAATTAAGTTAAACTGAACATAACTAACCTTAACCCTAGATGGGTATCAATCGCACATAATTTTACATCCCACTCCCCACCGACGCTACCCTTCTTCCAGCGCAGTGCTCTCAGCAGTTCATTTCATTTCATTTCATTTATTGATACCCTTAACACCACACTGTATGACGATACCTTACCGTATATGTCTATCACAATTCCTAAGTATAAAACTATCAGTACGTAAATTTTACGTATTGATACCCTTAGCGTAATTTGACGATACCTTTCTAGGGTTAACTTACCTAACAGCCGCGCCAAAGTGTGAAAATCTCTTGTTGAAAAGACCCTATGGATTTCATTCATATTCAAGCTATACAATATACAATTTGATAATGGCCTTGAGTGAAAATTATATCTGATACGATATAACTTATTTCTAACTTATACTTCAACCGATAATATATATTTAGGTTCTCTGCAGAACTGTGCCCCTACAGTCCAATAAAAAAGTTAGTTGAATATGCTAATGTGCCAAAGAATAGAAAAGTAAAACCTAAACTGATAAAAAAATTAATATTTCGTAAAAAGGCATAGTCTATGACCTAGTGTCATTATGTTTGCAAAATAATCCCAGTCGTCGCTAATACAGACACCAGAACCAACTTTCTGCTGTAAAACTGTAGAGATTATCAATTTTTATGACCATTGTAGATCGGGGAGATCTATTTGAGTCAGAGACCACTGTTCTGTGGAGGTTAAATACCATTTAGACATTATGAGGCACTCTGATTAGTCTTGTACTCTTAGAATTTTAAATTGTCAGCACTTCTTCCCTAAATTTTGCTACGATTAGTTGCCTGCATTCCACACAATATTGGATCGGACTTTTAAAAATTTCACACTATCATCCTCAATTAGTTAATAGGCATACACTTTAGAAACTGTTGATGATAAAAATGTATCAAACATAATATAAAAGTTTTATTAGGAATCTAATTCATGTGTTCAAGGAAATTCAAGCATAATTAGATTTAATTAAGTTAGTTAATTAATTTAATTTTTATTTTTTTTTAATTTTTAATTTTAATTAATTTAATTTAGTTAATTAGAGCTAATCAACTGTTTCAGCTCCTGATATAAAGATTTATGTTTTTAGTATGCGAGTGGTACATGGATGAGGTGTCTGTGGTTGAATACTACTTGCTTCTTATTCTTCTCATCCTTCCAGTGAAGCTCTTCTTCGACTTATGGGCATGGCTTGGATGGGAACTCTTCAAAAACAACTAGTCAATAATGCCAAATTTTATAATAGTTCTTACCTGTACCAAAATAAAACGCTTAAATACTGTTACCTCGTAGTACTTTTCTGTTCCTGTTTTAATGTCTTTGGATATTTTTTTATCGTCAAAAAAACATTCCCTCTAACTTAGAATTTTCTAAGAGAAGGCTATCAATTTTGTGATAAAAATATTTGGTAGTAAAATTTATTGGGTTAAGTGGGACATTGACTGTCTTTGGATAAACTCATTTTAAGGTTAAAATTTAAAAACATAATAATTTCTAAACAAAAACTTGTGCCACACAATGTACGGCTTTTTATTGTGCTGCGCAGAACATTATGGCACGTGACATTAGAGCGATGGTGTAGGGGGGAGGAAGTATCATACCTCATTGTAGGTTTCTGACGTAACATTTCAGAAATTCTAGTACAATTCAAGTTACTCTTTTGAACCATTAGAATTTCCTTATGATTTTTAAATCCATCTGCAAAATTGGTGGGTGAAAATATAGAAGAATTGTAAATAAATACATTTATTAACAACATATAGGCTAGCCTCGGAACTTTTTGAACAACGGGTGTTTGATATTGGCCAGGTACTGGCGACGGTACTCCATGTACACGGCGTCGTCTGCGCCAGACATACTGGCCAGAGTGCCAGACCGCCGGGAGGTGCCGGCTCCCCCTGGTACTGCTCTTCCTCCCTCCCCCGGCACTCTCTCCTCATCAGCGTCCGTCTCACTAGCGGCCAACACCTGCTGCAGTAACTGGCCTTGCTCCTCTCTCGTCTTGTAAAGCATGTCAGGCTCCTGTAGATTATTAAAATATCACTAAAAGTTGGATTTAAATGTTTACTCCAATAAGTTTACAAAGCAAAAATTTATAAAATGTATTTTGAACAAGTTCTCTATAGGCCTAATCAATAGTATCTCTACTCTACAATGTTAACATGAGTCAACCATTATGTTTGGTTATTAAAAATAAGTAATTAGTAAAATTCCATAATTTCCATTTGGAGATATGGAAATCAACACCTTTTCAACAAAATTGGAATTGGATCTGGTCACTTAAGTTCAATTTCCCTCGTATCATACCTAAGGCAACTGAGTATGTCTACGCCTGTGATATTTATTTTACGTCTATGAAGGGAACAGTCCAAACCCTGGTTTTGTTACTGTTTTACATAGACTTTTTGTTGGATAGCATTTGTTTTCAGTTTTGTGCATTTGCATTTGTTGGTAGCTTTTGTTTAGTGAAAAATGTCACCTAGATCTGGAAACGATCTCGCTTGGATTGCAATGAAACCGGCAACCTTCAGATTTGAAGACATGTAAGACCTTCCCTGACTCAGTCAAAGATTATAGGTATTCAATGTCAATAAGCAAGTACTTGGGTAACATCAAAACTACTGTTATCACAGTATACAGAAATAAAATTAGACAAAACCCGCTGTGTCATTTTACAAAATCGAGAACTGTCTTTTTTAAGGAAAATTAAGTGCACCTTAATGTATTTAAACAAAAAATCCTTAGTAAAATATTTGGTTCAGAAAAGGACAAAGGAGAAGGATTTTCAGTAAAAATTTAGAATTAAGCATCCTATACCACGAGACTGATGTCAATACATTAATAAGTAAGACTGGCTACTTGGCTGGACCACGTATTGTAGAATACAAAAGACTGAAGGAGATGTTTATAATCTCCTTATGAAATTATCTCCGAGGTAGGCAAAAAATAAGATGGTACAATATCACCAAGAATGGACAAACGTCAATAAGTGTGGAGGAACAGTCAAGACTACAGAAGGTAAAGATGGTTGGAGGAGACTAGGATGTAATAATACATCCCAATTAAAACAAGGTAATTAATATTTCAAACATCTGTTAGAATATCTTGATTATTCTGTCAAGACAATTTAAAACCTAGTTGGCAAATTCAACCGATACATACCTCATCCATTCCAGCCAGCTTGGTGATGACTTTGTAGCTGTATCCCTGGTTGACAAGGAACCGTTGTCTCTTGCGAGAGTAGCCCATCTCCAGAGTGTCCTGAGACACTAGAGTATAGAAGAAGGCGTTGTATTCCTCTGCGATTGCACCTGAAACCACCCATCACAGAGATTGTGAATACATAAAGCAAAACTTTTATTTAGGAAAGTAAAAAAAATATTACCTTGGCAACTTTTTCCTCCTAAAGGCTTAATATAGAAAATTGTCCTCATTTGACAAAATTGAAACCATTAAGGACGTATGCCGAGCCAAATCTGAAGCCATTTCTTCTGTCTAGACTTCAAATACTGGCTAAAATGTTAGCTGGTACAAATTTCACAATCAATCTCACAAAGGCAAAATCAAAATGCTTAAAAACAGAAATGTACAGGTAGGGTGTAGCATAGAGCACAAGGGCCTAGATTTTTTAGGATTTTTTGAGAGGATAGCAGGCTTACCTGAATGGGAAAGAGTCCAAACTGGCACAGGAAACACAAAACAAAACTTTACACTATATACACAATAGTGTATATAGTGTATTGTGTATATAGTGTAAAGTTTTGTTTTGTGTTTCCTGTGCCAGTTTGGACTCTTTCCCATTCAGGTAAGCCTGCTATCCTCTCAAAAAATCCTAAAAAATGTACAGGTAGCTTAGTTATTCTTTTGTTCCTCACTAAAGTTACAAATTTAAGACTTTAAACTAGATGTTTGAACTTTGATTTTTGTACAAACAAGAAACTACTGTACAGTAACCGAAAAGAGTAGTCACTAACCTTTCTTTGCTCTAAGAATTCTGCCGAGTCGCTGTGCTTCTTGCCTTCGAGAACCTCCGTGAGATGAGATCTGTATAAGCACATTTGCTTCTGGCAAGTCAAACGAGGTATCGGCCACTTTGCTGACGAATATTGTGTTCACCTTTGGGTTGAACTTGAAATTCTGAAGAATCTGAATCCTTTCACCCTAAGGGGAGATATTTCAATTAGTAATAGAAAATCTGTGGACCATAACATAAAAAATGATTTTAATCAAGATACTACAGCTAAAATTATCTGCTTAAGCTGGTGATAAAACATTGGCCCAGTAATATTGTAAACTCGCCTTTTCTACTAAGTGATGATGAAAGTGTCTTTAATGTTTCCAGCTGTAACTGGTTTTAACACATGTTACATTTTAAGACAACATTAGGTATATTAACCATCTGCCTCAGAGCTATACAAAGGAGTTAGGTTTTATGGCTGCGACAATTTGAAAATTGTACAAGTATTTAGCATCAGCAGTCAAGACTTTGGTGAATTAAAACCCTACTCCTCCAGTACCATTACAAAAGTCACAAGAATAAGGAATGAGGATGTGAATTATCAAGTATAAGCCTGTTACCTGTGAAGTTGGCCCATAGATGTAAGGTTTGTTCATCTTGATGGCGTAATGCTTGAGGGCAAACACGTTGTCGGAGAAGACGATTGTTTTGTCACCCCTCCGCTCGTGATACCTCACTAGGAACTGACATGCTCGGAACTTGTTGGGGTTCATCACATACAACAGCTGGAACACAACACCCCCTATTTTGTTTATAATGCTTTAGGTTTATTACTAGTATCAGCTTGATATAATAACTTTTAGTTTAATCAAAAGTAATTTCTATACTTACTATGCAATTATTGACATTAGGCCTATTGACTGTAATCTTGAATTTCTTTCACCTATCTCATAATTACCAAATTCTTGATTTTAAAAGCTTATAATTAACTAGTTGTTCTGCCCAAGCGAGCCACGGGAAGAGAACGCAGAAAAGATAAGGCGATTCTTCACCCCCTTGTCCAATGCAAGCTGGTCTTCCCACTGCTGGTTGATACTGGTGTGCAGCTAATTGTTTTCTCAAAACTTCAGATCCTTCTTAGCTTTATATAAATTACCAAGCTTTGAAATACTACCTACCAGTTTCTTGCTGGTCCGACACACAAGATACTCCCTGTAGAACTCGGGTGTCATCGGACACCACACCTCCGCACACTGCACCCTCGCGATGAACCCCTTCTTCTGCAGCTCCAGCCAGTTGGCCTCGTACAGCTTAGGGCCGATGAGGAAGTTGAGGTCTGCAATCTTGTCATCCTCCCGCAGCAGTGTGGCCGTGAGTCCGAGTTTACAGTGTGACTGGACGATGGTCAACACTCGACGAAACATCTTGGCTGGGATTGTGTGTACCTCTGTAGGGAAAATCAGTTTGCATAATCTTATGTGAGTGATCATGAAACATAAGAATATTTTATTCTTACGTTATTCCTCAGATGATGTACTACTCAAATCATTGATTTTATCAAATGGTTTTTAGTGGAGAAAGTCCACCACGGCAAAGTTACCTTTGATTGCGAAACATATTCCTTTTTTTTGTTTGATTACGTGGATCTAGAGCTAAAGGTGAACACAGAATCTCTGGGTCTCTCAGGTTACTACATTATTAATTACTACATACCAAATTGTCACTTGAGATAGCCTAAGTGAAATTTGAGCCGGAGTGTCGAGGATAGAAAATCTCTTGCTTCAACAACTAAAAAAACCACACTCACAAGGGCAACTATACTAAACAGTGCTAAATTTGTTGCATAAATTAATCTAATTTACTTCAACCGAAAATATTTAGATGGTAAACCACTTTTCTCACTTCCTAAATTGATCATTTGTAATTTTCAACCATCAACAACAAAAAATCTTAAAAACGATTAAAATAAACATTAACAAAGAGTTAGCGTTTGACTTATTACCATCTAAGACCATAATTCCCCACTCTTGTTCCTGAAGCCATTTCATGGTCTGGTCAGCCTCCCAGGAGCGTTTCTGTGTGTGAGTAATCATGGAGTAAGTAGTGACCAGGATACCGCAACCCATCGGCTTGTCTTTGGCTTCAGACGTGAAGCGGCAAATCATGCTGTCATCAGCTGGAAATAATAAAATGGCGATTTTATTGGTGTAAAAGTTAAATTTCATTTAAGATGTTTCTTCGTAAACTTTTTTTACCATATTGCATTGATATAAAAAATACTAAGGCTATATACAGGACTAAAAATTAAAAAATTTTATCCCAGCAAAACAAGACATTTATTGCTGTTAGTTATTTATATTGAAACAGCTGTTTTGAAGTAGTAAAAATTTCTCTTAAGCTCCGTTCACACGGGGCGAGTTTACAAGCTACGCGTCGGCTTTTTTACACGCAGCTAGTAAAATAGCTCAGTGTGAACGACATACTCGCTCAAAAGCTGCTTGTAAAAAATCTCTGAAAAAAGTTGACGCTGCCGTTACTTTACACGCCAACTCGCCAGCTTTTGAGCGAGTAGGCGTGTAAAAGCCCAGTGTGAACACAGTTGCTTGTGCTTGTGCGCATGTTACTCAAAGATGTTGGAGGATTTGGTTCAAGCCAGCTACTGAGCGAGTGGAAAAAGTATCGTGTGAGTGACTACAAGCGCACTCGCCGACTCGCCGGTGTCTTTCTACTTGTCTGCGAGTTGGCGAGTGGACAAGCTCCGTGTGAACGAGTACAAGCACACTCGCCAACTCCTTACACGCTGGCGAGTGGCGTGTAAACTCGTACCGTGTGAACGAGGCTTTACTACATTACACTAGGAGAGGTTGACGTCAGTTAACCTGTACACACATCCTCAGTAGAGAGGTTTACATTACCATTAGTACAAAGGTTACAAAAGACAAAATCACAAATAATAATCCTATGACTTTTAGTGGCAGGAGTTCCCTTATACTACTTAAGTTATTCTCTCCTCAGATACCTGATTTGATTGTTTTATGGATCCGGACCTACACTTTAAGATAGATCTGAGTACCAGCACAGAAAACATACTACTATAACCCAGAATGCCAACCGCATGGTAAAAAGCATTAAGCGGTTTGAGAGAGCTTTGCCTGTCAATCCGTAGGCAGCGCCACTAGCGTTGCCATGCAATAGCATAGCAACGCTGGTGGCGCTGCCTACGGATTGACAGGCAAAGCTCTCTCAAACCGCTTAATGCTTTTTACCATGCGGTTGGCATTCTGGGTTATAGTAGTACGTTTTTTGTGGTACCAGTCATAACATTTGCGCAAAGCTACCTACCAATTAGTGAGGCTAGGCACATTTTGAAAAAGGGTCGCTGGGATAAAAGTTCCACACTCTAACAACTAGATCAGTCACTCCAAAAACATACTTGTCTAAACTTTACAGCCAACTGATCAGAAAAATATGTTACGGCAATGTAGACGGAGATTACTTAATACTTTTAAGTTATGGAAACTTTACACCTACCAGTCGACCACATTTTAAACTGTTGTTTCCATTGTTCCACGGAGACACCTGAATTGCACAAAACCAGGGCTCGCTTTCGTACAGTACAGCAAGCCGTTACACCTACCAGACTCTTGCCCGCACCTGATTAGAAAATTGCATTAAGATCAGCCACAAACACTTCCTAACCTACAATCTAACACATTTTTGTCAGTAGTCACATGTATTAAAAATGATGTACCATTAAACCACTAATGGAATATTTTTCAACTTAAGCTTTTCTAAGAAATTTAAAGCCTAGTGGCAATAAAATGTCAAAAAACAAAACAATGCGAAAATATTGCTTGGAGTAGGAATTCTCAGAAATACCATTGATGAAGGTTATATTCTTTTTTAGTTTTGTTAAGCCCCTGGTCACTTGATTTTAATAGGTTTAAGCTGATTGAACTAAAAGAAACTCCCTATTAAATAGCTCTACCTAAAAATGTAAAACTAAACTGATAAGGCATTGGAAGGGTTGAAAATCTTTAAATAAGCTAATAATAAAAATTACTTTTGGAGTCTAGGCTAAATTTTTGAAGTCTAGTTTTCCCTGATTTTAAATCGGTTGGTTACTAATTTCCTTCCAACAGTTCTCTACATACTACATATTAGGCCTACTATTGTTTTATGCTAGAATATTGGATTTCACTTTACAAATAACTTACCACAAGGTAGGACAATGACGCCTGATCTTGCACGTCCGTTTCCAAACATTTTACGCAGACTTTTCTCCTGGTAAGGTCGCAAGACTGCTGAGGGCTTCAGATCAATGCTGAGAACAAGGAAAACGATATTACAAATTAAATAGGTTACACAAAAAAGGATAGTTGGTGACAAGTACATAATACTTATGTTATAACACTTGGTTTGGTTTTGTATTATCAAGTTTCAGTTTTAAATTAATAAAATTACTACCAATTTATGTTTTAGCCTGACCCTAATAATCAATTTTTTTTCAACCTTTATAATTGGTGATTGGTTTTTGTTATGGGGATTACAACAGGTAAAACTTTGAGTTTCCCATTTGGATGTCTTCAGGGTGTAATCTGAAGGGCTTTTAAGGACATGAATAGGCCATTTCGATGGCTAGGTTCGATGACCTACCTTGATGCACAATTTCAACCCAGTTGGTACAGTAGTTTTGCCTTCACTTAAAACTAACACATACATTGACAACCACATGTTTATAATTAATTGGAAAGACCTAGATAGGATTGCCCACAATCTTGAACTTATTAAATTACTTTGATCTTTTTTGGTAAGACTTACTTGATATCAGGGTTGACCGTATCATTGCGAAAATCATATTCCGCTAACAAAGGATGTTCCAATTCAATGCAACGTTTCTGTATCACTTCTATTTTTTCCTGAAATTCAAAATATACAATAAGAAGAAGTCAATGAAAGTATATTACAAACATTGCGAGGACAGTGATGCAATAGCCTATCATACTAAGTGAGGATTTTTTTAAACATTTGCAAAAAAAAGAGTGCAAAAACACTACACTCTTGAAGTTAAGTTTTTGTTGAAGAAAAAAGTCACTTGGCTTAGGAACTTATTATGGAAGAATTATTGACACTCACTAGGACCAGTCTTATTGAATGGCATTGAATTTCAAGAGTTGTCTGTACCCTGAACATTTTTTATATTGCATCTTGCTTTACCCATAATGATTTGAGTAGCTTCACTTAATTTTTGTTAGTTTAACTAAAGCATCAGTGTTACTGTTAGGAAAATTTAAATTTAGGTACTTGGTTCCTTCTTTGAGGGAAGGAATGGATTACATTACACCTAAAAAAAAAGGAACTAGCAGTGCCCAACTTTTCACAAAACATTTAACTCATCATTTTAGCCTTCCAAGGGTGTTTGAATTTAGTAGGCCTGTGTGCTTCTTCAGAAAAAAAACAATCCATTAAAAAAAGGTTAATTAGTAAATACACTATTTATGTAGGAATACTATTTACCTGATTCACTTCAAATGAAACAGTTTTAAGACTAGATTCCTCATCTTCGTCTTCATCTGCCTTATCCATTTTGTCGTAAAAGTCTGTAATATCTTCAGGAACCGCTTCCTTGACTTCTTCCTCGGTCACAGCCGGAAGTTCAGTCTGGACAGGCTGACTACTTCGAAACTGAAACAGAGAAAATAAAACAATTGGTCTAATCACAAACTTCTTCTCCTTTAAAGACTTTCTAAATTACCACACTAGAGAGGGGTGTGAAAAAACAAGAAACACCATGATAGGCCTAATGTAATAGCTTGTAGTGAGTATTTACAAGATCTATCTTAACTTGGAGGAATGTAAATGGTAATGGGTCACATAAAGTACCTAATAATTTTGCATACTGCACATAATGAGATGACAAACATTATTTTAGTGATTTCTTTGACTAAGGATTCTAAAAGGACAAAACAGGTTATGTTTAATTTATGGTAGCTCATCACAATAAATTACAACTCAAAATTTAATTCATAAATATAACAACAAAATACAGCCGCTATTACACATGAAAGGCAAGGAATATTATTTTAGGTGGTTTTAACTTTTACGTTTAACATAGATAACCTAGAAGTGACATTTGACGGAATTTTGTGTTTACTACTAATATCTTTAAAAATTTCCACTTTATTTAAATTCATTATTTGTCATCATGTTAAGATTGCGCATCTTCGATAGCCTTATTTTTAATGGAGCCTTTAAACATACAACAGAGTTTTAGTTATGATTCTCAGTTATCCTTGAGTAGGTACCATGGAATTACGTGCATTTCAGTGTGATTAGACTAACCGTAATGGCAACACTTTTTATTGCCTTTGTCTACACTCTAAACTTTCTGATTGTTTATGTTAACTTCTCTTATCTGCATACCACTCTGCTGCCCCTAAAATCTTAGTTGCAGTGTGAACAAAAGACTTGTAGTTAAGTAGTCAATCGTTTTATCTTATTTTATTATTACATTTGAGGCATTTTACTTGTTTGGTAATTTTAATTTATTTAAATGATATTGGTTCAAAATGTAAATACTTGGAGGCTTCAACAGATTCGACAACAAAGATTAATTTAATAATTTGTTATATTTCAACAATGTATTTTTTCTTTATTTTTCTTGTTAACTTAACTTCCCCCTTATTTGACCATGCTGTATTGGTTTAGGTCGGATGACCCTACTCTATATCTTATCAAGAATGGCCAGAACAGGTGGTTAATCACAAATATCCTCACCAAAGGCAGACCCTTGTTCTCCAGTGGCTGAGGTATCAGTGTTGTATCTTTCTCTTTGTCAACAGCCCGTCGCAGACGACACTCCTGTATCACTGGGTCCTTGAGTAGCTTCTGTAGCACCTCAGGAAACGGTGACTCCACAAAATATCGGTTGTGCTTCAGCACTAGTTTCACCTAAGGGTGAAAAATTACGGTGGTTAAAAGATAACTTCAAAGTAAAGAGTGGTAAATATGTACAGTTCTAGGAAGTAACTGTCTGAAGTATGACAGGAAAGTTATCCAGTCTCAATCATTAGTCAGCAACAATGAGTAAAATAAAAATATAAAACTATTCAAAGGTTGGCTTGAAGAAGTATACGCTGATTTGGCAGAATGGAAAAACGATTGTTCATTTTTATAAGTGGAATGTGAAAAGGACTATATCTTAACTTTTCGTAGTAGACATGTTTATGAAATACCATGATAGAAATATAAGTCTGACAATAACACAAATGAAAATGTTTTGCCACCATTAATCTTAATTTAAAATGTCTAGATTAGGTAAAACTGCCAAATAAATGTTTTAAAAATATTGTCACAATGAATGTAACCAGCAAGGCTAAACTGACATTAGGGTTACAAAATCAATCCTGTATTTAAATACGTTTAAAACTGTGTTAACTGCTTTTGAAAATGTGACAGCAACAAATTAAATTGGATTAACCCGGCACACCAAGAGTGTAAAATTTAAGGCAAGTATAAAGATGAGTACTGAAACAATATTTTCCGCTACATGATAACTCCTGGTTTATCTGCAAAGTTGTCTACTTTATAAATATTTGGGTTGATACCTTTCCATAGGAGAGTGTACAAAGTTTAATAAACTCCACAATTCCATCAGGCACTGTAGTTTTGCTGAGGCGCTTAAGGTACTCAATGATATCATGAGTTTCCAACCCCACTGAGACTGCAGCATACAGTGAATATGCGGTGAGCTTGTACTGGAACAAACAATTTAAAAACATGAGCTTCTACCGTCTTAAGACAAAAAGTAGAAATAATTAAAAATAGTCATTGCTATCAAATTTTTAATTCAATGATTTAAATGTAAAATATTCAGAACTAAACTCAAAACTTAAATTCAATAAAAAACTCCATTACCAGTACCTAGTTTGTACAGGATTTGCAATGAGCATATTTTGTTTAATTAGCCTACCCCTACAGTTTTGTACTCAAGCATACACCTTATATATTTAGCAGTTTCGGACTGATAATACTAATTTAATAAATACTTTAGATAAATGTCACTCTGACCCACCTCATGAATGTGTTCTGGACGGCATACAGGTTCTGATATCGCAATGAGGAAATCATGAGCGTGTTTGTAGACTGGCGAAAAAGATTCCAAGAATATGTGACCGTTGGGTGCCTGCAAAGGATATCACTATGTTACTACTCAAATCATTTGTCATAAGATTAGATGGATGAATATACATTAAAGTTCTCTCATAAAACTATTTAACCTATAAACTACTAGCAACAGTCTTGGTCTAATACAATGGTCTCTAGAAAAATAGTACGTAATATATGCCTAATAAAATAAATCTAAATAAAATAAATCATAATTAAGTCTGTAATTAAATCAAACTTTCATAATATTTTCAAATCTACACAAATCAAGCTTTCCATGGACACATTAATCAACAAAATCAATCCAGTAAAATTGACAAAATTGTAGATTTATTTGTAGAAAGTAAATCTCGAACTGGGTATTTTCTTATCACTATAAATTTGGAGGATGCTTAACTCTTTCGTAAACAACTTTTAAATGCTGAGGAAATCGACCATAGTGGAAGGTATTTTTTTTTTTTTTTTTTTAAGAATAAACTTTCCTACCAATTACTATCATGCATCTCTGTAAATTTTCCTACAATTCAAATAATAGTATTCCTAACTAAACATGAACTAAATGATATATATTTTTTTTAAAGGGAGAGGAGGGAAAATGCTGTAAATTAACCTACAATTTAAATAATAGTAGTCCTAACTAAACATGAACTAAATGATATTGTTTTTAGATAATATTTAAAAACAAAATATAATTCTTCTGTTCTCAAAACTGAATAGGCCCTAGTTCAAAACTTCCTTCAACAAGACATATATAGGCAAAATATAGCTGATATTTTTCAGAGGCAAACTATAGCAAACATCTAAACTGTTTGTTAGAACTCACAAAATAATATTTTTCACTTTTAAAACTAGGACAGCTATCTCGGTGAACTTTGCCAACTACAGGTAAACCATCCACAAGTTACACATCAAAACTGAACTAAGTTACATAGGATTTCAATTTTCCAATTTTACTGTCCGTAGTCAGCCCTTATGACAAATTTTGTTTTCCTTGTTTCTGGTTAAGGTCTGATTTCACTATTGTTTCCACTTCTACTCTACCTTCCAAAGACAACAAAAAATAAAATAAAAGCCTCAAATAAACTAGTTTTAACAAAAACTTGAAAACATTATCTTCAATAAATATGACAATAAATAACAGAAAGTAAATAAAGAAACGTCTTATAACACTTAAAACATATATTTACGCTTATACTGTTACTCACAAGACGGTAAATATACAAAAAAGATGGTAAGTGGTGATCGATTTTGATTGGACACTCCAATCATCATCAGACCCAATAGGCGAATCTGATTGTTAATTATTGTTACTCTGATTGTTGATTGTCTGATCGTTACTCTAATAAATAACATGCATTAAATAATTCTTAACTTAAACAATAACAAAAATAAATATTATTTGTTGTGTAATATTAACCAGGCAAGTACAAAAGATCCACATTCAGATTATGAGATTTGTGATTTCTGGTTTTGACTATCACTACCGTAGGCTACTACTCACCACCCAAAGTGGACGAGAACCGTGGTCCGGCTTGAGCGACATCTGAGCACGATAGTCTTTGGCTCCAAACTCATCTTCTTTCACCCCTTGATCAGCTGTTTCCGCATTTTTAGTAGCCGCCCCAGGAACAAACTCTGTTCAGCATAATGACACGATTAAAGATAGTATTGTAAATCTCTATATTGTAGGGTACTGGTACACTAGATTTACGTTTCAAGATTAATGATGTTAGCCTAACCTATAAGTCTCTAATATTGTACCTCAAAACTTTCTTGTAAACATTTTCTAACCTCTATCACACACAACAATTAAAATCTACAGATTTTTATAGTCTTTTAACATTTTTACAGATACGGTACACATAAAATGTGCTGTTGAGGAACTTTTAGGCCAGGTAAATTTTATAAAGTAGATCTACTATGCTAAGCAAGGTAGTTAGCCTAACTGGAATCTAACTTATATTACAAAATACAATATTCTTGTTTAAATTTGAAAACCACAAGATTTGGTACCTATTTAGAATCAAATTTCATGAGTATTTTGAAAAATAAAAGGAATGATGTAAGAGGATTTTGATCAAATAAATTTAAGAAGGTCTGAAAGAAAAAATGCTGAAAAACAACGACGACTCGTTGTCAATCTAGGCTATAACTTAGATCACTGATAGTGATTATAAAACTCACCCTCTTCATTGCCTTCACCAGGGTCGTCAACATTGGTCGAGTCTTCTTCTTCATCCTTCTTCCTTCTCTTCCATTTACGATCTGGAAATATATGAACTTAGGTAAACCAACAATATATTAAAAACAATGTTAGTACAATAAACAATAGACTTATTGTTCCTCCAAAACCGCAACCACAGGCCTACACCATTTGTACTTAATAACACACTTCCCAGGAACATTGAATTCAGTAGGCCTACCTAATAAAATCCTAAAACAACAGTAATAGAACTCACAAGAACATCTGCTTGACAATTGACAAATAATTTGCTGCGATAACCGAAATTTGATTGTAATGCGAGCACTATTACTGTATAACAACTCAGCTATTAAAACTTGCCTTCTTACACTGGTCCTTACTGCAATGCAATTATGTATGCAGACGACACAGTTCTCGTTACAGCCCATAAAAATAAGGAAGATCTAGAAATCCAGTCCTTCATTGCTGTTAACATGGCTATGGAGTATTGTAATAAGAATGACCTTGTCTTCAATGAAGCAAAGACAAAACAGCTTACTCTGGGCAGATTGAAAGCGGATGTGTCACAGCTTCCTAATATCGATCGAGTGGACGCTACAAAACACCTAGGCCTAGTGATTGACAAATCATTGTTATGGACTGATCATGTTGATGAATTATTCAACAAGTTAAATAGCGCAAAATTCGCCATCAGAAGATTGAAGCATATCAGCTCTGATGAAGCCGTCAAGATAGCTTACACCTCTCTCTTTGAGTGCCACTTGTGGTATGGAATTGTTCCTTGGGGTGCTGCATCATTTAACAACTTAAAGCGCGTCCTTGTTGTTCAAAAGAGTGCTGTCCGAGTGCTGGCTAATCTCGAAAATGAAGAAAGCTGCAGAAGACCCTTTAAAGAATTAAGGATTCAAACTGTGATCAACAGCTATCTGCTTGAAGTGATCTGCTTTGCTGTCTCCAAGACCCTGCAACGAAATTTCAACAACCACGATCACAATACGAGAAATGCTCAGGACTTCAACTTACCAGGTACATCACACGCTGTGATTCCACCTGAAGCCATCTTATACTGGAGCTAAACCTTTTAACGCCTTGCCTATCGAATTGAAGAGAACCTCCCCTAATATGTTCAAGAGAAGACTCTCCGAATGGCTACCTATTCCTGCATCCATTTTACAAAATGAGTAAATTCATGGACAGGCAGAACTTTGAAATGTAAATTAAGATCTTAGGTTTCATTTTATTATATGTATTCTGACTCCATTGTTAATCTTGAATATTATTCGAAAACGTTCAAGATTTAGCAAGAATGAATGCCATCAAAGAAAAAGAGTCTGGAGCATGGTTACATGCCTTTCCATCAAAAAACATTGGTATGTTTATGGATGACAAAAGCTTCCAAATCAGTATTGGACTTAGATTAGGTTGTAATCTCTGCCGAGAATTTCAGTGTCTGTGGTGAAATCGTAGACAAGAGAGGTTTACACCCGTTATCCTGTATCAACAGTTCTGGATGATTTTTCCAACACGCTGAAGTTAACAATCTGATAAAAAAAGCTTTGGTGTGTGCTGACATCCCAGCCCAACTGGAACCCACAGGTCTTGACCGAAATGATGGGAAGCGGCCAGATGGAGCCACAATCATCCCCTGGAGCAAGGGCCAATGTCTAATCTGGGATTTCACTTGCTCTGATACTTACGCAGTAAGTTATATAAATCAAACAAAAAAGCAATCCGGAGCAGCAGCTGAAATGGCCACCCAGAGAAAACATACAAAATACTCTAATATTACATCAAAAGGATACCAATTAATCGTCCTGGGTGTGGAAACTGCTGGGCCATGGTGCAAGGAAGGCAAGAACTGGGTAAATCAAATAGGCTGCAAGCTAATAGAAAAAACAGGCGACCATAAAGCAAGGAGCCACTTAATACAACGAATTGCCATGGCCATACAGAAAGGAAATGCCGCCAGCATAATTGGTTCCACACCCACAAACGACGACCTTTCATCAATATTTTATTTGTAAAATTAATGTAAGAATTAAATTTTGTCTATTTGAAAACTCACAAATTCATCTTGAATATTGTACAATAAAGATTCTCTCTCTCTCTCTCTCTATCCGCCCTTACAGGCTTACTGCCTACTTAAACATTTAAGTTATTCATGGAGATGAGTTGAAATTCCAGCCAGAGATTAAGCACACTTGGCCTGCAATAAGTTATTACCGGTAAAAAGGTCAACATAATTAAATAAGTTACTCATAGCCTAGAAAGGTAGCTTAACTAAGTTACTATGGGTTACAACACCAGCCCTACCTGAATCTTTCTTGTTGCGTTTAGCACCAGCCATATTAAGAAATTTAAGTGAGAAAATTCGGTAAACTCAATAATATTGTTAAATCATCGTTGCAACTAAGCCAAGAGTATGCCTTATGATCAAATTAATGTAGGTAAGTGGGTATATTGAACAAGCTATTTTATCAACCTTAACCTCAAACAACAAACAAACAGAACAACAAAGAACAAACACTAAACTGACAACTGACACTGACAGTGACAGTGACTAAGGTGAAGGTGACAAACACTCACTACTACCAACTCTTCAACTCCAAGTCCAACTGCCATTGGCAAGCCAAGGGCCAGCTACCATGAGCTACCATACTGTGTAAAGTTGTATTATGGTTGTATTTTGTTTGTATTAGTATTAGACTTATGCACTATCAATCTCTATTACTACAACCATAGACTAACCAACACAAGTAAACTTTCCACCCCATTGCAAGTTTTGAAGCTAGTTTTCCGTATCTAATTTCTGTCTGGTAACACTGATCGCTAGTGTCGACAAAAATTGTTTTCTATAATTTTAGAGTTAATTTCACGATTTGTCCTTTACTGTTTGGTTATTTAACTAGAGAATGCGCTATTTTTTTATAATTATAACGTTTTACTGGGTTAAACTGGGTTTTAAATTTACTGAGATAACCCAACAACGTATACATGTATATCCTCAGCCAGTCTCGACATCCTTGTACTCCTCAAGGACAAGGTGGGACTCTTTGGAAGGAGGGAGGAGGTGCACACCCTCAATACTAAATTTGTTTTTTTGTGTGGTTCATCAACTAATTTATTAATAACTCAATTGTTAAACCAAAATAACAAATATAAAATTTGCATTACTCATGTCAATCAATAAATTGTAATATTACATCTTAGTTGGCAATATGTTATGACAATATTGTTAGCTGTTTATGTTTGCACGGATAAAATTTATCCCCAACCCTTAAATGGGGACGGGACACTATATTTTGTTCACTTAATTAGCTTTTATTATATATGTGTTCAACTTTCTTCTACAATTTCGTTCTTTTTTGTTGGCCAACACGTCTGAACATCTGTTGGTCTGTCTTCTTTTTGTTCGTCTTAGTGATGGGATAACCGAATGGTTTCCATGACCGAATAATCAATCAGTTATTTTTTGCGCCAATCGGTTATTTTTAGTTGAATGAATCACCGAATCAATTTTAGTCATTATTCAGTATCACAAACCACAACTAATTTTTATCCTATGGGAAACTGAATGGCATTTAGTCTTTCAGCGTCAATCGGTGATTTTTAGTCGTACGAATCGCCAAATAAATTTTAGTTACCTGATTATGTGACAAACTAAATCAACTAAATAACTAAATCACCGAATCGCACGGTAAGACTAATTTAACCGAACCAGGATAAAATAACCGAATTAGTCTATTCAGCATCAATAACCGATTGATTCGGTTATTTTCATTCGGTGATTCCCACCACTAGTTCGTCTGGTTGTCTGTATGTTGATTGTCTTGTCTGTACTGTCACTCTGTCTGCTATTTATCAGTTCTGTCGCTGTCTGCTTTGTTCTGCTTGGTTTGGTACTTCAACCAACACTTTCCTTTTAGCAGAGCCGGATTATCGGACGAAAAATTAAAATTAGTTTGTGTATAGAAACCTTTAAAATAACTAATTACTTTTCCAGAAAAATAATTCCTGCCAGACCGAAAATGTCTAAATAGGCCTAAATTATGATTAACAGAAAAATGTTCAATTAGGCCTATATGAGAGAGGCCTATTTATGAAAACTTGCATTTTGTCCGACGGCTATTTGCTGGAATCTTGAATTTAGCTTACCTTGAATTTCCAGATTAGCTTAATTTCTTTAATAAGTTCGACCATTTTTAATCTTCACAAATAATGGGGACGGCTGAACAGGTAAGCAACAAAGAATAGTTTGAGAAAATAAAACAGATAAAAATGTGACCTACTGGACTAATAACTTACTTAGGGCCTATCGGTATCCTATACTACCCGTATCCTATAGGTATTTGATTTCTGAACCTTAATTGTATAATTCAAGTTCAACCTTCATTTAGGCCTATTTCGATTTGAAGGTTCAGAAATCAAATACCTATAGGATAGGCCCTAAGTAAGTTATTACTGCAGTAGTTATATCTGTTTTATTTTCTCAAATTATTCTTGCAAGAGCATTAGTGGGTAAGTTAGACTTCCGTATCTATTGGCAGAAACAACCGAATGAAAATATCGTTTATTCAATTGTTTCATTCGATATTTCGTTTGGTTAGTTAACTTCGGTTAACCTTACCACAACAACAGCTATCTCACAACTTTGTGAGGATAACCTAAAATCTGGAGGGTAAAGGGTATGCATCAGGCATCTTTCAAGGATACACTTCCATATCTGTTGGCACAAACAACCGAATGAGTAATATTGATTAAGTTATTCGATTGTTTAATTTGATATAGTTATCGTTTGGTTAGTTAGGTTAACCTTACCTAACTAACCAAACGATATATCAATATTTTCATTCGGTTGTTTGTGCCAACAGATGGAAGTGTACCCTCTTTCTAAACTTACAAAAAGCATTCGACACAATCAACTGGAATACACTGCTACTAAAATCTTCAACAATAAAATATCAACGACAAAACACTTGATTTGATAAAAAGTTATCTCAGCAATAGACAACGATATGTAGAACTGGAACATCAGATTAATAACAACCTAAGTAATCAACACAAAATCTTTGTTAAGAACAACCACCAGAGGTGTGCCTCAAGGATAAATTTTAGGCCCACTATTTTTTACAGTAGGCCCTATATATAAATAACCTCCCGGAAGAAATTGAACAACAACTCAGATACATACTCTTTGTAGATGACACGACAATCATACTTCCCACTGACCGAACAACAGATAACACCGATATGATCAATGAAACCCTCAATAAGGCCACCGCATACTGTAATACAGTAAACCTGAATATAAATAAAAACAATACAACCCACATAAAATTCACACCCAACAACAACAACAGACTAGAAGAGGACTGGACCAACCTGGACATTCCAACGGCCAACTCCACAAAATTACTTGGCATAATTGTCGACAAACACCTCAACTGGGAAGATCATATAAAATACCTATCCAAAAAACTGTCATCTGCAAGGCATGTCATAAAAATAATCTGCACACTCACAAATGAAGACATAGATGTAATGGCCTACCATTCGCTTTTTCACTCCCACATAAAATATGGTATCACCGCCTGGGGATCAGCAAGCACAAGTAACATCGAAAAGATATTAACCATACAAAAGAGTACAATCCGGGCAATCCTGAGACTCCACCACCTAGAACACTGCAAACCCCTCTTCATCAAACTCAAAATCCTAACAATAACCTCCCAGTATATATTTGACACAATACTCCTAGCCAAAAAATCATCCCCACCCCACAATCAGACATACACACCTACAACACCCGAAACAAACACAACATTACACAAAGCAACACCGACTACAAAAAACCAGCAATACACCCATCAATTCAGGTACATGTTACAGTATTACAATTTATATAAAATCAACAACCACAATCAACAGCTTCACAAAAAAACTCAAAGAATACCTAATAAAAAGGCCATATTACAAAACCACAGATTACATAGAACAGCACACATACCAACACCTCAAATGAGCAACTTCTTAAAGACTCCTCCAAGAAGGGAAGAAACCTGACGATTCCCAGATCCGAAGATTGTGGCGAGGACTACGTGGTAAATGGTAAACATAATTAACCAAAAATCAATATATCTATCAATATTTTCATTCGGTTGTTTGTGCCAACAGATATGAAAGTCTCTCGCTCACTGGCAGGCTGGACCGAGGCTTGGTTTCTGTAGCCCCGCCACAGCTATTCAACGATGCATTTGCATTCTTTAGGTCTTGGTATGAGGACTCACAGGCCAGTGGTGACCTCAGTTTAGCCAGTTTAGCCTTTGAACCTGCAATGTCTGGTCATCTACCTAAAACGGTACTTCTGAGCTTCCGGTACCATGTTTTGTTATTTATCCCTACCTACTTACATTAGAAAATGATTCACTTACAAAATATTCCTATTTAATTATTTTGCTTAACTCTTTTTAGGTTCAGGAGCTAAAAGAGCAAGGCAACCAGTGCTTGAAGGATGGGAAATCAATGGAGGCAGTTTTACATTATACTCATGCTATCAAGTTGGATCCAAAAAATTATTCGTTATACAGCAACAGATCTCTTGCATTTCTCAAGGCGCAGCAATATTACTATGCTCTTCAGGATGCCAAGGAAACTATTAGGTTAAAGCCTGATTGGGCTAAGGTAAGTGTTTGATTATGAGATGTTAATTGTGTAACTTAGCTACTCTTAATTTTATAGGTTAATTTTAAATCAACTCATGAAAGTGATGGATGCAGGCAAATACGTAAAATTCTCTGAATCTCTGATTGATTAAAAAGTATAATTCAGTAGTCAACTCAGTCTGGAAAAGTTTATATATATCCATTGGCTAACACTAGACTTAAGTGGTGTTAGTTTTCAAAGCTGGCACTCTTTTAAGGACATATTTACATTTTTAAGGACTCTTTTAAGGTCTATTTAACTCTGGTCACTTCCTTGGCTACAGCATTAATTGTCATCAGCTAATCATCATTGATTGGATCAGCGATTAATAAAAATATATATTTTCAAATGAGCATTTAATTTAGACTTCAATCAATCTTACTTACTTGTAATTATTATAACCTTACCAAACCTGCTTTCAATTTTAAGAGTACCAGTATTAGCTTACATATAACACTTTAACATATACATACTTACTGCTGTGGCCACTGGTACCCTAAATGGTACTTGGCCTCCCCAACACACTCCCTCCATTCATCTCTGCATCTTGCGTCTTCCTTCCTTCTTCTTAGTTTCCTTACGTCCTTCTCTACTTGGTCCCACCATCTTAGTTTGGGTCTACCAAGGGGTGTTCTTCCTTCTGGGCTGTTCTCCAGTACTTTCTTTGGTAAAGAGTTGTCTTCTTTTCTTATGATGTGTTTTATGATAAGTTATAAAATAAAACATACACTTCACAAGTACATTTTCCCTCCATGTTAATTTACTTAGACTGGCTATAATACAATTTACATTCTAGGGATATTTCCGCAAGGGGGAGGTAGAATCGGCTACATACAACTATACAGACGCTATTCTGTCGTATTCCCTTGCACTGCGTCTCCTTCCAGAAGATCAGACCCTGGCTGCGGCCCTAGAGAGGACAACTCGAGAGCGTTCTCGTGACTTGAGAGGTAACAAAGTTAATCCTGGTGGAAAATATTTTATGCTTTACTAGACTAATATTGTAATTAATTTTTGTAAATCAGTCAGACGCAGTTTTATGTCTTCTATAACTATAAAAGTTTTGCATTTGTTTCAAACAATAACCTAACCAAATATGAGATTATAAGCTTTATGTACTCTAAGAAAAGGAATTATAACTATAACTAAAACAACTATTAATTATAACTACATTTAATCTTTTTTTCAAGAAATACATAATGGCAACATAGCAGTGCTCGATTTTTAGACTTTTTAGGTAGCGGAATTGTAATTCGTACTTTAAGCTGGGACCTGTGCTTACTGATTTCTACCAGTTCTCTAATCAACTTGGAGAATTGTCTTTGCCACAACCATAAGAAACTATAGTGTTAGCAAAACGGGAGTGCCGATGGAGACCTGTGGGGGTGCGTGCGTTAGAAGGGACTTGACCTGGTCTCCATCGGCACTCCCGTTTTGGTAACACTGTAAACTAGGCCTACTAGTTTTCAACTTAAAAAGAATTGCTGTAAAAGGCGGGGTTTCGGTATGCTTTCTCTGCGCTTCCTCTCAAATTGAGTCATGGTTATTTGCGATTGTTTTGGTTGTTTTATATGTATTTCATAATGGCCTACTTACAGGAAAAAATTATGTTCAGTTGGATGTATTGTTTGTATTAGATGTAAAGAGAATTAAATGATTTCAGCTGATGCTCAGACTCCTTGGCTTGGAGCTGGAGTGGGCTTGATACTTGGAGTGATGATTGTTATTGCAGACCATGTTGTTGCTGAAAAACCTACACTATCGGTAACATTTTGACTCTATCTCATGGATCTATAATTTGGGGTAAAATGTATTTCAATTGTAGCCTAAATTCTGTTCTGTGTTTGGTTATTGGTGATACCAATTTAATGCAATCTTATGATTTGAGATTTTGGAATTTGATGAAGTACTAAGAACACTAGGCTACCGGTTTTGTACCAACCATTCCAATTAGTTACTCTGCAGGAGCCCATTAGGGGTGCAGAAAAATAAAGTTCAAAGTAATCAAAGTAGGTACAGGGAAATTTTGTCTATGCCATCAATAGCCTAGGACTCTTAGAATGTTTTTCCTTTTTTATATTGTTACCTAATTTCAATTTGTCCTCTAGCACCCAGTTCTGATGGCCCTGATCACCATAGCCATCGCCATGGTAGGATACTGTATAGCCCGAGGCTGCCGGTACTACATGTCCTGCCAGAAGCAAGGGCTGCTCGATCCACCTGTAGATCTGTTTCCAGGTACGTTGTGCTTTCTTTCCTACCTGAGACTTATTGATTGAGTTGGCGCATGCTTTCCTTGAGTTCATCTGCCACCTGTGGGCTGTTTGTGCTTGAGAGTCCATCAAACTTAAGTCCTATCTTGGACCTCCTCTTAAGGCAGGTGTCTGCCTCTTGCTATAGTTCCAATAGTATACCTCATTCAGAGCTTTGCAGTTATAAATTAAATTGTCTTAAGTCTTGTCATACTGCTTTTTTACATGCTTGACCCACTGTGGATCCCAAAGCGATGAAAGAGCTTGTGAAACTGTGATCTGTCTTAGTTGCCTCCTGTCTTGTACAGCGTTGGAGGCATTGTCTGTGAAGGGGGGAAGTACCGCTTGTATACCCTCAAACCGTATCAGGAAACTAGACGACTTGGCATTAAAATCCACATACAAATTTTACCCTGCAAGCTGTCACAAAATTCTATTTGATTGACAGATGAGGAACAAGAGACGGAAGACAGTGAGACGTCCAATGGCTCTGCTCGGACCTCTGGCAACCACCAGCGATACACCAAGGCTCAGGCGCGGCTGCGGTTCAAGAAGGGGAAGAAGAGCTAAGGTCTGCTCTTCCCTGAGTTGTTGTCTGTGAGTATCTAAAAATGGTTTTGACGTGAACGTATCCAAGTGTTACCCGTGAATAAAAACACCATTAGGATCTTCCCAGCTGTTCCATTAGGATAATAAATCTACAAGAACGTACAGTAAAATCTCTCTCAACCTAAATAAATGGGGAGGTAATTTTGGATACAGTAACAAAAATTTACATTTTGTTTCAGCAATTAGTGATTAGAAAATAGCTATTTACGTTACAAGTGTAGTAGTAAGAGCTTACTTTTACGTTGTACATCACGCAGGTGAATGTTGTGCAACGAGCAGAAGCGAGTTATTTATCAATTAGGTAGAAAATGTCTTGATCTTTTAAGGTATTGTGATTTAAGTTTTTAATTGTTTCAGGTTACCAGTTGATTCTCACGTTGAGACCCAGCACGTTGGCCCTGCGTATAAGATACTTTTAGTGGTCTTTGACACTGTATCTCATATCTTTGTTCTAGTAATAATTTAGTGAGATCAAATAGTACAACGAAGTCTCCAGGAGACTTGCTCCAGATGGGTCTACCTATGACTTTTGATATAATTAGACATACCATTCCAATGTCAAAGTTGAATTTGTATTGGTAACCAGTTTTAGTAGGAAATTAACATAATTTAATTGAGCAACTGACAATGAAGCTGCTGTTTATTACTGATTTGTGTCCACTATAATACACCAAGTTTTAAACCTAGAAAAATTGAAAATATAATTTCAAATTGGTTATAATGGTATCGAAATCAAAGAGAGAAAATTTGATTTGTTGAATAATACAATCTGATCAGCTCATTCATTTATGTTTGATATGAATAGTTGACCACAGCTGGGGCTAGTCGATTCAATGTCTATCCTTCAATGGTTACCGGTACTATGTAATTCTTGACCACCAGGTTGACCTACTGCTAAACTTTAAAACATTTTTTAAATCTTGTATTTCTTATTAGTTAAGAGGGTTCTACCCGGCAGCCTAAATTTCAATTCAAGATGGCGGATTATATGGATTGTAATATTGTTCGGGCCTCTATTGTACAAGCTCTCAACACTCAAAAACTAATTTGATTCCAATGATTGTGTTTTTGTGCTATTAACAAATCAGAGCTTGTAATGGAAGGGGAAAAATTAATTTGTTACTCTTATCCAGAAGTTAAAATCATATGTAAAAAAGACTTATTTACGGAGTTTGAAAACTATTTAAAGAAACAATCACGAAGTTTCAGTTCATCCAGTGCATAGTTTGGATCTTTGTGGATATTTTACAGTTTATTTAAACTTGACAAACACTTTAATAATGCCATGAGGTTATTTTTTGTAGGACCATGTTTATGTGGTAAACAGCGGCGGGTTATACTCTCTTAATAGGTTTCTTGATAACGTTAGGAGTATCAGTTTATTGATATTTTTAGGTTTTACTTTACATAAAACAAGTTCCAAGACTGATCTAAAAAGTACAAACTGATGGGCCACTTTTTGTTTAGTAACTAAGATTGGAATATCTTTAACACGTTGAGTGCGGGATACATCTATTGATGTAAGCGCTCCTATCGGTCTACATCTATAGATGTAGTTGCGCCACTCTCACTACATTAGTTCAGTATGAGCTCAGCTATTGCCGGGGAACGTTATAATCATTGCCAGGCTGTAGCTTAGAATGCGAGCTTTATTTTGCTGTAGGTTGGTACTAAAAATTCCCGTAAAATCTCGTCTAGCAATGCTTTTGTCCCGGTTTCGGTACAAAGACACTGGCTATCGATCCGGACAGTGCTGCTACCTTTCAGTGAACTACGTCTACTTTCGGGGTAATGCAGCACAATCACCACTACTCTTTTGTGATTCGTCATACAATAGACAAAAGGAGTAAATATAGACTGTCAGCTGTGCAGTGGTTACCATAGGTTCTGGTGCACACCGCTGGGAGTGCTGTGTAGTTACGTAGCGCGTAGGCCGTAACTACATGGCGCTACCAGCGGGGTGCGCCCTAACCTATTGTATCTGCAGCACAGCTGACAGTCTATATTTAATTATTTTTGTCTATGATAATACCCAATATTTGAATGCCAATTACAATCGCTGATTCAGGGGGGCCTCGCTGCCATTGGGGAGCGCCTGTTTTAAGGTTTTCAACACTCAACGTGTTAAGAAAGTTTGGATGCATTAGTTTAGACACCTTGTGTAAATTTTACTTTTAGAATTGAAAAATGATTAATGAGAAGCCCATTTACCTTTTAAGACCATGAATGTAAACAACTCAGGGCTTTTACTTGAGATAAATCTGAAACATGCATTTTATTTTAATTGAACAAATTAGTAATTTTCTCAAATTTCAACAAATTTTGACCTACCTACTTACTATTATTAGTTTTTCTATTATTTTAATTTGTTATCATTATGTTATTGATTGAATGCATCCTTTCCTGCTATTTCATTATCCATATAAAAATACTACTATTATGTGTGATGCATGGCACTACTATAATGTTTTGATATGCAGCTCCTTGTTATTTTTTTTTTTAACCTAGCTACTACTTCACATTATAATAAGCCAAAATAATATAAAATGTAAGAGATTGAGTTTTATTCAAGTAAGATGTTTTTCTGTGTTTAAAGTATTTTTGTTAAATTATTTTGTTTTATTGTGAGAAAAAAGCAACTTTGTTCCTAATGAAGTATGTTCAAGCTTAAGGCATGAGGAGTCTAATGCATACACAATCAAATCGAAGTGCCATTTGTTGAAAATGTTGATTAGTGACGCAAGTTTGGAGATACAGTGTCAATAGGTCTCTTTGTATAATGTATACACTAAGATTTCCTCAATATTTATACAATTTTATATATAGCTATTATATACTAATGTGTGAATAAAGAACATGTAATCACCTTTATACAAAAAATATATTCTATTACCTATTTCCTTGGTATTTTATAAATTCTATGACATGATAAAGTAAAAAAAAATTAGTGTTTATACTGTATTTCGAGGAATAATAACTCAAATAAATTAATAAATGAATGTGTAAGAACCAAAATAACATTTATTCTGTTACGAGTATGTACAATCAAATGTATAAAAACTTAAGATAACCTTATCCAAGCATTTTTATTAATCTGATAAGATCTTGAGCTTCCATGAACCAGAAGTGCTACTTTTAGGTGGAAAGCTCAGTTGTGTATCTGAAAAAAAAAAACAAAAAAAGAGACAAAAGCATTAATTATTGTGCAAATACATCAGAGGGGGGACATGGGCTAATAGCAATTTGTCGCCACCGTTCCATCTAAATTTATGTTTGATTTTTACTGAGTTCAAGACTAAGGTTAACTAACAAATTTGTTTATTACGTTAAGCACACCCTACATTATTTAACGTAGTGCAGGACTACCGCAAGAGGCGGATTATATTAAATAACGTAGCACTCCTACCTCTAAACTATTGTTACAGTGTTACGTTAGCTATTGCAGTGAGAAGATTTCGCTTGCCGCTTGGAAACCCGGTATAATTAGTTTTTAAATCCGGTTATTTTTACAGTGGTCACTGTTCCAAAATTGGTGTAGTGTGGGGTCCTGGCTTGTATTTAATGACATGGAATTTTTTCGGTATTTTTCTTTATGGTGTCCGGGATTTTGCTCCTGCTTTTTTCCCTCCATTTGACAACACTGAGGACCTGCTAGCAGTTTTGTTTAGTGCTGCTACCTGTTGGGGGGTTCTTGTAAAACTACGTCCACAACTGAAACGTTTTTGTTCAACCAACATAATTACTTGACAACCCATAAGGCCAATGTTAAATTTTTAAATTTTCATGTGAGTTGTGTAGCGAAATACGAAGTTTCCTCAGGTAGTGGCTGTCGAAAATCACGTTTTTAAGGCTTTAAGTCCCTAATTCCAAAATGTAATCAATATCCTTCCGCTGGATTTTGAGAAATATACGAAAGACAGGCAAACATGTGTAATAAAGTTGTAACATACCTTGCTCGTATTATAGTACAAGATTTTATATGGGAATGCATGTTAGAAAATAATTCTGTGGTAAAGTTATTGTACTTTGTAACAATCTGCTTGTAATCCAGTTTGAATTGATGCTGATTTATTTCAAATTTTACTATTCATACAGTACAAGATGCGTCTAAAATTTATTTTTAGAAAATATATGACTAAAAATTTAAGTTTTGTATTCTTACCAATGGCTGTTGGGTCAATAGCATCTGCGTCACTGCCGGTTTTCTGAAAGTACAAAATACACATTATTATAAACTTGCTTATGAAATAAATGTTTATTGGCTATTACGATAAATTACTTTGAAAATGTTAAAAAGTTTTATGGGAGTTATAATCTTAAAAAAAGCTTATACACGTTCAGTTTGAAACCCAAATTTTTCCCAACTCAACAAATGAATTAATACATTTAAAAAATCTTTCTCGATGTACAAATGCTGTTTTAAGGCCACAAGTGATTATTTTAAAATCTTCAATGATTTAACAACTCTCAATATTACAGAATAAAACAATAACGAATCCTGATCTTAGAAAATTTATATCCTACTAATATTATAAATGAGAAAGTTTGGATGTGGATGTATGGATGTATGTTTGTGACAAGTGAACGCGAAAAATACTGGTCGGATTGGGCTGAAATTTGGCATGATGATAGCTCATATTCCCGATTAACATATAGGCATATTCTTATTTCAAAAATCCTTTCGGGCTCCGCCCCAGTGGCTCTGGAGTTTCCCATGTTAACCTTATGAGAAATGGAATTATTGAATCTTAACAGCTGTTTCAATTAAACCAGTTGGTTCTGTTCTATGATGATCAATAGCATTAAAGTTACAAGGATTACCAACAGGGTGCAGCACTATTATTTCTTTTACATTTATGACAACAGCTAATTTGCAACCAAAAGGTGAGTGAGCGTATTGAACGAACTTCAACCTGGAGGCAAGTTAGCGTAGCGAACGAGCTTCAACCTAAAGGTGAGTGAGCGTAGCGAACAAACTTCAACCAGGACGTGATTGATCCATGCGAACGAGATAATCTTGAAAATTAAGAAGTTAAACGGGGCAAAGCCCGCCGGTTACAGCTAGTTTATCATAAGTTGGAGTGAATTGTTCCACTCAATGTCTTCTTATGTATTATAACTAGAACATTTTTGAAATGGCAAGTTATTATTCTTTCCCTACCGCAATAGGTTAAATTTTTCATTGATATGGACCAGTGACGCACATATGTGACGGCTGGTCACATTAAAATAAACTGATGACACATATTTGCGTCGGTGCCCCAATGTTATGATCCAAAAAGCATATGGATATACCTTCAAAGCAATATGTCTTTGTATCAGTCCATTTCTATTTGAACACCCTGAATTCTCTGCAGTGGTCTACAGAGATGTCTGTCACATAGGTGCATCACTTGGTCTGTGGATAAGATGATTAGTGACGTCATATGATAGTTGGCAAAACTGTTTTTTTTACTTTGCTGCATCACTGGCCCGTGGTCTGCGTGTACTGTTAACCAAGTGACACTCGGACTATTTGTAATATTAAAATGTGTATTCCTCGGGCCGTGGCAATGACCGTTGCAAATATTTGGCGATCGGTAGAGAACGTGTTAAAGATTTTACTCTTGTTACTAACAAAGGTTTTTGTTTTCACTAAATTTTGAAGTGAAATTTATGTCTAGTTCAACAACCACAATTTTTAGAGGAAAGACAAAATACTTAATTATCTAAGCCTACAGAAAGATGATAAGTTGATCTTAATGATACTTGTCTTTTTAAATTCCTTGAGTGTTCCAAGACTTAGCAAACAGTTCACCTTGACGGCACAGGCAGGCCAGATGCTGTGCTTGACTTTGTCGACTCTGTCTAGAGCAGACTCCATCGCTGATTGCAGCTTTATAGCTTCTTCGTCCATTGACAACTCGGCAAGGGTGGAACAAAGAGGATGGACGTCCCCTAGTGACATTAGAAACAAAATTTACGATTTTTTCTCAACTCATTGACAAGAACACCTTATATTACTCACTACGGACTATACTGTTACTAGACAGCCAGCTATATAGAATGATACGTCAATAAAAGATAGCGTAGCAATGAAGATCAAATTCACAATTTCATTTGGACAGACTGCAATATTAGTCCTAAACACAGACTTTACTTTTTTTACCAAGCGCAGAACCACCCGAGGTGCGGGACCTTTGCAGCCACACCACTTTGGAGGTTAAGGCCAGCTCTGGTTGTAAAACGAGCGAGGGATTTTGAAATTTGCACTCTTTGAAGTAAAAATATTAGAAATTTAAAACATTCATGTTCTCATCACTGGCAATGGAGGTTACCACAGAGAAGAAACATATGATACATTCAATGGTACACTTAAGTGGTGTCTAGCACCAGCTGCAGTGACTGGTGTCAGGAGGAAATTCTATTGGTTGACCCCTTCCGCTGTTGTTCCCCCCCTCGCCATTATATACTAAAGCGCTCACGCAGTGGGAAGACCCTGTGCGCTACAACCCCAACATAGACTATAGACGCACGGTTTTCCCATATGCTTGTTTCCTCTGTATATTACTTCTCTGTGGTGTTACAAAATTATTTATTCTGAATAGCCAATAGGGATCCGTTCGACAACAAGGAGGTTATACCATGAATGTACAGGGTAGCGGATTGGTACTTTAGTACCTTCTGCTGCTCGGGCATGGACCTGGTCTAGTCGTCGTTGCACAAGTCCCCCTAATGAATTTAAGTGATGATGCCGCACCCTCTGCTTTAGTAATGTGTAAATAAAACGGTTCCTGGCTAAAGCACTGCATCCTAGGGTGTGAAGTTTGGGACAAAAAAAGTACCTTATAATGTATTGCAGCTCACCTAAGGCATACATCTACAGTGTTACATCGTACCTGTAAGCTTCTCTGTGTTCTGTATCAGCTCTGTGATTGTGTACAACAAAGCCTGTTCTTCTCTGGGGTTGCCTTCCTTGAGACTCCACAACTTCCTCTGAGCTTTGCGTGTGTTCTTGGTGGATTTTGTCCTGCCATCATAAATGAGTTGATTTAAAAATAAAAATATATACTTAAGAAATCACAACTCCCAGACAAGATATGTAGTCAAAAGGCAATGTAGATTATTAATTAAATTATTATTTATTAATAAATTATTAGTTTATACCTTAATAGTGCCTAGAATGTTATCACTTAATCAACAAGAAACTCATTGATATGGCTACATTTTTTACAAGACTATAATAGATTTCAAAGCCAATTGTAAGTACAGAAATGCACTCTTTTAGAATATGATAAATAGGCAACACATTTTCAGCAAATAGCCTATGTTTAATCATGTTTTTGAAAATTATATTGTTGTTAAATAATAAATTTAACCTTAACTACCTGCTTTTTAATACCATGGTTCAATAATTTAAAATCTCGCAAAATGTAATTAGGGCCTAGTTAAAAAATTTAAATTTAGCTTTAGTTTTAAGAAAATAAAATACCTAATCGTTAAACATTTAGAACAACTAATACCTTTAAGACAATTTACAGGACCTAGTTGTTTATAACTATAAGTATACGGAGAATGATATTTAGTCAGGAAAAAATCGTAACAATTCTTGGCACAATCGTTCTATGTTTACTGCAACCAATGCTGATCGGACAAGTAAAAACTTGTTGAAGTGTCCCTCTTATGAGTTGTTCAAGAATATATTTAAACCGTTGGCACAAATTGAGTCTTGTAAATGTGCGTTAGTTTTGATGTATCTCAAAATAATATTCCATAAGTAATAAATTCATAATGATCCATATAGGTTGAAAAATATCTTGTTAGAAAATGAGTACAAAATATTACCCAGCAGATGATGTGGTAAATGATGAAAGGCTGCTTGTGTCTGACTGGATATCACTCATTGCATCTAAAATAAAAAAAATCTAATAAATACATACAAAATATCACAGCACACTATGTAAAATTAATAAAACCTAGAGAACATTAGATTATTGAACTTTTTCAAGCCTACCCATACACTATTTGTGTGCTTACGGTTTATAAATTGCTAATGAGTTCTATCAGGCACACACAAATATTCCGCAGTAAAATTGAAATATATGTTCCGATTTCCAGTGCTCGTGAGTGATACCAACTGCTGAAAAATAAATTTCACCAGTGACACTGAGGGGTATCTCTTAAATTAAGTCTAAAAAACGTTTAGATTTCTCCTTCATTACATTTTGAAGTGCGTTAGGAGGGGTTTTTCCTTCTTTTGAACTCAATAAATCTGATGAAATGCAGTAAATAATCGTAAGAATAAGTCAAAACTATCCGCAGTAGTACTATCCTATCTAAGTCCTGTCTAAGGAACAAGTCGGTCTAAGTCAGTGACAAGACTACAAGATCGCGCCACTCATCCTACACTCATGGTCGCCATTTTAATTAAATGTATCAGTCTTATAGCTGTTATAATCCTTCAATATTTTAAACGTATATTTTTCTGTGTCATTGGATACCTTATGTTTTAAGGCAGACGTGTTTATTTTTATTAATAGATTCATTTCTCTTAAAAAAAATTAATAACTACAGTAGGCTACTATTTTAATCATTATTTGTTTGGCTATGGATGAAGTGAAATGAGTATGTAATCATAAGCAGAATGCTGTCCAAACCATCCTAAACTCAAATGAAATGGATCCGATCTAAATAATCACAACTCACAACCACAATTTTGAAGAAATGATTTGAATGTAATCTATGTTATGTAAGATGTACATACCAAAGTCTCTATCCGTGTTGGCCTTCTTCTCCCTGACCACGGCCAGTCTAGCGGAGTGTTTCTCAAGTTCGTCACACTTGGAGCGCAAGTCTGCCACAGTGCGAGCCTGACTGTCCAGCAGAGCTGGCCTCACAACTGAGTCTACAACATATTTATATAATTGATATTCATCCAAAATAGAGTAATTTATAATTAACGGGTGCAGCTATTTTAAATTAGATACTGTGGTGGAGGTACAATAGGATCCCTCATATCCAACCCTGACTGGACCATGGTCAGAACGGCCCAAAGGTCGGATATTGGGAGGAGCATAACCTGCAGTCCCGGTGACATCGGTAATCGTCTCCAGCAACGGCGGCAACACCCGTTATCTGCGACAGTGGTGATCGTTTGCCGCGATTACGGGAACATCCGCGATTGGCCTTTCGGTTAACCAAACATGCTCACCAGACAGCGCAAACCAGACATGAAACAAGTAGTCAGACACTAGGTTGGATATCCCAAGGAGGAGTTGGTTATTCTAAGGTCGGACATGAGGGGTTCTACTGTACAAAAAAGTAAAAGTTTGCAATTAATTTAATAAATTATATAACGTTTATCAAAACTCAGTTCAAGTTCTCTATGAAGGATCAGTCCTTAAAATGATATATCATGCTCATATTGAATCACATATTAACTATGGAATTAGTATTTATGGTGGGACAAAGAAAAAGAATTTTAAAAAAATTTTGAAAATACAATCAAAAGCAATCAGGATAATACATAAATTAAAATATAACCAGTCTGTCAAATCTTATTTTAAAGGGATGGGCATTTTTACAGTTCACGCCTTATATATTTTTGAAACAATTAAATATTTTTTAAATATTGCTGAGACTCAAGAATGGCTTGTGCATAATTATAATACAAGGGGTAAAAATTATTTAGCTAAAGAAAAACCAAGAGTTGAGCTTTTTAAAAATAAACCTACTTATATTGGAAACTATTCTTTTAGAAAACTTCCTAGCTTTTTAAAAAATGAAAAAGACAAATCTAAATTTATGAAAAAAACTGAAGGCATTCTTACTTGACCTTGCACCTTACAAAATAGAAGATTATAGTAATTTCAATTTAAAATAATGTAGCCTTTAGTATTTTGTTTAAATGTTTCTTATTGCTAATTTAGGTAGTAAGTAACAATAGACACTATTCTTGTACGAAAATTTGTACTGTGTGAATAAAGACTCTTTGAATCTTGAATCTTCAGAAATAAAGTTAATATTTTTAACAAAAATCCAAAAATATTTAAAAAATTCATTTTTTAACTGTAAGATTTTAATTGATAAACAATTAAATAGATTACTAATAACTCGCAAATTTTGATCAGTTTTCATTTATGGAAGACAGCAAATGAATGAGTGTAACAGATAAGTGTTTACCGAGGAGAGAATCCTGTTGACGTGTGTAACACAGGTAAACTGCTTGAGACCAACATCTAGCATTGGTAAAGCTGATGATAGCCTTGTCCCACCATTGCTGATGTTCACACAACAGTGCTGCCTCAGCATGCTGTTCACTGCTGACTAGTGCTGAGTACATTGACTCACTCATCTCTGTCAAATGTACATCACTGCAACACAACAACAACATCTAGCATCAGTACAGCTGATGATGGTCTTGTCCCACCATTGCTGATGTTCACACAACAGTGCTGCCTCAGCATGCTGTTCACTGCTGACTAGTGCTGAGTACATTGACTCACTCATCTCTGTCAACTGTACATCACTGCAACACAACAACAACATCAGTACAGCTGATGATGGCCTTGTCTCACCATTGCTGATGTTCACACAACAGTGCTGCCTCAGCATGCTGTTCACTGCTGACTAGTGCTGAGTACATTGACTCACTCATCTCTGTCAACTGTACATCACTGTAACACAACAACAACATCTAGCATCAGTCCAGCTGATGATGGCCTTGTCTCACCATTGCTGATGTTCACACAACAGTGCTGCCTCAGCATGCTGTTCACTGCTGACTAGTGCTGAGTACATTGACTCGCTCATCTCTGTCAACTGTACATCACTGTAACACAACAACAACATCTAGCATCAGTCCAGCTGATGATGGCCTTGTCCCACCATTGCTGATGTTCACACAACAGTGCTGCCTCAGCATGCTGTTCACTGCTGACTAGTGCTGAGTACATTGACTCACTCATCTCTGTCAACTGTACATCACTGTAACACAACAACAACATCTAGCATCAGTCCAGCTGATGATGGCCTTGTCCCACCATTGCTGATGTTCACACAACAGTGCTGCCTCAGCATGCTGTTCACTGCTGACTAGTGCTGAGTACATTGACTCACTCATCTCTGTCAACTGTACATCACTGCAACACAACAACAACATCAGTACAGCTGATGATGGCCTTGTCTCACCATTGCTGATGTTCACACAACAGTGCTGCCTCAGCATGCTGTTCACTGCTGACTAGTGCTGAGTACATTGACTCACTCATCTCTGTCAACTGTACATCACTGTAACACAACAACAACATCTAGCATCAGTCCAGCTGATGATGGCCTTGTCTCACCATTGCTGATGTTCACACAACAGTGCTGCCTCAGCATGCTGTTCACTGCTGACTAGTGCTGAGTACATTGACTCGCTCATCTCTGTCAACTGTACATCACTGTAACACAACAACAACATCTAGCATCAGTCCAGCTGATGATGGCCTTGTCTCACCATTGCTGATGTTCACACAACAGTGCTGCCTCAGCATGCTGTTCACTGCTGACTAGTGCTGAGTACATTGACTCGCTCATCTCTGTCAACTGTACATCACTGTAACACAACAACAACATCTAGCATCAGTCCAGCTGATGATGGCCTTGTCCCACCATTGCTGATGTTCACACAACAGTGCTGCCTCAGCATGCTGTTCACTGCTGACTAGTGCTGAGTACATTGACTCGCTCATCTCTGTCAACTGTACATCACTGCAACACAACAACAACATCAGTACAGCTGATGATGGCCTTGTCTCACCATTGCTGATGTTCACACAACAGTGCTGCCTCAGCATGCTGTTCACTGCTGACTAGTGCTGAGTACATTGACTCACTCATCTCTGTCAACTGTACATCACTGTAACACAACAACAACATCTAGCATCAGTCCAGCTGATGATGGCCTTGTCTCACCATTGCTGATGTTCACACAACAGTGCTGCCTCAGCATGCTGTTCACTGCTGACTAGTGCTGAGTACATTGACTCACTCATCTCTGTCAACTGTACATCACTGCAACACAACAACAACATCAGTACAGCTGATGATGGCCTTGTCTCACCATTGCTGATGTTCACACAACAGTGCTGCCTCAGCATGCTGTTCACTGCTGACTAGTGCTGAGTACATTGACTCACTCATCTCTGTCAACTGTACATCACTGCAACACAACAACATCTAGCATCAGTCCAGCTGATGATGGCCTTGTCCCACCATTGCTGATGTTCACACAACAGTGCTGCCTCAGCATGCTGTTCACTGCTGACTAGTGCTGAGTACATTGACTCACTCATCTCTGTCAACTGTACATCACTGCAACACAACAACAACATCAGTACAGCTGATGATGGCCTTGTCTCACCATTGCTGATGTTCACACAACAGTGCTGCCTCAGCATGCTGTTCACTGCTGACTAGTGCTGAGTACATTGACTCACTCATCTCTGTCAACTGTACATCACTGTAACACAACAACAACATCTAGCATCAGTCCAGCTGATGATGGCCTTGTCTCACCATTGCTGATGTTCACACAACAGTGCTGCCTCAGCATGCTGTTCACTGCTGACTAGTGCTGAGTACATTGACTCGCTCATCTCTGTCAACTGTACATCACTGTAACACAACAACAACATCTAGCATCAGTCCAGCTGATGATGGCATTGTCCCACCATTGCTGATGTTCACACAACAGTGCTGCCTCAGCATGCTGTTCACTGCTGACTAGTGCTGAGTACATTGACTCGCTCATCTCTGTCAACTGTACATCACTGCAACACAACAACAACATCTAGCATCAGTCCAGCCAATGATGGTCTTTCCCTACCAATAGCTTCCAAGCTTCCATCAACTGGGTGGCTGTCAGTAGAAGTGTGTTACAGGACTTCAATTGACAAATCTTTTAACAGGGCATCAATCACAGGAGTATGGTCTTATTGTACTTCCTAAATTCAGACTCTTTGTGACTTGGTGAGGCGTAACCATATGAATGCCACTAAATGCTGTTGTGGCATTACTGTGTCTAAGAGGATGTCCATTCCATGAACATTGAATTCTTGATCTTCCGGTGAGAGCATGTCAAGTCGATATACACTATGAACAATACCAAATGTTTCACCCATGCAAGTGGCAGAGCTGAGACTCATGCGGCTTTCACCGGAGGACTGAGAATTCAGTGATGACACTGGCCGCTTAAGCCTACGAATGAACATGAACACGAACACTGTTCATTTGGTAATTTGGTAAACATAAAAGTTTACCATTCACTCCAGGGACACAGCTGTAGTATACAAAACCTTCAATGTAGTTTTAATTCCAATGTAGAACAAGGCCACACTAAAAAACAGGATGTAATGCTCGTCAAGCATGACGTCACGATAGAAGACGGCAATGACGTAATGTTTGCCATTTGTGATCAGCTGCTTGTTTTAATCTTTCCTTGAAAAAAACACATTTCCTTGTAAACCCAGCTAGGCACTGTACAATATTGGTCATTTCATCCTATAGGCATCTTTTACTAATGACTCATTACATTAGAAATGAATCCAAAGTAACTTCCACTGTGGATGGTGATTAACCTACATTAAATTTGATTAAGCACCATCTAATTTGATTTGGAGTTTGAGGTTAGCCAGTCTGTCAAATGTAAAAATAGATTTTTGGCGGGTTTCGATTTAGTTTACAGGTTGAGGATTCCACATGTCTATCAAAAGCCAATAGAGCATATATGCATGTCCTAGACAATGTATGTAAAGAAATATAAGTCACACATAGAGTATTTTACCTATATCCGTGTCTGGTAGCCAGGGTGAGACACTGTCTCCAGTAGCCGCCTTTAGAGTAGACAGCCAACGCCCCAGCGATGTCTCCACCTCTACTCAGCATCAGCCCTGCCTGTGTCTTACTGCAGTGCTTCAGCAACCACTCTCCATACAGCAAACATATCTTTTCATACCTGAACAAGTTTAAAAGTAAATTGAAAATATAGTCAAACTTATGGGTAAGAAGATTATGCTAGATGTATTGTTGGGTTAGATATTGTTGTCTCTGACTTTGATGCAAGATGAATAAGTTTAATTTTTAGGAAACGATCTTGACTCAAAAAGAGTTAGGATCGGATAATGTTTAGTTTCATTAGTATTGAGTATAGAAATCGGATCAGGTTTTTATTAGCGTATAAATGGATTTTCCGATTTCCTATAATTATACAAACAAATCAACAATACCTTAAATTCTTAAGTACACGAACAGGTTATTTTGTTTATTTATGGTATAAAGTCAGGAGACAGACAGCCTGCAGCATACTTGGTGCATTATTAATAAGATGTGTTAATAAACACGAAACATCGGTAGTCAACTAACTACAAACCAGGATCACTTGATAGATACAGGTAATTTAAACCTTTTATTATTAATAATGATTAAGGGCGGGTTTCTGATTCAGGTATTAGCGCTAGTCTTAGACTAAAGCTCATTTTAGTACTGGACTAAGAAAAATATCTTTCTGATTCGAGTACTTATAAGTCATCGACTAATATTAGTCAAGAACTAGTTTTTAAGTCTGAACTAAAGAAATTATACTTTAGTCCACGGATTAAAACATGCTAGATTTTAATCCTGCATAGGGGTAGGATTAATTTTAGTCGTCCACTTTTAACCTAAGCCATTTTTGTGTGTTAAAGTTTAAGGTGATTATAGATTACATTGATTATCATGATTTTTACCGTTTTCGTGGGCCGCGAATTCGTCGTGAGCGGGAAAACAATCCATTTGATGACTTAAATGAGGATGAATTCAAGGATAGGTATAGCTTTTCAAAAAACTCTGTGAGATAATAAAATAGAAGAGAATAAAATAAAATAAAATACTAAATAGAGTTTTAATTAGTTTGTAAATATATTTGTAAATAGTTTAGGGTTTTATCTTGTGCAGACCTCATCCAGAGACCTTTTTCTCCTAAAAGTTGTAATATTTAATTTCATACATTCATCATTTAGTATTAGGTTTCTTAAAATATGTTAATTTTGTTCATACACTACTTTATAATTTCCTTGTCTTAAATCACTCATCAGAAAGTTATCTAGATCTATAATGATAGGGCTGGCCTAGTATTCATTTAACTTACAATTAACTTATTTAAAAGAAATAGGATGAAACACCAATCCTAACTTTAAAATTTTACGATACAACTAGTTTATAATAATAATAAAATATATTATAATGATAAATGAATTAAAACAGAAATAACCTCAAAACCAAGGTTTGACTGAGATCGTTGTTTTGTTTACTATTTCAGAGCAGTGGGCACATCAAACTGACAGTGTTGCCAGCACGGCGGCACAAATTACCCTACATTTCCCTTGAAAATCATGAGCTCTTTTAATCTCTGACTAAACTAAGTACCCGCGTTAAATTAGTCCATGTGTCCTTAATCCTTGACTCAGACAGTGAATTTTTAGTACATGACTAATTTTGATCCATGACTAGCCTAGTTATGGACTTATAAATCCCTGACTCAGAAACCCGCCCTAACTAATTTTTAGGCCCTCGTCAATGACAATTAAGTTATAAAACTACTTACATTTGAGTTTGGTTTTTGAACAGTTGCAAGCCCAGGTTGTAGAGACCTGTTTCTTGCACATACTGTAGACACTCTTCTCCTTTGTCTGCGCACTGTGCAAGGTTGCGCAGAGCAGACTTAGTTTTGCGCAAACGCTTATCAATTGTAAACCTCATAAAAGGTGGATCCATTGAGCGCAGCTCATTCAGGTAAGGAACATACTCCTTTGGATCTTTCAGTGTCTTTCCTTAAACAAATAATGAAATAATATATTGCTCACTCACTGTAGCTTAGCTTCACTCAATTTTCTCAAAATATATTACTGCAGAAATCTTTTTCTAGATAAGGTTTCTTGACTTACGTCTCCTGCACCCAATGGAGACAAAAGAACGCTAAATAAAGACACTGATAGTAGTTCCCAAATTCTTCACTTCCATGAGCCCGTCCAAATGAGATGTTATGAGCTGTAGATAGCAAGGCACCACAGCTTGGCCGAATAAAATTTCATTTTCTAATAATAATAAAAATTAAAATACTTATAAAATCGATGAGGGTAATGTTCCATCTAAAATTATTCTTTAAGAACTTGTTGAGTTAGTTGTGTATCCTTCCTATTCTTCTTAACAGGTTATGTTTTACTGAATGATTTCACTTAGCAAAATCAATTAAGGTGTACATGGCCACCTAATGAGTGCATTAAATGTCTTTTTCCCAAAACTCCATAAACAAATAAGCACAATAAAAGTAGTTGTGCAGAGTTACAGGGTCTAAGATCACAACTTTTTTCTTAAGTGAAGATAAAATATTTTACCTGCAATCTTTAGTGCCTTATCCAGATTGTAAGCGCCTAGGGCTGCGTCATAGAGTCTGTCAGTATCTACGAGCAGCGCAAGATAGTTAAGTGCCTGGTCGGAGTCTGCAGCTGCGATCGCCTCGGCCAAACAACCTTCACGCACTAGTGAGGACAAGATTGGCTGTTCATACCTACAAAGTCACAACACCCATCATGTTCAAATTAAAAAGAAAGATTTGATGTTACAGTGAACCCTTAATTTTAACCTGAAGGGAGTAGGACAAATTCCAACTATTAAAAGGGATTAAAATGGAAAACTCCCAAAACCTCTGCCATGTCATTAAAGAAATCCATAATTAACTGGAAACATGAACAGCATATGATTCCAAATTTTAGGACACCATATGATATAAATAAACTCGGATTGGGATGTAGTAATACAAATTCTTACAGGGAATCACTAATTGTCAGACTTGATAAGTATTTAGGATTTTGAGACATGCAAGATAAGAGAGATTTTAGTTTAGGTGAGTCGGTGGCTCAGTTAGAAGCGTCACGGACTTCGGGCCCAAGGCAGTGATGTTGTGGGTTTGGATCCTGGTCACTGCCACTAACATTTTATCAGTACAGTTCACCTTTGTACTGTACCGGCTCACCCATTGCTTTGCTGGATACGTTCCACGCACAGATATGTAGCCTATGTGATGGGCAAATGCAAGGATAAAAGAGGTCGCTAACCTCTTAAAAAAAAAGAAAAGGGGAAAATATGGTGGCAAAGATCATAGCCACATTGGTGTGAAGATAAATTAAATCTTTTGACGTTGCTGTTTTAAACAAAAGACTAAGTAAAATGTTAAGATCTAAAAAATATTTAATGTTGCCAAATACAAATAGTATAAACATAGTCACCGCGCTGAGTGTTTTGTATTGATCGTTTTACAATATAACTAAAAGCATATAAGCTTTAATAATATTATCCTCCTTCAGTTCCGATCTATTAACTCAATGTAAATGCTAATGGAAAACCCCATAGCAACGGGCCATTACAAACAGGATGTATTAGGCCTACGTATACACAACGTAGCCCCATACACTTTCAGTAAAAACTTTGGGTCTTTAAATCAGGAATTATGTTCTTCTTAAAAATAGGAACGGTCCTTAATTGTCTCTCTGGAGCTTCTACAATAAGTAAACGTGGCTCACGAATATTTCAGGTGTTCTGCATTTTATGCTATTTGTATGTCTCGTTTGATTATATTTGGAATGCAAGTACCAAAATAGCTGACGATCCATCATCAGACAACTTCACATACATCAGAATTGTTTATGCTTATTTTGGCTTCGAGACGTTCACTTGCGCAATCTACAACTTGAAATGCCATCACTTATTAAATGATGTGATGGACTCATTAAAGAAACATCTCAAGTTTGTGATGATAACCCTAAGACAACAAAAGAGTAAGAATATGTTTACTCTCTTCAAAATCCTCGAAACCGTTTGGATCTTCTTAGTGATTTTGTTAGATGGGTACTATGGTATGCAGGACGAAGAAGACGTAATGTTTGGTGTGCAGTCAAAAGTATTTTCAATCACAATAGCATTTATCAAACAATTTGCGTTTCTGTTTGTATCATGGGCATTCTATTTTTTCTATTTGATGTTTAGAACTACTGAACTGGAAATGCTAGAATGCGTCAGTCAGTATTTATATGCAAAACACACTGAGAGCGAGAAGGTTCGTTCACCTGCAGCTCTCATCCCAGGCAGGAGTAGGAACTTTAAGGAAAGATACACTTTCGATGTAGAATACGCCTCAGCTGATATAATCACCATAGAAGAAACAAAGCCAAATATCCTCCAAATAGTGTTACAGCTAAACAATCTTCAAGTCAGGTATCAATCTTGGTCTTACTATGTACTCGTTTTTAAAACGTTCGATAGTTTTTTTTATTGTCCTACGTTCCTAATGCAATCTTACAGCATATTCTCTAACCAGGATTCAAATGTGTTAGAAATGAAGAGCATTAAATACTTGTCACTAATTGTGAATGCGATGGTATTAGTGCTGAACTTTGCACTCAGTGGGTTGGTGAAGTACAAAAGGAGACGTCTCTCTATCCTTCAAGTCCAACGGTCACTCTCACTCTCAAACTCCGCCTCAAAAGTGTACACCAAACTGTCTAGCCTCATCGACGACGCCTACTTGGACACTCCACATGTGCTGTTTGATATTGATTGTTCTCTGGTCAACTTGATGGTGGACACAATTGTATTGATTACAACTACATTCAATCTTAAGTGAATCAATAACCATGGGAGACAATAACAGTTCACTCTGAAATAGCACCTTTTTTCTATGTTCAATTTGTACAGGGTGACACAAAGGAACCGGACGTTTTTTAAACAGCTGTTCCATTGTTGTTGCACGTGGTAGGAAGATTGAAGTTATGTCTTTACCTTCAGTGAGGCTTGCCATTTTTGTTGAAATGGCTCAGTGGACCCTAGACCATCGTGTTTTCGCATACAATACTTTGGTCCGAAATGGCGAATCCGTCGTCAAATCCAGCGGAAATTTAGTCGACATTTTAATATTGAACGCCATGGAACGGTTCCAAGCCGAAATACGCTATTAAGATGGGTGTCACGGTTCCAAACAACTGGGAATATAACAAGAAAGAAACCACCAAGCCTTGTTAGAACTTCGAGAACACCCGAAAACATCGCCAGAGTGAGAGCAGTATTGAATGAATGTTTCCTAACAAGATGATTTCTCGCTTTGGTGACATGCCGTGGCCGCCAAGATCATCTGGCTTGTCCACTAGTGATTATATCCTTTTGGGGTTTCTTAAGGAGCGTGTTCATGCTTACAAACCACGCACTCTAGAGGATTTGAAGTTTGCAATCACAGAAGATATCAATGGCATTGAACCTCCTGACCCGAGTTTCAGAGGATTTTCAGACCAGAATGAACATTTGTAGATAAGTGCATGGCCGCCGTATGCATGACGTCATTTTCAAAAAATGGCGGTTTTGCAACAAATGGCAAATGTTTACCTCACTATGTGCATTATTAAAACCAGTTTATTCCTTTTAACTACTGTGTACTACTTATTTAAAAAACGTCCGGTTCCTTTGTGTCACCCTATATAAAGACATACTTACATTAGGTCAATAAAGAAACAATGCAAAGTTTTGATGATTCTTCAACTGATGCGATGATACTAAAGCTGTGTAATGATACTACAATGTAACAAATTACCATACGTAACCTTTATATTCAAAACTGTGTGTGTGTGAATAAAATGACTGACTAAAGTATGTAGTCGATACTCATAAAAAACCTAAAGCTTTGTGACTAGCTTGAACAGTTTGTGACTAAGACATCGGGGTTTAAACTCTCACGACCAATCTCAGTGCCAAACCAATAGCATAATAAGTTTTCCAAACAAACGTTTGTTTGTTAAACCAGAGCAAACCTCAAATAATCGAAAACTATTAGGATTTTACACGTTATCTTAATAAATGAATGGCTGAAGGATCCATGAACAAACAGTATTAAATTGGATTGTAACTCGAGTGTTATCAGGGCCAAACGGCGCAGTGAAGTCTTCATTGCCAATAAGCTTTTCCGAAGCTCTTGTGTACTTAGCACGCTAACCATGCTGTGTCCAGACTTAAAATAGCTTCATTATACCTCTCTATTTTTGAAATACACTTTACTTTTCCATTTTGAGGTCCCTAGAGGCCAAACACACCTTCCGTTCAAATTCATATACATATATACATAAGTCCGTTAGCACGATAACTCGAGTACAAGTGATTCAATTTTGAGTACAAATGTGTAAACCTACATTATTCGCATGAGTTCGTGGACCAGCATGATCGTAGAATAGGAACAGGGGTTTATGTGGGTAAAAATAGGGTTTTCCCATTTTTGAAGCTCAAAACAAAATTAAATTTTGCAATTTATTTCCAAACTATTTTGTAGAGCTTAAAAAAAACAAATTAATTAGTAGGGCCTATAATATTGAAGCATTATCATGCGCCTAATGGTTACGGAGAAAATTCCAAAAAAATTCCCATGTTATTCTTATGGAGAATAAATAAACAGTTGTAATTTGCTTGTTTATGAATATATTTTGATCAATTTTGGACAATTTATTGATTTCAAACTAAACTATTAACATTTCACCCACAAAAAACGAAAAAACACTTTTTTACCCTCCCTGTTGCAGCAAACCTAATTACTCGTTAAAGGGTCATTCCATATGAAATCAACAAATAAAAAATTATTTTCAACCTGACCATCTTGGATTTTGATGAAATTTTGCATACTTGTAGTATTTTGAGTCCTGAATCCAAATATGCTTTTTAAAAAAATCTATCTTTTATAGTTTTTATGATATAAATATTTGAAAATGGTAAAAATTGGCGTTTTTTACCGTGCGCGCAAATCTAAAATGTTGTCTAGGATGAGTTCTATTAATCCTATCAAGTTGTACAATGGCTCATTTTAAAGAGGATTCAAATGCCTTTAATCTGATACCAAACTCAACCTACTTTGGTAAAAATTAATTTTTTTTGAAGATTTCAAAATATGTTTTTGAAAAAAAATTTAAGATAGTGTTTTTTGAAAAATTTGAAAATTACATATGTTAAAGAATGTAATCTAGTAAGTACATTATAAAAATTTCAAAATGGGATGATAATGGGATCAGCAGTTATGATAAAAATACTTGACTATGGTTCACTGTTTCCAAGCGTTTTGGCGCATACAGCGTGTAAGTACTAACCTAAATGTATCATTAAATAAGAGTCTATTAATTATATGATTAAAATTAAAAATATCTGCCTATATTTGAATTATATATGTCATATTTTGCTATATATAAACTAAATCTAGCAAGTAAACAACATTATTCAAGTTAACAGAGTTTCCGTCAACCTTTGAACAAACATGGACCAATGGGTTTTGGTTCAGGTTCCTCAGTCTTTTCCAGTTAGTTGTGTTGCAACGATTTACTGTAATCAATCTTTAAGTCTGGCTTTTCACTAGGCTGGAGACACTAGTCAGCCACTAGATCTGTGCAAAATCACATTGTGAAGCACTTTACGTTTACACTATCAGGTCGCAGCGACCCACCTCGGCTGTAGCGACTCGGTCTTGAGACAAGAGGAAAGACTGACAAACATAAGTTAGACCTGTGTACCTGTCAAACAAATTACAACTTCTCAAGACCGGGTCGCTACTGCCGAGGTGGGTCGCTGCGACCTGATAGTGTAAACGTAAAGTGCTTCACAATGTGATTTTGCACAGATCTAGTGGCTGACTAGTGTCTCCAGCCTAGTGAAAAGGCAGACTTAAAGATTAATTACAGTAAATCGTTGCAACAACTGGAAAATACTGAGGAACCTGACCCAAAACCCATAGGTCCATGTTTGTCTGTCTTTCCTCTCGTGACAAGAGAGAGAGACAAACAAGCATTGATAATTTTGTCACACAATATACTGTGATCAATCTATTTAAATCCTGTAGTAACCTTATTATTGATACATAGATAATATTCCATGATAGTCTAATTATTTAGTTTTGGGGAAATGTCTGCTCATAAGTATAAATAATGTATTCTTACTTTAACAATTAAAATTTGTTTAGTGAAAACTGATTTGTGGATTTAAATACCACAAACCGCATACCACATTTCTGTATAACTTCTATTTTGATATGTCAAAAATTAAAAAAAGTTACGGAGAATTTTCAAAATGTCCGTTCGGTTATTTTTTAACTTTGCAAGGGTATTTTTTAAATATCATAGCAGTCAAATAAAGGAATTGGATTATGGCTGCTAATAATAACTAAAGCTCAAAACATCTGTTCTCATTCGAAAAATCATTTAAAAAAATAACACTTAAAACCCAAGTATTTTTTTTTCATGTCCGGGAAATTTTGCTCCAGAACTAAGGTTCGCGACGCCATAAGTAAGGGTCAGCAAATTAGGTAATTTTTTCTTTCTTTTTTTTAAAGTTATTACTGCTTATAATGTAATCAAAGCAGGTATTTTCTTAATCCCAGATAAATGGGCTATTCAATTATGGTTTTAAGTCATAAATCATAAACTTACTGGGTTTGCTGTAGACATGGATGTTTGGACGACTTTTTTTTACTAAAAAATTTCAGTGAAAAATAAGTATTTTTAATTTTTTGTAGAACCATAGTATGCACTATTAAATATTTTTTTTAAGAAGAGTATTTATCTGGGAATAGAAAATTATAATAAACATTATCATTTAAAGATAAAATTAATATGAAAAAAAAAATAAAATATGAAAAGTGGAAAGTTTGTTCAAAGTAGCCCCCATGTTCAAAGGTTGACGGAAACTCTGTTAACTTGAATAATGTTGTTTATTTGCTAGATTTAGTTTATATTATAGCAAAATATGACAAACATAGTTCAAATATAGGCAGATATTTTTAATTTTAATCATATAATTAATAGACTCTTATTAAATGATACATTTAGGTTAGTACGTACACGCTGTATGCGCCAAAACGCTTGGAAACAGTGAACCATAGTAAAGTATTTTTATCATAACTGCTGATCCCATCATCATCCCATTTTGAAATTTTTATAATGAACTTACTAGATTACATTCTTTAACATATGTAATTTTCAAATTTTTCAAAAAACACTATCTTAAATTTTTTTTCAAAAACATATTTTGAAATTTAAAAAAAAAATTAATTTTTACCAAAGTAGGTTGAGTTTGGTATCAGATTAAAGGCATTTGAATCCTCTTTAAAATGAGCCATTGTACAACTTGATAGGATTAATAGAACTCATCCTAGACAACATTTTAGATTTGCGCGCACGGTAAAAAACACCAATTTTTACCATTTTCAAATATTTATATCATAAAAACTATAAAAGATAGATTTTTTTAAAAAGCATATTTGGATTCAGGACTCAAAATACTACAAGTATGCAACATTTCATCAAAATCCAAGATGGTCAGGTTGAGAGCCTTGTTGATTTGATATGGAATGACCCTAAACCAATGCTATTTAAATAAGGAATAAATAAATGTGATATTTTTAAGGAGATATTTTAGAGTAAATCCAATCAGGCAAATGGAAATTCGCTTAGTCTGCAGGTTTGCTGTAGCGGAGGTATTGGTTAATATTTAATATTTTTAAATTTTTTACTACCATTATTTTCAGAAAGATTTGTTGATTTTGGTGGTAACATAGTTGCTTGATTTTTACGAGCTTAAACACAGTGTAAAAATGACCTAAATCTAATTATTTACCTTTCACGATCTTTGTCAGTCTGGCTCATGGCTTCTCTAAGAGCAGAACAAACCCGTGTCACCTTGTCTGCCATTGGAGGCCCTCTCCCTGTCTGCTGAACAACATAGCATTTACAACAAGTAAACCTTAAAGACTACTAAATATATTTGAGTACAAATTACAATAATTCGTCTTTACTTTGTTTGTTTAAGGTCAGCAAGTTTAAATGTTCAGTGAGTATCTGTAAATAAATTTATGATACAAGAAGCTTTAATTACACACCTCTACCAAACCAAGTGGTTGAACACACTGGTCTAATTTATCCATTTCATTTACTCATGTTATACCAAAAAGATACATAAATTATTACATAGGCCTACTGTGAATTCAACACATCATATCTCAAATGTTGTTGTATACAATTCTGTGATTGAAATGGGACAGAATGGGGGGTCGTTGAATGGTGGTGGGGGAGGGGGGGGATTCTGTGGATTAATTGATAGCTGAAATGGGAGGGCATCTTTGTTAGTCTAGTAAACAACTTTACACAGCTCCTATGCATGGCTAGACATGATTAGTTTAATTTGAGGCAGCCTCTAGTATAAGCACAACAACTAACGCATCGTAGCCTACATGTGGACAATGACCTGGTTGGTGTAGAAGTCCTTGTACATGGTGTGAGTGATGTCCTGATCACTGAGCTCAGCCACAAACACACTGAGCCACTGTGGATCCTGTATCTGAGCCACGAACCTCGGCACTGACAACAGGAACAACGACGGGTTGTGATCCACACACAGGTTTAAGTTGATCCTCTGCCTGAAACATTGTAAATCATCTCAAGTTTGTATAATAAATTGAGAAAGGTAGGAGAATTAATGACACGTAGGAGATCCTAGAGACCAAATTCCAGTTTTAGTATGACTTGCAGTTAATCTGAGTAATCTGTTTCATTTGGCTAATAACATCATCAGTGCAATGATATTACATATTTACATATTTACATCGCTATTACATAATAAATACATCAGGCTGGATCTGCTATCAACTAGAAAGACTGATAATTTTTACCACCAGAAGTAAAGTGCACCAAGAACAAGAATCAGAAGTTTAAAAAAATGTTTAAGTGATATATAAAAACAAGCTGATTACAACGTATTCAGGATTGGAAATAGCTCTGTTGTTCTTTACTTCGACATTAGATGGACCTCAGGCTACATCCTCTAGGTTCTTTAGCTAAGTGACCAGTTAATTTGGGTTCTAAATACAGGTTGAACTAAGTTTGAAAGCCCAGTCATAGTATTATGAAATCCCTATACGCTACCATTATATAGAAGTATTTATAACTGAGCCTCTAGAACAAACAAACATGCTGTAATTACCAGACTAACCAGATATTGATCAAGTTAAAAATTAATTGTGTACCTGCGTAACAACTTGGCAACTGCCGCATAGTCTCCAGAGTCTAGGAGTGCCGCCGCTGTGACCAGTGTAAGAGCACGAGGCTCAATAGTCTCCAAGTTACCTCGAGGCATCTGCAGCACTACGGAGTGACTGACACACACCACCAGACGAGCCCCTCGTTCTACCCGACGACATGTGTCACTGCCATCTAGCATCTGCAAGTGTAACTGAGTTAACCCTACTACCGAGTGTGTATGGGGAGCAAGCTAGTCTAGTGGTAGAGCGCAGGGTTTCGGTGCCCGAGGTCCAGGGTTCAAATCCCACCAATCACCAATGGATTTTATCTATGATTATGCCCCAACCCACTAGGACTAGCCTGAAGTAGTTCCGGGCTAGAACTAGCGTCCTAGGATGTGAAGGTCGGACATTAAAAAGAAAATACCGAGTGTCTGACACACACCACTAGACGAGTCCCTCCTTCTACCTGATGACATGTGTCACTGCCATCTAGCATCTGCAAATATAACTGAGTTAACCCTACTGACACAATAGTTCTAGTTGTGAGGTTTTGTGTAGGACATCGGCAAGCTTTGCAGAGTGGTAATATTTTCAACATATATATGTGTTGTAACAGAGACTACTACAGAACACAATAATTACAACAATGGCATTGATATTTTCCACCTTGAATCTTAAAATTACACAGCATATGTTAATGATGTTAATTATTATTAATATGCTGATAATAATCAACATCTGATTCATGGCTCTTCACTAGGCTGTTATTTGCAAACACATTTTGGGGCCTGAAAAAAAAAATAAGAATAAGAAACAATCAAAATAATTTCTAAAATGTCTGTTGTCAATGATAGGCCTAACCTTAAATCCTGAGTTGATGTTGGTTATGCACAGCTGATGACTGCTCAAGGTCATCACTAGGAACTGCAGGAGACAGTAGTACGAGGTTACGTTGGTCGCAACACATTCACCATCGACAAACATCTGATTGTTCTGATCACGAGCAAATATGTGAGTACCTGGGAACAGCATGTGATTAAAAAGTATATGGATGTCTATTTAGAAATTGTGAGCATTTAATTACTCATCACAATACTTTGAATTCGATGCTTTTTAACTGTTAAAATTAAAACAAGTATATCAAAAGCAGAATTTACTAACACGGATGGACTTTAATATGGTACACCTTAACCCTTCGAGTGTTATTTGTCGCTGCAGCGACACATAACACACTTTGTGTAGTGTTTTATGTCGCTGCAGCGACTCACAAACACTGTTTACGGCGAAGGCTCTATGACTGACAAAATCGGATTGAACTGGATCGAGTTAGGTATCGTTTTATTTTACAGATTCAGAGCTTTCTCCGGAGGTCTGTCTCTAAGCGCTATTCATTTTCGTTCCAAAAATATTGTAGCAGACAGCTGACGTGCGTATTTGTAAACAGCTTGGTTATCCTCGGACCGAGGACTGATGTGTTTTATTACGTTTATCATTGTTTTAGTGTTAAAAATCAAAAGTAGTGATATACGTGGTGCATTATAAGAAGATTTAAGTGATTTTGAAGAGCTGGTTGATGATCCTGAAGAAGTAGGTAGTGATATTGATGTAAATTATCAGCCAGATTCCTAGCTATGGTTAGGCTATGCATTCTTAGCTAAACGCTATGTACTGAAATCTGTATTTTGCCCATAACTTATTTATTTGCAAATCTACGTCCTTATATTATTATATATTTGTAATCCTCATAAAATTTAGAACAAAGTGGCTATTTTCAAATATTTATAGGCCTATAATTTATACAATTTCATTGAGCGCGAACTTATTTTTTTTTTGAACATTTTCCAAAATATTTTTTTTTTACCTAAAACTTTTTTTTGAAACAAATGTTCCTTATGTTCTATGTATAATATTGAAGCCCATGATTTTCCAAACAAAATGGTATATAGAACAGTATAATTAACATTGTTTTCAAGCTTCTCAGATCCGTTTTAATAAAACCTTGCAAATGAGCAAAAAATAGGCAGACATTAAGGCCAAAACAAGGGACACTCGGAGGGTTAAGTTCAACTATTTTTAAAACCAGTTTTAAAACAATTGCAGCAAATTATGTTCATGACAGGTTCACTCACCGATACATCTAACAGAGACGCAAGGATCAGGCAAAGTTGAATGTGGTGTCATGTTGCCGTCTGGCTCTATTGTTAACAGGTCTCCAGTACAAAGCTGTACGAGCGCAGACGTAGTTCCGCTGATCTGGGACACCGTGACGACGGGCTCGTCCACAGCAACCTTAGAACTACACAGAGAAACACAAGGAGTTACAACAGATGGTATACGAGCAAGATATAAGCTTATCTCCTTGGTTGAAACATGAAACGCATATCAAGTACAGTAGACCGCCTTAACCAACCCTAATGGGACCGGACCAAGGTTGGATAGCTCAAAAGGTCGGTTAAAAAGAGCACTCCCTAAAAACATAACAAAATGAAGTGCTATTAATTTGGAAATATATAATCACTAGCTGCTATACCCGTGCTTTGCACGGGAAGAGGACACAAAATACATTTTGATCTTTACATTTGTTGTATAAAAAAGCACATCCACCAACGCTTTTAGAAACAAAATTCGGCTGCACTAAAAGTATCTATTGACATAAATTAGAAAAAAATTCTATAATGAAGTTTTATATTAAAATTAATAGTACTGCACCCTGTTGGTAAACCTTATAACTTGTTAATGCCATTTAATATCATAGAACCAACTTGTGTATTTGAAACAGCTGACAAAATGGTTTTATTCCTTTTAAATATGATTACTCATAAGGTTAACATGGGAAACTCCAGAGCCACTGGGGCGGAGCCTGAAAGAACTTTTGAGATAAGAATGCGTCTATATGTTAATCGGGAATGTGAGCTATCATTACACCACATTTCAGCCCAATCCAACCAGTATTTTTCACGTTTACTTGTCACAAACATACATACATATCCATACATCCAAACTTTCTCATTTATAATATTAATAGTAGGATTATTTTGAAGTTGTACTTGCATTATTTATGAAATAAAGTAATTACACTTATCTCCTTTTTCATATTGATAGAACAGTTACAAATAAACAAAAACACTGTTAAGTCAAATACTTTCAGTGGAATAAATTATAGTTGTAGGCAAGAGTCAATAAAATTATCATTTTGATAACTTTAGTAATATAATATTAATTGATACTTCCAAATGTATTTTAATGCAGTACAGTACTTTTTAACAACATTAAATATGCAAGCAACCATTTTGTTACGAGACAGGATGATTATTTATAGCCTCTAGCTGGAGACTCAAGTCTCAAAAACTATCTTGACCTTGAAGTAGTTACCCCCCTCCCCAGCTCTCTCTACAAGTTGCGTTGTTTGTTTACTCTAGCGATAAGATAATTCTAGATTGTATTACAAAAATAGCAACAGCTGTTTTCAGAAACAACATTTTTTGGGATGAATACAAAATAACTTAATTTTAGTCCAAATCCTGTGGAGATAAGCGTATAGTTCCCATCGCCAAGTGGGAGTGGAAATGCCGAGATTCCTAGAATGCAGCGGTTAAAAGCAAGGTGACTGCAATATTTTACGATCGAGGGCGGATAATCTGATTATCGGCTAATGCGAGGTCAGTTGAGAGGGGGTTTTCTGTGCAGTGTACACTATCTAGTGCTTAGTATCTTAGTATAATAATTTTAGAGGCTGACCAGAAGGAAAAAAACATAAGACATGTTTAATTAGGTACAAAATTGAATGAAGAACTTACATGACAGTAGCTGCTTCTTCACTCAACTGCACAAGACATAGGTAAGTGCCTGTATTGTCACAGTGAGCCGTACAGACCAGCTTATCATGAGAGATCCAAGTCCAATGGGAGACACTGTTAGCCTCTACTGTTACCTCACTGCCCCACACCACAGGTATCACACCTATTACATAGCAGAGGCAAACATTACAACATAGTTTTCCGTTACAAGGGAGTTTTCAATAAAGTTATTTGATTACTGTTACTGTTACTGTTATTTGATTGGTTACTGTTAGAGTTTACCAAGAAAGATGATGTATTCAACAAAAACCTTACAGAAGACTAGGAAGTCAATTGTGCGAAACAACTGATGATTACAAATTAGGCTTACTTTGTAAGCGAAGTGTTGTCTCCAATCCATTGATTATTCCCAGGCGGCCGTCACTTAGATAAACAATCAAGTCATTGGGACTCAATTTTGAATCACTGGAACGAAAAACAATATTTCACTTGAGTTTCTATATTGTTGGGAGTCCATTGAAATGTTTTATAATTTTTTAACTAATCAGAGTATCTATCAATGCTTGTTAAATGTCTGAAAAAGATTAAAATAAGATTGACATAAAGAACACCTTTAGCTAACACGCTAAGAAGGCTATGACACACAGAAGAAGTGTATTTAGCCTAGTAAATATTATATTTATTTTCTAAAACAAGAGTTAGACGGCTAAGCTGGGTTGGACATGTCTTGAGAAGGGATAAAGGAAGTAAGGATATTTAAGGAAGTAGGAGAAGGGCAGCCGAGAGGGAGAAGACAACCGGAAGGCCTAAAAGAAGATGGGACAGCGTTGTAAGAGCAGGGGCGGGAGTAGATGAGGCATACAACCGTGAAAGATAGCGAGCAATTGTTGGCGAGGCCAAAACCCTTCTAGGATATGGCCATGGGAGTAAGAGTAAGTAATTGTCTAAAACATGAATTGTTCTCATTTCTCAAAAACAAAAACTATAGAAGGATAGTTTGTTATTCACTTATTAGCTTACGTTCAACTGTATCCTATCTTACCCTTCAGTATTGATACCACAGTGTGGGGCGAAGGCGACCTCTAGAGCCGAACAAGGCAGGGTGACGGTTCCACTGCACATTGGCGGAGGAATAACACACTTCTTGAACGCTGATAATTTTATATCACCTAACAAAGTGAGTTCACCATTATACAATAGAACTTAGCAACACAAGCTCAATTGCTTGTTTTGATCATTGAGTTTGTTTTCATTTAGGTTTTCATTGAGGTGTAACTCAATGTTTTAGTTTGATAATTTCCATAAACGTTAACCTCTTGAGTTTACAATGAAGTAAAAACTAAAGTCCATCACAAACTCACTTGATATCACAAATTCTCACAGTGTGGCATGAAAACTGTTATAAAACTCTAAATGTAGGCCTAGAGAAGGAGGAACAGTTCATAAACTTACATCCATCTATGACAGCAACAGCAGCCAAATCAACAGTTGCGATTCCAGCGCTGTGATCTACACTCCAAACCCACTGGTAGATATAGAAAGTTCCATCGGCCAATAGAATATGAGCGAGGTTGCCAATTACATCATCCCACTGCAGAGAAACCTATAAACAAACAAAACTGTTAAAATCACAAATATACAATCTTGTGAATCTGTGGGATTTTACATTGCGTTACAGTACGTTTTTGATCGAGTTATATTTATTTTAGTATTTTTCATAGCTTCTAATTAAGCTAAGATTTAATATTTGAAAACTAAAAGAGTACCGTAAAAATTTACTGGCAAAATTTACTGCCTATGCGATGCATGTTCAGTGGAAACCGTAAAAGACGCTTCTTTAATTTTGACACCTTTAATAATAGCTTCTTAGCGTAGAGATACAAACCCACTTTCTGAAAGCCTTGGTTAATTTCACAACTGACCCATCAAAAAGTGGAGTGGAGGGATATTGGGGTTTAACTTATTAATTAGGTATAAAACCTTTATTTTGGAAAAGTTTCACTATAAATTAAAGTAAAATAAGAAGTCCCGTAATGTACTTAACACTACAGTTTGGTACCGGTACCAAAAGCAGGAATTGAAAAATTTAATACTAAAAAAACATCACGATCAAATTTCTTTTAAGTCCTAGACTATGTCTAAAAAAATTAATTAGTGTTTTATAGTTTCTAAGAGTCTTTTAACATCCTAAAAACAGTCTTGGCTGACACAAATAGACAACTGATTCTACTGCTGCAAAGTATGCTACATAAAACCGATTTTTAACCAAACTGGATAATTTAAACTCATTTTATGAGCTGAGCATAAAAACTCACCACAGAGGACTGAAATACAAGTTTCTGCTTCAGATACCAATGGTAGTTACCCATTGTCCAAAACAATACACAGGGTTTGTCCAGTAACTCGTCTGTGCAAACTGCGCTCAAAATGGTTGATTCGTTGTTCCATGATAGATTGAAAACCTAAAACAACAATAATAGCCTAATTATAGTACAGTATTAAAATATTTTTATTTTTTCAAACTACCTATATTTAAAAAAGTTTTATTTTAAATGCAAGGTATATGTCTAGAACCAGAGAACAACAAAAACAAACATGGTTGCCACCTAAGGTGCTGTAAGGGAAAAATTAGGACGTGGCCCCTCTTACCCCCGGATTAATATAGACTTAAATACAAGCATAAGGAGCCATAATCAGGACTGTCCCAACAGAATTGGGACGGGTAGCAACCCTGCCAACGAACAACCTTTAAGTAAAGCTACTACCAATACTCATAAATTTTCTACTTTCCTAGACTACAGAAATAAATTGGCAATAGACAACAGATTGCAATTTAGAATAATTATAAAATTAGGGTAGCTTCGGTAAAGAAAGTAGAGTTTGTACCTGTTCAAACATTAGTAGCCTAACAAATTTGTGCCTGAAACATTTTGGATTAAAGTTGGCACCGGTATAAGGCCCGGTTCACACGAACGACAAACCTAGCAGACTAGGCTTGGACCAGGTGAGCACTAGGTAAGCACGACTGGGTAGCGGACCACAGGAACAAATGAAGCCGTTCACACGAGCCTAGGACGCCGACTAGCTAGTCGGGTTTGAGCTTGATGTCCCAAAACCTAGTCGGGCCCCGCTTCCCAGTCCGTCGTGGCAACTACCCAGTCGCCCAGTCGAACTGCGTAGCAGTACATGTAGCCTTATGGGAGCGTTCACACGAGCGATCGGGTAGTCGAGCTGCAGCTCGCATTCTTACCTTTGTTCTCATTGTGCACCAGTGATGGAACTGAGTGGTTTTAATATAGATATTTTAACCTAGTCCGTGGACATGTCGCTCGTGTGAACCGGTGTGATCCTGTGGTCCGCTACCCAGTCGTGCTTACCTAGTCCAAGCCTAGTCTGCTAGGTATGTCGTTCGTGTAGACCGGGCCTAAGGTGCTGGTCAGTACCTACTCAGCCAACTAATTTCTCTCCTAAAAAAAACTTAATTAGACGTGATATAGACTGTCTGAGGAAAATTGTGTATTATTTTATGGAAATTTTCAAACTATAAATAAATATTATACAGATTTGATTTTTTTACCTTGAGATTTGGTGGTAAAGTGAACTCTCCATGACGGAGCCCATTTTTCTCCATGAAACAAACAACCTGTTTGTTTGGAAGATTCTGTGTAAGAGCAATCAAATTTCCAGATGGCCTCCAAGCAATAACCCCTCCCAAACCTGAAAACGTATAGAATAATCATTAAATGAACTATTGAGACCAATAGGAAATTGCTTTGAAGTAACATTGATTGTCCAGGGGGAATAAAAGCATTCCACTTTTTATATATATTCTTATTTTTATTTTATTTCAACGGACATTTCATTTTGATATATTCAATAGGCCTACAATATGCTTAAACATTATAATAATAGTAGGCCTAGCCTGGTACAAGTATTACAAGATGACTACGGTAATATTAGGCTAAATTAAAACTTTAAAATGAGTTTTTATTCTAGTTAAAAGGACTAAGTTACAACTGGAGTTAGGCCTCATTTTATTTGAATAATAAGTTGGTGTTTCAGGTGCCTTTAAATTTTCAATCTAATATCAATTGATGATAATAGGAGGCTATTCCGCCTTAATTTATAATATTTAGGTATCAGTGTTTTTGTGTACCTACCATGTGAATTATTGAGTGTCATTCGGACAGACTCTTGAGCAAATTTAGAAGAAAATGTTCTTTTAGAGACTTGTTGCCAGTTTTGTAGCATTGAAGTGTATAGTCAATGGTTGTAGCCAGTTATTGTAGGCTATTACGTAAGTTACGGCAAGTTACTACACATTGAGTCAAGTTTATCCATAGTCTAAGTTAACCAAACTTGGGTTTATCATTGGTTTACCTACCATTAACTTACATTCTTAACCTACATTTCTAACTTAGTAATTTTAAACTTAAAGCTTTTCCAGGGGGGAAAATTGTTAGCCAAAAATTAACTATAATGTACTTAGGCCTATGCTAAGTTAGCACTAACCTGGAATAAATTCACTTGTACACTGCAGGCTCCCACATTTATCAAATATTTTAATTTTTCGATGCTTTTTTTCCGGACACCAGTAGTTAACTGCGAATCGCGAACTATCACCACGCCAAGTAATGGTTGGAGCTTTGTTCGGTTCATCTGCATTTGAATCTTGATATTGTCCTTCGACAGTTGCTTTTTTAGCAGCAGATTTACCTTCTGATCCATGAAACTGAGTCTCTTTCTTTCCCCATCCAACATTGACCATTGTCTGCTCACCTTGATCAGAACCAAACAGATTGGTTTCCCCTATAGGATCAAAGTTTCCGCTCATGACCATGATACAATTATCGCCAGTTATGAAAACAGCGGTTTCAGCATCTGGACTGAGAGCCGCAGATTGTAAGCCCGTTGCAATACTTACAACTACTTCGGTGTTGTTGGACTGATTTGATTCTTGATCAAGAGAAAGAGATAGTACATCTCCAACTTCAAGGGCTATATTTAGAGTGTTTAACACAGGATTGTAAAACAATGCAACAGCTTTAGTGTTTTCTATCTCCAACTGGTCACTAGACAGCAGTACTTTGCAGGCACCATCTCTGGGGTTTACAGTAAATATACTACCTTCCTTATACACAAAGTTATCTCCTTCTCTATGGAATATGTTCTTATTATAATTAAAATAGGAAATTGCCAAATGCTGACAATTGTTTTGCAAAGAGTACTTTGAATTCAAATAAAGCTTTAAATTTCTCATGGCTGGACGTTGTTGGAATTAAAATGTAGGTAATTAAAATAACGAGCTTCACAGTTCACCATTAACTACTTTTCACCAAGTTACTTTTCCTTCACTCACTTGACAACAAAATAACATAACAACATAACATAACCTCAACCTCATTGACTGACATTAATCTCAACAAATCATATCATAACCTCAATCTTCGAGGAATATTTTTTTCTATTTGGCCGGCTGCCTGGCGGCTTTGGATAAACTAAACTACACCAACGCAAATGCAGTTGCGCGGTTTGATATAATTATTTTGTCATCTACAGCATCCACTTTGTTTTTTGTTTTTTTTTAAGGTCAAAATGTTTTAGCTATGGATTAAGCCGTGTGGGTAAATAATTTCGTTATTAGTGTAGAGAAGAACTTCAGGGGAGCTTTCACACTACAACACAGTTAGGCCTCGGGTAATATGGTAATATACGAAAATGACAATACGAACGAGTGGAGCGTGCGGCGAGCGGCAATCTGAGTGACAGAGTGACACGTAAGTGATGGTGGTGACTACGATCATTGGCTATAAATAAGAAATTATTAAAAGTATACAGTACCATAGCCTACAGACTATAGACATGGACAATCTAGCCCTGGACATATAGTAAGAAGCGTATAGACATAAACTACTAGACAAGACATCAGGGTTGTTTTAAGGACGTGTTGTTCTGATCCAAGCAATACACAAAGTCTTTCATAATTGTTCTAGTCATAATCTGTTATATTTATTTAAGCTAATATTTTTTCTCTTGAACGTGCCTGTTTTCCTTGTTATTTATGGTTATTATGTAATACGATCGTCTTTGTTATTGCTTTTGCTATAAGTTATTGTTGTTAATTACTACATTATTGTTGTTAATTACTATATTATTGTTATTTGTTTTTGTTGCCTATGTATAAGCGTATAAGTGTCAAAAGTTTACAGTTGTTATTTAATATTAGTCATCTTGAACTGTACAATGTTATCTTTAGTACCACATCAAACAAAATGGAATGTCCGTTGAAATAAAATAAAATAAAAATAAAATAAAATAAAATAGCATTATTGTGAAATCGATTTGCATTAGTAAACAAGATTACGAGAGTGATGATTTTGATTTTTGTCTTCAAAGAACCTTTTTTGTAGTTTTGAGGGGCCGAGCCATAGCTCGGTAGTTTATTTCCATTGTACCCCTATTTTGAGTAATCTTCAGTGTAATCTTTGTTCAATATAGAACAACTAGATGTTTTTCTCTTTGTACTGTATTTTGTAATTTGCTAGTACACTGTGTATGGCTTGTTGTAAACACATGGTACAAGTCTTCTGTTTGTTTACTTTTTCCTTGTTATTTTGTTTTGTACAACTAACATTGATGGTACATGGCAACCCGCCTTAAAGGCCATCTTAAAAAAATTAGACTTTCAATTACATTTTTTTACACAATTAGATTTTTGTTGACAGTTCTATTCTAACTAAAGTAAACACGTTTTTAGGCCAAATATAAATTATTTGTTTGTAACTTTTGATGGAAATAACCTAGAAGCCGTTTTCGAGATCTTTGTGCAAGCATACATAAGTTATTGCAAACAATGCTCATAATACTTTGACAAAAAAATTAATGGGGAAAGACTCTGATAATCCTTCCTATATTCTTATATTATAAGAATATAGGAAGGATTATCGGAGTCTTTCCCCATTAATCTTTTTGTCAAAGTTCATGAGTGCCAGATAAGAACTTAATTTAAAAATGAGCTAAGCTTGTTAACATGTAGAAATTTTAATGTGACGAAAGAGTTAAAATAATTGAAAAGGAACTTTGATAAGATCTGTCAAGAAAGATGTCAAATGACAAAGTGCACCCTTAAGGTATTTTTTTTCTATGCCAGTGGCATTTTGCAAGAGAGGTCAGAGGATAAATGTTTAGTGTTTTGTGCTGGGAATCGAACCCGCTCCTTAATTCCGCACCGAAGTCAGAGACCGAGACGCTAACCCCTAGGCTAGCAACACACCCAATTTTTTTGTCTATAGAATATTATGATTGACAGTGGATGAGTGACAACTGACAAGGGTAAGTTACAGTTTTTTTTAAATCTATTTTTTAAGGAGACCAGATAAAAAAATAGTTTTAAACACATTAAAGCCTAGGCTATGTCATTTTTTAGCAAAAATGAGTTACTTTTAAATTTTACATTGATTTTCAATTATCAAGTTAGTTTGATTTGCTTCAAATCCTTAATGATTGTAAAGGCAAATAACCGTGCTTACTTATATTACAAAATGTTTAATGAAAATTCACACCTTCAACAAAAACCTACGTGTTTGATATTAAAATTATTTATAAGGGAAGGCCTTTTTTTCTCTGACTGGTACACGTTACTTTTTTGCTCCCATGAAAAAATTTCTTCATGAACCCTTCACATAGTCTGATCATATACTTACAATCTATGGTCTCCATAGTCTGATATAAAAAGCATAATAACCTTTCATAGAATGATTCAACGTTCTACTACAAAAAACTAAATTTTAAAGCACAATAAATAAGGTGAGGTCACTACTTAAAATAATGAAACGTGAAAAGTCAATTATAGAAATCTATAAACATGTTTTTGAATATGAATTGTTTACTCATAATTACTAGGTACCGGTACCTAACTTACTGTTCCACAAAATCTGCATTGCTTATTTACAATAATAATCAATAGTGCTATTTTTATCATCATGTCATATCTATATATACAATATCTATCTATATGGAAAAGGTTTGCAGAAAAAAAAACTTTTTGAGGAATTAATGCATTTTTTTTAAATCATCATGGGTGGTTATCATTGTCTTTTAGATGACAAATATAGGCTAGTTTGTTTGGCTAACATTAGCCAGATGGTTGTAATTATTTGATGTAGTTGCGCTGGATTTCCAACCAAGTGTTTCTTTTATGCCTTTATTCCATTTAGTGCTAGAGGCTTAAAATGAAAACTTTCATTGTTCTCATTTTTGGTAAGTACCGGTATTACATAGATGTAGTCTTTCCAGTTGTAAATTCTTGATCGAATGAAAAATTTGGTCTCTTTATCGGTGAGATAATATTCAAGTGTTAAGCCTATATTACACCAAAGCACAGGAAACATTCTTTGGCATCAAATAATTTATATTGAACACATTTTTATCATAAATATCCCCAGTAGCAAAAAAATTACACTATTGAAATAATATTGTCCAATATTGATTTCTTCATTATTAAAACAATATTGTTTTGATATTATGCCAATATTGCACAATATTGGTAATAAATATTACAATTCAATATCAAAACAATATTGTTTAAATAGGTTCCAATATTGTTCAATATTGTAAAACAATATTGTTAAGGTAATATTCAAACAATACCTATTGTTTTAATTCCTTCCCAATATTGAACAATATCTATAGAAAAATATTGTTATCAACTTAGTTTAGATATTGTTGGAATATTCAATAAATATCGGCAACACAATATCATGTTAGTACCAATTTTGGACTGTTGTCATAAACAAACCTACTATTATAACATTTGACTGTGCACTTTTATCAGCTATAATTAGGTTTTATTTCTGTTGTCATATGCCACCTTCAATTATTTAAAAATACATGTGTGTCATTAAAGTCTGTCTTCCAATGGTTTAAGGACCAATCTTCATAATTGGTTAATTGGGTTAAAATAAGCAAAAAAGGTTCCTCTAGGGGTATGTACTTAAATGCATACCCAAGTAGCACACATTGTTGGCCAAATGTTGGGATTGTCAGCACGGTTGGGAAATGGTTGTGGAAATTTTAACGCTTTGCCAACGTCGGCCCAACGGAAACTTGTTTTCGTTGGTCCTAAAAAGGAAAGAATCGTTGGGCCTTTGTTGAATTTAGTAAAACATTCTAAAACACATTTTAACAAATAATTGATTTATTTATAAGAATATTAATGCTATGGCAGCAGAATATAAGACGGTTTTGGAGAAAATTGGATCTATTTATAAATGTAGTCAGATAGTGTTGAGATAGTTGTGTTTACAGTGGGGAAAACCTGATTAACATATCCTAATAATTAGCCTATAATGCAAAAAAAATTTTTATTGATATTCTTTAACTTATTTGAGCAAATTTTTAATATTTGAACAATTTAAGGGGAAATATTAATAATTAGGCTTAATCATAAAAAAATCAATTATAATAACATTAATAATCTTATGGTAATAAAAAAAATGTATACTCAAATACTATTGAATCCTATACAAACAAGTATAGATGATGCAAATTTTCAAGCAGTCTGCAATAAACCGAAAACTGACACTTCTCTTTTGTTTAATTATAACTAATTAATTGTTGCTAATTGTTGCAGCCACTGTTGCAACTGGAGTAATAGGAATCATAACTAAGGAAAAGGCAATACCTAAAGTCACTGTCAGACTGGTAAAGTAAGTGTATAGAGTAAAGTACCACCAAACTTTAATTATCAATAGATTATATTGATTTGTTACTAGCAAATGATATTGATTTGATATACATGGTGATTAAAAATTAAATAGACTGTTTGGATAGCTTGTAGAAAATTTATTATTTAAAAGTCTACACCATTACTTACATGAATATGTAGGAGAATTCTTTAAGTTTTTATTGAAAATATTTACAGTTGTTCAATGTGTACACCATTTGAAACACAACAACACGACAGATATCACCATGGTATAGCCGAATTCTGACCACACACGACTAAGGACTAAGCATCTTACGGTCAACACTGTAGAAAGAGCATTTGTGATTCATTGTGTAAGATCATCGATATCAACAGGAAGTGGTGGTATTCTGACCACACACGACTAAGCATCTTACGATCTACTGTAGCAAAAGCATTTGTGATTCGTTGTTTAAGATCATCGATATCAACAGGAAGTAGTGGTATGAGAAATCTGTCTTTTACCGCACAAGAAATTGTTACAGAGCGTTTTAAAATACAGTTTATGTGTGTTTAGGAAAACTTGGACCATCGAAGGTTTCGACCCAGGTACAGATGAACCACTAAGAGCTTTCCCAGGGAAATTTTCTGAAGCAGTTAAATTGTTGCAAGCAAACAATAAAAAGTATGATTATGTTGCTCAACCCCTGATCAGTGCTACCAACCTGTTCAACAGCGAACATTACAATGCAAGCCTACCATCCGTCATCCTCACCCATCCAATGGCTATTGGAAACTCTTTGTTTATTTCTGACACAATTGGAGGTAAATTTATATTTTATTAACAATTTCCCAATATCAAAGCATATTTAAACTTTTACCTTATTAAAAGTCATATAATAGCTTAAATCTTTATCCGTATTGCTTAAAATTAATTTACAATATTTTTTTTTTTAATTTGTTGTAAAAAATATGTATTAGGTTGTTTTGAATTTAAATTTTCATGAACAAGCACATCAAAGACTTCAGCTCAAGTTTTCATCATAACCAAAGATAAATAGAAATGAAAATAAAAAAGTAACTTTGTGCAAGTGAACAATTAAACTTAGTTTATAGAATAAGAATAGGTCATTATTTGCATTATCATGTTCATGTTGTTATTAACTCGATTATAGTAAAACATAGTGAAAAGAATCACTAATTAGGAAATATCCTATGTAAACTGATTGCATGAAGACGTAAAACCATAAAGCCTATGTCCCACGACGCATTCCGTGGTAGGTTGCGGAGAGGTCATGGTAAAGGGTATTCCGTTTTTTCTGTGGTGGTACACGCCAGAGTGGCGCGGAGCGGGGTTGAGTGTCCGTTCCCGTAGGGTGTCGGTAAACATGGAAGGCACGGGTCGGAGCGAGGATTGCCCTGGGCCAGTCTGCGATGTTGTTCCATCGGGTAAACAGGTGACTCGTTGAGCTGTCAGTTATCCTGCAATATTTGTTAGTTTTGTGCGAAAACGGAGTGAAAACAGGGTAGTGTTAGAGCTTTTAGATTTGTATGAGAGTGAACCAGTGATATGGAACCCAACGATTCATAAAGACAAGAACTACATTTTCGTGGCGTGGAAGCGCATCCAATCTCAATCACACAGCTCGGTACAAATACAGTGTGGAGTGAAGGTCTTTATCTTGTACACTTTCCACTGTGGCCCCTAGACCGCCGTGACACACGTCGTGGGGTACGTCTTGCGAGGAACGCTCCAGCTCGCACATTTTCACCGTTGCGTGGCACTCTGCGCAACACTTTGTGGGACATAGGCTTAAGATATCCTAGTACTCAGCTTAATGAAAATTCATTACATTCACAGTGTTTGCGCTCAGAAATCTACAGAAGAACTACAACATATTCGCTATGCACGCTCCTTGGCTGAGTGCCCAGTTCCAGACTTCATGCGCAAGGGTCATACTTGGTTTGGATCCGTTGTTCAAGGTAAAATTCCAGATTTTAAGATTCCAGTATAAAATGTATTCTCTAGCACTGTTTGAACCCTCTGTTGGTCTATGAAAGTGATGATACATATGGCTTCCTTAGAAGAATACAATCATTCTCAAGTGTTTCAGGGCTGCACATTTGGGTTTAATTAATGGCCCAATTACAGTGCACTTTTCTTTTTTTTTTGTTTCAATTGAGGTTGGCCCTTTTAGTACAGTTACTAAAAGAACACTAAGAGCCATGCACCAAATATATTAGCGGATCCAACAGAAATATTATTTCTTTTACAATAAAATGTCATTTACCTATATGTTTAGGTGTTGTTATTATTGCCAATAATTACAGTTTGATCCAGATTAGGTTTGTATACCTTTTGTGTGACACATTTATTCCTGACAATAGTGATTCTGGGGTATACAGCAGTAGCCAGCTAGTGATCAAAACTTCAAACGTCTCCGGCAAAAATTCATATAATTAAATTTCCGTTTTTTGCTTTTGCAACCAAGTTTTATTTTTTGAACGTTTAAGTGTTTCTTGGTGTAATATATCATTTCTTAATAATACATATGATGTGTAGTTTTTTGGTATTTCTGCTCCTGAAATGTAACCATGGAATATTGTGTACTACAGCCAGTAGCAGAAGCATTTGCTACTTTTCTTCTGGACGGTATTGCCCTTGGGAAACTGACTCCAAGCCAGATCAACTTCATAGGCTTCAGCTACTCGGCCACCCTTAACGCTTACATTGCCCGGGAGATACGAGACAACACAGGACTGCTTACACACACTCTCATGAGTAAGTATGCTGATTGGATAAGTAATTTCCCAAAAACCTAACATAAAATGTACATAAAAATTATGTTGTAAAATTAAGAGTTCAAACACTAGGTATACATTTTTCAAATTCACATGAAACAGGTGACAAAGAATCATAAATAAATACAGATAATGTATTTCAGTATTCTCTCAAACTACCCAGAGTATTACCATAGACAAAAAAATAAATATAGACCGTCAGCTGTGCTGCGGTTACCATAGGTTCTGGCGCACACCACTTGGAGCGCCACGTAGTTATAGCATACGCGCTACGTAAACTACAGCGGTTTTAATTGGATTCCCCTGCTTGCTGTCAGTTTCTTTGTCTTTCTGCTTTTGGCCTCACCTAGTACCTACTGTACTAGGATCATTATATTATTAATCTAGAATGAATGAAGAAGATTGCAACTTAAATGGTCTTGACATGTATAAAATCAATAATTACGGTGAATTTAAATTGGTTATACAATTAGTTTGAGACTACCATAGCTGACGTAGCCCTTACCCTTAGCCCTCCCCCCCTGATCAGTTCAATGTCAGGTCGATTCGGATTGGTTAGAATGTTGTAAGTAGACGAATTAAAAAACACAACATATTGTTCTCAAATTTGAAGTAGCTTGCTTGGCTGTGAAGGGAAATCTATGGAGATCTTAATCTACTGACAACAATCATTCTCTATGCTCGAACGCAGTTATCAGATCTATGTTCTTCTAAAAATCAGATATCAATTATCACTAGTGCACCTGTTGCTTGAACTCGAGCAATTGCAAAGAATTACAAGATTAAAGGTCTTATTTCAAAACGAATAACAGTCATAATTTCTGATTACTTAAAAGATTCAACTCAAAGATAATGTAATCAGTCACTCCACTCCAGTTATTAAAACTGAAAACGAACGCTCTTGTGGGTATATCATGTGTTACTATGAACAGCTGTTTTAGTATGCAATTAATATAAATTATTCGTCTGTTCAAGTAAACAAAATCTTCATAAGAAGAACATTGAGATTTTGATGGCCTGTGGGGCAAAGCTAAAGGACTTTTATTACAGGGGAAAGGGGGCGTTTGCAAAGAAAGTACTTAATTTTGACACATTTTTTATTAAAATCCGTCCATTATTAACGGAAGAGTAGTGTTTCATAGAAATCGCCTCCACGTATTATATATAAAGGTTCTCACATTTTTGAGACAAAAATATCTTATTAATCGTTGTTTCAGCACTGGATGCGTTTCAATACAACCACAACAACCCGTTTTTCACGCCAGTTTCTAAAGATGATGCACAGTTTGTGCACATGTTTCACTCAAGTACATCGTTTGGAACTCCGGAGCGTAAAGGAACTGTAAACATTGTGATCAACAACGGAATTGTCCAACCTGGATGTAAAGAAAGTGAGTCTTGCTGTTCACTCTTTTCAGTTTTTAAAGTAGGGAGGTCTGAGTAGTAGGTTGAAAATCGAGCAACAAACAACAAAATATTAAAAAATATTCTACCCCTCACACTAAGTTTCCCTTTACAATATAAATACAGTATACGCAAATTAACTACAAAATTGAAATACCATACTAAAACCTCATTGAAACCAAACTCATCATACATGTTCATCAAAAGCAACCGGTTATTTTTACACAATTTAAATTTTTATTCCGCTTTTCTGTAAGTTTTAAGGGCATTACTGTTACATACAATTTAATTACAAATAAACATCACTTTCACTCAATCAGATAAATATACTTAAAATAGACGCATTTTAATAAAACCATGCAACTCCTGACTTTGAGGGATGTTTGGGGAAATAAACAAAGGGATTTTAAGGGACTTTTGGGGAAACAATTCGGAAACTTATTAGTGGTATATTAGTACTGCATATCTATATAATTAATACGCTACACGAAAGTTTGTCGGTTGAACTCCTCCGCCATTTCCTAACCGATTTTATCCATTGACGTCTCATTGGAAAGAGCGTGTCGCGTAGATTTGCAAACTGACCTTACATTTTTGAAAAAGTCCCTTGGGCTCTGCCCCAGTGGCTTTGAAAGTTCCCATGTTATCCATATGAAGAACATAATTGTTTACATTTTGATCAGCTGTATAATTTTATTTCCTGTTACAGTATTTACTTTTCAATTCAATGAAACACATTGAGTACATTTATTTACTATTTGAGTTTGGGTAAACATAACCCCCAAGACGGATCGTGTTAGTATGGTTGTATCTTAAATTTGTGTATTTATCGTTGTTTTGTGTCGCTATGATGGATTGTGTTAGCATGATTGTAACTTAAGTTTGTGCATTTATCGTTGTTTTGTGTAGCTATAATTTGTTTATTATTTGTTGTTTATTTCTTTTAAATGTCTCCGACGCAACGACGACGAAACATAGACAGGAGGCGCAATCGTGATAAGGACCGCAGCTACAGAACAGTGGCGCGTAATAGGCTTAACTCATCACAGTCTGAACCTGAACCTGGACAACTTCAACTATTTGGTTACAAATGCGCCCTAACACTACCCCAAAACGACTTTTCGTTCTCAATTGGCCCTCTATTAATGACCTGTGTTGCCTGTACAGCGAGGCATTTTGAGAAGGAGAGAACCGTCCGGAATGCTTTAGGTTTATCAATAACGAAGATAAACAGGGTCTGAGTTACACAACGGTAATATTTGAGTTGACTCTTTTAAACTCATTGTAAATATGACTGTTATTCAATCTGAAATAATTCCTTTAATACTTTGTAATTGCTCGAATTCGAGCAACATGTACACTAGTTAGTATTGTAATTTGTTCTGACACAAATTTTATTGATTAGGCTAACTAAAGAACCCAGCAGGTTCCTAAATCTATTCCAGAAGAAATGTTGGTAAAATCAATATGATTTCTCAGAGTAATTATTCAACAGCTGTGTGAAAAAGTATTAAATTCCAGATTGTAAAACATTATTGTCGTGATTGTTGTGTTTTAGTGAACATCGGCTGCAGTCATCGCCGGTCTGTCCTAGTGTTCTTCACTAGTGTGTTGGCCACAGGCAGGGTTGTAGCAAGACAATGCAAGAGCTGGGAGAAGTTTGATAGTTGTCGTTGCAAAAATAAACCTCTGTTAGTCGTCACATTCCCAGTGAATGAAGAGTGAGTATTACTAGTAGAACCCCTCATATCCGACCAGGACGAGATCGGGCTATGGTCGGAACGGCCAAAAGGTCCGATTTAGGTAGGAGCATAACCTTCAGACATTGGTAATCATCTCCTGCGACGACGGCAACACCTGTCATCGGTGACAGTGGTGGTCGTGTGCGGCAATTACGGCAACATCCGTGATCAGATCAACCTTAAGTAGACGGTCGGACACTAGGTTAGTTTTCCCGAGGAGTCAGTTATTCCGAGGATTGGATATGAGGGATTCTACATTGACTGTAGACCCTAACAAGAAGTAGAAGTAAACATTCCGTTACCATGTTAAAGTTGTTACACTACCTGTGGCTGATTCTAGTAGACTTCTCATCCTATTTCAAATCTGGAACAAATTTTCATCTTTTATGTTGCCGTTGGTTATGTTTGAGCGCTCTACAAAATATTTATCCCTTAAGGATTTTCCTATGTGTGGAAATGGAAAGCGGAACACGAAGAGTGATGTGTAGAGAAGCGATTTCAATGGTGGTCAACTGCTCAACTCTGCTTCTAGGAAAACTCTACTATTAAATTACCTAAGACAAGAGGAGAGCAAGTCCGTACTTTGTGTTCTACTTCGGCACCTAGAAAACCCAGTTTAAGGGAATATTTCACAGTTCATAATTTATTCATTGGTTTGATACATATTTTAGAATATTGTAACTTTTATTGTCTACCTTTTATCAAATTACAAAAACTAAATAGATAATTTAGATTTATGAAGCATAAACTTTTTCTTGTTCCATCATTATATTTGCTGTCTTGTGTGCAGTATATTGTAAGTGTAATACAATGTTTATAATTAGTGTTATTAGACAGTTTTTTATGAAATAAATAACATTTGATATCCTAATGCGGATGGCAATAATTTGAGTTATTTGGAAACTTTATTTTCAGGGCAAGAGGTACATTCTATGTAAGGACCGGGTCTCTTCTACCATGGGGTCTTGGGCTTAAAGGAGCCAGAGGACGTCACTGTAAGACCAAGGCTCGGAAAATCAAACCCCTCCTTAAAATCAAACCTAACATGTAATATACTTTTTTGTTGATAAAAATATAACAAAAATAAAACATCACAAGGAATGATAAATTACCTACATTTTCCAACTACGATAATTTAAAATTTTTTTAAATGTGGGGTCTTAGTCAGTGTCTATTGTTAAATAGGATTAGCTAATTAATTTCTATTGAACTAGTTTCTATCTGATATGTGGTAAATGTTGGCAAATTACCTATAGGGAATGAGCTCTTACAGTAGGTCTCAAGATAAAAAACTAGACCCATGTCTGATTTACTTTTTTGTTTTGAAGTCCCCAGAGGCCAAAAACACCATATCCATTAAATTTAATATATTGATTTAATTTGCTAGTACAAACGAGCAAACCTACATTCATTGAAACGAGTTTGCTAACCAGCATGATTGTATGATGGGAATGGGGTTTTATGGAATGAAATAGATTTTTCCCATTTTTGATCTTCAAATTATAAAATTTTACAATTTACTTCCTAAACTGTTATATAAAGTCTAAAAAAACTAATAATTTAGTATGTTGAAGCCTTGTTATACGTCTAATGGATACAGAGAAAATAAAAAAAAAACTGATTTTAAAGTTTTAAGTAATTCTTATATAGCATAAATAAACTGTTGTAGTCTGTTAGATACCAAATAAACCCCCCCGCCAAACAATCCCAGTGCCAAAAGTGTGCCACTGTCCCCCCCCCTCAGTGCACCCCTGCTTCAAAGTACTTATTAGTTAGTAGTTTAAATTGTTTAAAAGTAAGAGGGGTCTTTGAATTACTGTTCTTTTGTTCATTCGAGTCAACTGATTACTGAAGCCAGTAATTAACGTAATTATCCGTCTGGTTCTAATGATTCACAGATGATCTCGCTGGGTGTTCTACTTTATTCTCACTTGTATAGAATAAAAACGATGTTTTATCAAAAATGAAAACTGCAGTTTTGGTATACCTAGGTAAGTTTTTATGTTTTACACTACTTATTACTATCAGTAAGAATAAGTTTCGACCCTATTCCAAACTTGTTTAATTTGGTGCTATAAAAGCACAAATAATTTTTTTCAATAAATTAAACTGTTAGAGTTTTTGATAGTTTGACTTGCTATTTTTGTGGTGGTGACCCGCTTTTAGGCCGACAACAATAAATTACTGAAAATGGCTGGAAAATTGGCTTTGCTTTAGCCCCAATTTTTTACCAAATAATGATTGCATGCTATGATAGAGACCACTTAGTTATCTTTGGTCGGTTTCTTTTTCACGGTGTGATTTCCAGTAAGGAGTTCTATCTAGTGTTCCTGCCTTTGTCATTACTGTATAAGGTTGAATCTGCTTCTAAATTCCAGAGAAGGGGAGTGAAAACTCAACCCGAGGAGCATCCTTAAGTCATTTTTGTTTCGCCCATTATGACATCATTAGTAATAGCTGTCACTAAAGTCTTTTGAAACTTTTACTACAAATAATTGTATTAATCCAGTAACATGAATATTATGTAAATACTTATGAAAAAAAAATTACAATTAATTCTCTGAAACTCTCCAGCAAGAGGAATAGTGTGTAACTTATTCAAGTGATTATATATCTACATCTATGTAGATTATGTATGATTATGTCTACATATTCTAACCTCTTTGTTCAGCAAATGCTAATGTGTTCAACAAGTAAATTAAAATAATTTCTGATATTTACGTTACAGCCTACTTCACAGCAGGTACAGTTGGCGGATTCATTGGAATCACTAAACAAGAGGCAATGAAAAGTGTCACTGTAAGATTGGTTCAGTAAGTTGACTAGTAATTTGAAACCATTGTATTGTACGACAGTTTCAAATGATTTAGTTGGTTAATGTCAATGCATTAACTAATACTTCAATCCTTAGTCTTATCAATTATAATGTCTACCACCAAACAAGGGACATCTAGAAATAATAGATTTAAGTCTATTCATGTTGAAGCCTTGGTGTAATCAATTATAACAGGTTACGTACCTTGACGTCGACAATTCCTCAGTCGAACTTCAGTTGACTAGTTTCCACTACTAAGTAGTAAGTAGTCATTTTCAAAACGGAACGTTAAAAAATTTCATTCATTGAATGTCGTCAAATCTTCTTAAATGCACTTCAGTGATGTGTGCCGGCTGGCCAACTATGTTAAATGTCTACCGTGTTCGTGTTGTGTTTGTGTTAATTGTATTTAAGAAGATTTGACGACATTCAATGAATGAAATATTTTAACGCTCCGTTTTGAAAATGATTGAAGTGATTCGAGTTTTGATAGATTTAAGTCTTCTACAGAAGTACAAATATACAAAAAATAACTGTGGGACACAATCCCTGTCGTAGAATATCCGCAGTACTATCCTGAAAATTAGACCAATTTGTATATATACCAAGGCAAAAATGTGGTTCGGATTCCACTATAAAACTGTAGGTCCCTTAGTTGCCATTAGCTGTGTGGGCTATTAATTAACAGCTGTGTCTAAGGAATAAGTCGGCCTTAGTCACTAACAAGACTACAAGATCGCACCACTCATCCTACACTCATCTCCATTCATACTTAGCTTAAAATACCTACTTTGAATGGTCGCCATTTCATTGAAAAGTATTAAAGTATTAAGGTAGGTACTCTCATTAGTTCAATATTTATAAAAATACCCTTATTTAGGAAAGAATGGCGTCCCCAAGGATATGATCCCGGAACAGACGAGCCATTACATAGCTTCCCAGGAACATACGAAGAGCTGTTGCAAATATTTAAAACCTACAACCAAAAGTTTGATTATGTGTCCGAACCCTTGACACACGCTACCAATCTGTTTTACGACCCTAACTACGATGAAAGCAAACCACTAGTGATGGTCACTCACCCTATTGCAATTGGTGACTCAACCTTCATTGCTATGGTCATTGCAGGTAAGAAGCTATATATTTTGCCCATACAACAATGATTATTGAGTTCTTTCGCACCCCGATTTCTTTCGTTGTTGGAAGCCTTACGTTGTTTCTTTGCTTTCTTTGGGGGTTCTCCCTATAAGCTACTTGAAATTTATGATTTTTCAAAGTCGCCCTAGAGATTTTCTTTAATTGTCCAAGAAACAAAAGTGATTCCTGAAGAAATGTTGGAAAGAGTACCTATTCAATGGCATTTTTAAGTGACTGAAAAGGAATGTCAAATAGGACAAGAACGTCACTTGAAGGATTTTGTTTTCAAGAAATGGAAAAAATACTTTGTTAAGTTAAAATGACAAAAGATAAGCTGTGTTTTGATGTGATATTTATATGCATAGGGTAAATAGTATTTATTTTGTACTATTTATAAATTGGGGCACTTTCATTTCCTCACCCTGTAGCTTTTTATCGGCTATTAAATCTAGAATTTACGCAGGTAATTCCATATAATGTTAAATATACCAAAAAGTAAACGCAAGCACAGTAAACTCTGTTGGTTTTTGCAGGGCTAGCGATAAGAAATCTTCAGAAGCATTACAATGTGTTTGCAATGCATGCTCCAATGCTCAGTGTTCAGATACAAACTAGCTGTGCAAGAGTGGCACTTGGTCTTGACCCGATGTTAAAGGTGATTCAAGACTGTGTTATGAAGTAAGAGTAGAGTGTAAAGTAGAAAATCTTACTAATTATTACAATAACAAATAATTCTTCAAATATAGTCGAGTGCCCTCCCTCAATGTCACAGACAAACCTTATTTGGTTAATGAATTGTGATCAGCAAATTATATAAATGGGCTTCTTGTTTCCAAAGATTAGCATTTAGGGGTTTGAAGTACTACCTTGTTTAAGTGTGTAACCCAAAAAAGGGCTTTTAAATGATATTTTGTTAGAAAATCCACTCTTATCGTAGTTAAGATTTTTTAGATACATTAGTTTAAGATGCTTCTAAGCCAAGAAGGTTTATCAAAATTTTACAATAATTTCAACTGGCAACTGCTGATTGCTAGAAATGTACAGTTTATATTGTAAAATTTGATTATTGCAGACATTTTCCATCACTGAATAGTAAAACATAAGTTTAAAGACTTTTTGGACAATAGAATATTTAGGTGGGAAGGAACTTATAGCACAAGAGCATTAGTACACAAACGGAACAAGGCTGGAGAGACAGTATGTGATTCTATCAAGTGTAAATTGCTTGAAAGTAGAAGAGATTGAGATGCTGATTGGTGATTACATCTGTCATTTTTATTGTAGCATGCTGCAATGCACCCTTGTGGAGCCAGTCACATTGGGCGATTCTCCTCATTTTCACATGAGATTCATATTTTACAAGTAAAGTTCTCATTTCTTTCACTTTGTCAACTTCATGTCAAATTTTTGTTGTTTCCATTACTCCAACCATTACTATTAAATAACTCACCACTTTATACTTACCTCATTACTTTCACTTGGTGGCATATATGTTGTTCAATACCCACTATGCTATCATAGAAGTATAACAGTCTGGCTATAACTCATGCAACAATATTGCATAGGATAGAAACGTTGTCAAGTCCAACGGACGGAAGCCACATCCAAGAGAATCACATAGTGTGTTCCCAGCCAAAGATTTGTGAAGTTTTAAAATTTGTGTATGCTTTAATCACATATTAGTTTCAGCTACCATATTATTTTTCTCCTGCTGCATTGTTTCTGTACTAAATTTTATTGAGGGTTCTTTCCTACCTTAAGAGGGTCAGATTTTAGATACCTAGACGCTGTGAAAGTTCTGTTTTACTAATTTAATGATGGGTTTAATAATACCAAACAATCCCTTAAACAACACTACTGCTGTTTCATCAAAGATACAGATTCCTATAGGGTATACAAGTGTAATTTCCTGACGATGTTTGTACTTCTTCTAGCCAGTGGCAGAAGCTTTTGCGTCCTTCATGCTGGAGGGAATCAAACTTGGGAAACTGACTCCAAGCCAGATCAACTTCATCGGCTTCAGCTACTCGGCTACTCTCAACGCTTACATTGCCCGGGAGATACGAGACAACACAGGACTGCTTGCCCACACTCTCCTGAGTAGGGAAATTAACTTATGGAATATTTTTTTGTAGTGTCTAGACAAATTGATCATTTGTTTATCCACAAACATTTTGAGGTCTTTTGTTAGACCCAAGCAGCTCCAATATATTCTAAACTAAAATATTTACTTTTGCTGTAATAACTTCACTCATTCAGTACCAGTGGCGTAAATAAGGGGGGTGATCAGGGTGATCAATCACCCCCCAAAGACTAATAAAAAATAAAAAAATACAAACTAAAAATAAATATCATTTAAATGTTTTTGAATAATGTACTGCTGTTTCAACAAATTACCGTTAAGCGTGTATATGCTAAGAAAATTATTAACTAAAACTTAACAATTTTAAATTTAAATTAACAAAAGGAAAGGAAGTAGCAATAGCTACAAGTTGTGCGCTTGCGTTCTAGTTAGTCCTGGATTGCCTATGCCGTTGGACTCACACATAAACACTTCCCGATCGTAACACCCCCACCACCGCGCCGTACCGATGGCGTAGACGCGCAGTGCGCTGTTGACGGGTGGGGGAGGGTTGAGGAGGAGGAGGGGCACGTGTTTCTAAAAATAACTCACCCCACCCCACCCTGACACCCACGGGCCACGACTCCGTAGTCGTAGTCCGTTAACTCCGTTCCACTAATCAGTGTGTTATTGAGCTGTTATTTAGTAGTCGATTTTTCAGTATTTTTAGCGATTGTGCATTAGTTCTGGTTCTGTGTATTAAGATGTTTAAGTGAAGTGAATCAATTAGCCTATCTGTATTTGTTTAAACCACAATATGTCGGCCAAAAAAAAGGGCCAGTGTCTAATAACGGACCTATTCAAAACCAGAAAATTGGACGACTGTTCCCCTCCTGAACCTCTTAATTCGGTCCAACCTCAACTGTCGTCAATAAGTTCATCACCCTCAGTTTAACTAGACTGGTTTTTACCTCAGACCTCAGGCACTGAAACTGAGCACAAAACATTTAACCAAATTAATTTAAAAATCAATAATAAAAAAGTTAATTTTTGCGGTCGAATGGCGAGTATCTTAAGTCAATGGTACAGGTCGCCGGGTGCCATTTTACCGACAGCTAAATGGCAAACTGTACTCGCCGAAAAATGGGGGAAAATTTCAAAGTGTATTTCAAGTTTTGAATTCAAGAGTGTATATTTTAAAATTGTTAATCAATTAATTAGCCTATGTGTATTTGTTTTAATCTTGCTGAACGATGTTGGTCAAAAGAAAGGACCAGTTTTTAATATTGGACATGTTTAAAACCAGGAAATTAGATGACTGTTCTGTTCTCCTCCTGTACATGCAAATGAGCATGTTAATTCTGTTCAACTGTCTTTGGTAAGTTCATATGAACCTCAGAAGAGACAGCCTCAATTGGGTTGATTTTTGGAGTAATTTTGAACATGATTTCACCTCTGGAATGCTTAAAAAGGCGAGTTTGGAGTTTTAATTTTTCAAAATTTTCCGGGGGAGGACCCCCGTGCCCCCCGCTTTGCTGGGGGGTATTCCATACCCCCCGGACCCCCCGGTACACACGATGAGTGCAAGCTTGGTGCTCATCCATCCCCCCCCAAAGCCATGTTCTATTTACGCCACTGTTCAGTACTGATATGTTGAAAAACTTAGCTCCAGACAAAGGTCAGATATAGTCAACTAGCTGGTGCCAGACTTTTGGATATTTAAGTCAGCTGGTACCCACATCTAGTGAACTCTTGTTGACATACAGTTTCACTAAAGCCGCTCATTACCATGTAGTTTAGTTTACAGCTTGGTAGTATTTAGTCAGTCTACTTATTCAGTATTCTTAAAATATGCTGGTATCAAGGTGTGAGCTGCAATGTTTTATTTGGAGAATTTGTAGCTTTAATTTTGTTTTCAACACCTCAGCCATCTGTGTACATTTCCTCTAAGACACAGTTCAGAATTGGAGTCTAGTCCACTATTTGGTCAGTGAATGAACATTGTCAACTATTAATGTCGGTTGGTAGTTATATAAATGAATCTATTTTTCCAACCAACTACAGTATGGGGAGCGAGCTGGCGTAGTGGTTAGAGCGCGGGACTTCAGTCCCTGAGGTCCCGGGTTCGATCCCCGCCAAGTCACCAATGGATTTTATCTAAGTGATAATGCCGCAACCCCTAGGTCTAGCCTGAAGTAATGTGAAAAACAATCCCAGGCTCGTGCCTAGCGTCCTAGGACAAAAAAAAAAAACCAACTACAACAAGTAAAAATCAAATCAATACACTGAAAAAATATTCTAACCTATGTAGCAAAGAAGTCAAGAAGAAAATAAGGCAAAGAAGTAGGATTTCTGAAACCGTTAATGAGATATTTTTTCAGGTCTGGATGCATTTCAGTACAACCATGACAACCCTTACTTCAAGCCAGTTTCCAAGGAGGACGCCATGTTTGTACACATGTTTCATACCAGTGGCAAGTTGACTGGGACGCAGGCTCGCATTGGAACCGTGGACATTGTGATCAACAATGGCTACTTCCAGCCTGGCTGTGGCAAGCAAGTTAACAGTAAGTTTTAAACTCTGTTTTGATCAGTGGTGACTTCTCAGAAAACAAGACTTGATGTCCTGGTCTATCAGTTATTTTCCAAATATTTCTTTCAAAGCAAAATAAGATCAGGGATACTGGTACTTACATTTTATTTAAACGTTTGGAGCCTATTTTAAACGTTAAATGTATTTGCTTGTGTTTTCATTTTTGAGCTCATGATGTTTGTGTCTGTATAAATTCCACATGCCATAATGGTACTAAAAAAACTTGACCTGGGAGGCTGGACTGTCACATCATTGTTGTCACCTGTGATTGTGACAAATTATTACACTTTTGTTCTGAAAAAAAATTGTTTTGCACATATGCTGCATGGTGGAAGGAAAAAACATTAGGTGTGCTATTCCCACATATTCTGACGTCACTCGGATTGCAAACAAAAGATCACCTGATTGTAACTGTCAAATTAGTATATGTATTTGTTTTGATTTGGTTGTTATTGTTTTTATTATTATAAAAACAAATCAAAACAAGTACATACTCTAAGTAAATACTCTGACCCGACTAACCCTCTACTCATTGTGCATTTCAGAAGGAGTCGGCTGCAGTCATCGTAGGTCTGTTGCTGTGTTTCTGCTCAGTCTAGTAGCCACAGGCAGCGTAGTGGCCAGGAGGTGTGACAGTTGGGAAGACTTCAACCAATGTAAATGCTCCGACCCGGCTAACCCTCTGCTCGTCGTTTCTTTCCCAGTGAATGAAGAGTAAGTTAATCGGTTTCAGCATTATATATTTTTATCTCAGGGACTACTTTATACATCTGCCACGCTCTCCTGAAGAGGTAGTCTCTACACGACTACCAATTTCAAGGACCATACTAAACATAGATTGTAATGTAATTAACATGTTTTATGGAAGAAAATGAAATATTCTTTTACAAAGAAGAATCTATTTAAAAAATCATTGTATGATGAAACAAGATTAAGATAGATCAAATATGGTTTTCAACTGCCATAGGTTGATACTGAGACATTAAAAAATCCTGTACCAAGTAGATGCTCAATATATTTACCGTTTACCAATACTTTTTATTTTGTTTCCATGCTGTTGCCATTTTATAAAGTTTTTCAATCAAGTAACTTTCCAAATTCTGGTCTTTTGACTATCTAAAGTGGACCTTTTTGTTAGACAGCACCATTAAGTGATAGCACATTGACAATTGGCTTTTGGGTCCAGAAAGATATCACGCTTGGAATTGAACCAGCCATCTTCACTGAGCCTAGACTCATTATAAATTTTGTTATTTAATAATAACCTAGTTTTAGCTGTTAAATATTAAACATTGTAAGCATGTAAAAAATGAAAAAAGTAAAGCTTTTTTTAAATTTAAATTTAATTTACTTAAAGTACATACCTTTTAGCGAATTTCCCATATAGGGAATATTAGCGAATTTCCCATATAGGGAATAAGCTATTACCGTAGGTCTCATGGTAAGACCTGGACCCGGGACCGATTTAGTTTTTCGTTTTGAGGTCCCCAGAGGCCAAAAACACCATCCGTTCAAATTCATATATATATATATATTTATATATATATATATTTATATATATATTTATATATGTGTCCGTTAGCGCGATAACTCGAGCAAAACGGATCCGATTTTGATGAAATTTGGTATAAACGTGTAAACCTACATTTATTCGAACGAGTTCGCGAACCAGCATGATCGGACTATGGGAACAGGGGTTTATGGGGGGTTTTATGGGGTAAAAATGGGTTTTTCTAATTTTTCACCCTGAAAACATACAATTTTGCAATTTCTTTCTAAACCATTTTGTAGAGCTTAAAAAAACAAATAATTTAGTATATTGAAGCATTGTTGCATGAATAACGGTTACGGAAAAATTGCAAAATAATGTAAATTTAAAATTACCATGTTATTCTTATGGAGAATAAATACAGTGTTGTACCTTGCTTGTGTATGGACATATATTAATGAAATTTTGTTTACTTCATACTGAGCTATTAATATTTCAATAAAACCCCCCTATTTTCTTCCCTGTAGCAGTACTCATTAGTATTAATGATGTTTAAATAGGAAATAAATCTGACAATTTTAAGGGAACAATTTAGTGGAATTCCAGCTGTGTATATGGAAATTCGCTTAGTCTGCAGGTTTGCTGCGGCGGGGGTATTTTTACTTAGTTAATTTAAATATTAAATTGGGCTCTGGTCCAATAAATCATGGCATTATTGGATGGCAAATCTTTGTGATTTGAATTGGGGCTCCAAGCACCGGAGTCGAGTCCTGAGCTCTGAGCTACCCAACAGTGCTTATGTTCATACTTTATGAAAAAATTCAAACTGTGGATGGCTATAAATAGTATCATTGTAAGTGATATCAACAGAAATTTGTAGGTAAGTAATAGCACAGAAAACATACTACTATAACCCAAAATGCCAACCGCATGGTAAAAAGCATTAAGTACTTTGAGAGAGCTTTTCCTGTCAGTTCGTAGGCAGCGCCACCAGTGTTGCTGTACGTTTTCTGTGGTAATAGTCAAAAGTAGAACTCAGTACTTACTTACTCTTACTCCCATGGCCATTTTACTTCAAGTGGTACTTGGCCTCACCAACACACTGCCTCCACGTCGTCCTGTCTCTTGCGGTATCTTAATTGACTTCCATCCTGGCCATATCTTTCTTTAATTCATCCGTCCAGCATTTCCTTGATCTCCCTCGTGGTCTTCTCCCCAGTGGATCGCTTTTCCATATTTAATACAATGTTCTTGTTTCCTCTCTTCTAATGATGTGGCCCTTCCAGCGAAGACTCCTGCTTTTAGCCTCTGTGATTATATCTGGCTCCTTGAACAGGTCTTTTAGTTCCTAATTATGTTTAATTCTCCATACATCTCCTTCTTTAGGGCCATAGATTTTGCGTTGGTCTTTGTTTTCAAAAGTAATAGTTTTATCTCTGTATTTTTATCCATAACCCATAAGGACAGGTCTTGTGATAGTTTTGTAGATTTTAAGTTTAGTGTGATAAAACAATAATCTTGATGATAATAATTTGTTTAGAGCATACATACTTCTACTGGCTAGGTTAATTCTGTAATTTTTTCTATGTGTTCCTAACTTTGCGAGCTGACAATAAGTCCTAAATATTTAAAAGACTCAACTTGTTCATAAAGTTGTTCTATTTCTGTTATGTTCTCCTCGTTCTCTGCTCCCCTTCCAAATCTGACAAGTTTTCTTTTGTTGTCATTTATTTTCAGGCCCACTCAGAACTGAGGTCTTTTTGTATTTTTTCTAAGTGATTTTTATTTCAATTTTTGTTTCAGGGTAACTGGCACATTCTACGTAAGAACTAAGGGCATACTACCTTTTGTGCTATCATCCCAAGGAGCATACTGTGAGGCCGAAGCCAAAGTTCCTCACTTCTACAAAAAGTAATTTAATTAAAAGTGAGAAACAGTTGTTCATTTTCTAATAAAATTAATTTACCAAACCATATAACTTAGAGTAACCCTCTAACAAGTTTGTGCATTTATTTATCACAACAATTCCTCTCTATATCCTCAATTCCTCCCTTCCTTTGTCATTTAAATAATGACACACTACATAAGATGGTAAGCAATTACGTAGAATAATTTTGATCAATTAACATATGAATAAGTAATGTACCATAAACATTAATGCATTACAAAGTTCTAAAGCAAATCAAGATTAAACATTAATGTTGATTGTCTTTGATGGGGAAAATAAAGACAAAAATATGCTGAGGAATTGTTTAGGCTTTGTTTTGTAAGAGAAAACACTCAGCTTCCTTGTCATAAATTTCCTGAGCACCTTTAACAGTTTTATGTCCAGACAGAGTCGTAAAGCACCAGTTACTACAGCATTACCCCCGTAGTGCAGGTAATTTCTGTTATGTTGTGTGCCTGGTGTCTCCCCCAAGCAATTTTATACCGACGAGATTATATTTTATTAGGTTTAGATGTTTAACCTGTTGTTAAGATTAAGCACTATTTAACATAGCACTACATTTTTACAACTCTATATATAAAAAAAATGTTTAATCATCGGAAAAAATAAATTTGATAGTGCATTTGATCCTCTCAGGAAATTTTGATTTTTAATAGTGATTTTCCCATAAAAACCCAATTAACAGAAAAATCATTATTTTCTCGAAAATTGCCTGAACGATTTTGATTGAATTTCAATATGTTATAGCCCTTTAAACTCTGAACAAAATGGTATAACTCCCATTGCTATAAAACTTAAAGTTCAAAACGTATTATAACTTATGGTATTTTCCCAAGAAAAAAAACTCATTAAATAACAGAAAATCTGATTTTCTAAAAAAAGCCGGTTTTGGTTAAAATTAGTTTGCTATGGTCCTTAAAATTATTGTAAACAAAATAGTGCAACCCCCCATTGCTGTAAAAATTACGGTTCCAAAGTTATTGCAACTTTTGTGATTCCCTATTATAATAGTTCCTCCCATCTTTACGCATGATAAAGATTGTTGACAAGTTTATGAGAGAAAGTTTGTGCCAGATCGCTGAGACTTTATTTTTTTGCATTAATTTGAAATTCTTTAAATAAATTCAGTATATAGCCTATGAGTAATCCTAAAGTCCATGATATAACCTACCACACAAACCTGTAAATATTTTTTTCTATTGAATTTGTTATCAACTAGGGTGATGCAAATTGCTTCCTTTTCAATTCCCTATCCCCCTCACTATCTTGTTGATACAAACTTGAGTTGGAATGCAGAATGCAGCAGTCTGAGGGGGGTGAAGCATTCCACCCCACATAGTCTGGCAGGGGTGAAATGCAATGTGTGATGCACCCTTAAGTTGATAAGTGCTCTCATCTTGCAATATTGTGTTTCATGTTATGAGACATCTTGTATCAGCTCATAGCACAATTAATTGTTTTGATTTTTACTGTACTTTATTTCTTAAAAATCCCCTCCCTATAAATACAATATATTCTTGTTTAAATATGTCCTCAGGTTTATTGTTATTGACACAAGAAGCTTGTTTGTACCTTCACTACTTTGGAAAAGGCAAATTGGCTCAGTTGCAATACTAACCAACACAAGTAGACTTGTTTTCCCCATTGTAATATATATGAAAATTGTTTTTCGTGTCTAGTTCATGTTGGTTACACTGGGTGCTAGAGTGCACAATATTATGTTTATATTATTTAGGATTATTACTTTCTCCCCCTACATAGTAGGTATATATGGAGAAAGTATTGTTTTTGTCAAAATTTTGGAGTTTGAGTTTTTAGAGGATATATCCACTCATTAACAATTAAATTGGTAAACAGCTGATTAGTTCAAAGCATTACAATTTTACTTCTTCTCTCCCAATCCTTGAACCTCATTGGCCAGTTACCCTATGTTGTTATGTAAGTAAATAATGCTGTTATGAGAAACTTTTCAATTTTAAGAACTGAACTGAAACTAGTTAAAAAATCTGTTGTAGGTAAAATAATTCCACAATCGTCTAAAATATTGCGTGTTTATCGTAATGAAATCGTCTGCGGAGTCAAGGGACGCTGCAGTACAAGATCAATGTGGTGGGGAGGGAGAGGGGAGAATAACACACACCTGGGGGTACTTGTGTGTTTTCTTGTGTGCCCCCCCCCCCCACACACACACAGCCACCTGACACAATAGAGGCAATAAGACTCTACCCCACTTGTCTACGTATAGTTGACAAACTAATTAGGAAATAGCAAGTAAAATACCAAAACGTTGGTACATGAAAAGTTATTAGTGCTATCTAAAAATATTTATTATATTAATGTTTAGCACAATGATACTCTGATGCAGGAGGGACGGGTCCAATCCACGGTATATTCACAAACAACTAGGAGCTGTACCTATAACAACATTTCATTAAAAAGTGCCACTGGTGTAGTCGGTGAGAAATCAATTTTTCAGGAATCGGCGAAGACAGATCATCAATTAATGGTGTTTCAGATAGCAGATCCGGAAACTGCAGTGAATGAGCGGGGAGCGGACTGGCTGCCTCCCCCAACTCCCACCCCTCCATCGATCCCGTCGTCTAGCCAGCAGCCACCGCAGCCTGTCATGCGGATGTAGTAGCACCCATCAACATTACTACCGTACCCTTCCTTACTACCAGTTTACCGTTCAACGCTTGTTTTTATGCCTAGACTTTTGATGTAAGAAGTTTGGTAATTTCTTGGTTGGATTTGAATTTGCTTACTATTTAAAGTTTTCCAGATTTGGTATTGGATTTGTTCAGGGTATTTGGTTGGATTTCAGTTTGCTGAATTGTAGATTATGTTTTTAATTAGTTGTGTCTATATGAATCCATTAGGTTAGTTTTGATTTGTACCAGTTTGTTCACTTTTAGGCATTTAGAAAGGAATGTGACTTGTGTTTCGTAGTGTACGTCATTAAGTTCTAGAAGAACGTTAAACACTTCAAATCACTAATTTTGTTTCATGTAAATGCTACTGTTGTTTACGTCTTAATTACCACTGAGACCAATCTATGCTTACTTCCAAAAGCTTCACCTGAAAATACTGTGCAGCCCATGATTATAGGGAAGGAACAATGTATCAGTTCCCCCCACGTATGATCAGTTCAAATCTACCTTGGAGTAAACTCTCAACCCAATTAGTTCAGTTAGTAGTTCATTTGGAACAAAAATACAGACAGAGATACATACTTAAAGAAACCACCTCTTCTTTTTACGTAGTATTGGATAAATATAAATACACGATGAAACTAATCAATAACATCTTTGTGGTGGTTTTTAATCCTTTCCCATAGCAACAGTTAATCTCAACAACACCAAATACGAATTGTTTTTCCAGTTGTTAGTAGACTCACGTAGGAATCCGGCACTTTGCCAAGCTCCCCTCATAGTTTTGATTTTACTTCACATTGAGTGTAAGCAGTCTTCAGGTGACACCTTATCAGTAAGTTTGACACGAAGCATCATTCAAGGACAGAGCGTGTGCATGATGCTCTACAACACTTATCGACTGGTCTCGTGTCTAGGTGGGAATGAAGCACCCTTGACTCCCTCCAGTCCTAGAAACATAACTACCCCCTTGGGTATACTGTGCAATAAGTGCATTCTGAGTGTTTGGTAAAAAGTTGAAAAATAAAATCAAAACTTTTGCACGTTGGATACTGGGAAGGTAAAAGCACTTTCCCAGTATCACACACTTAGCATCAATTATGTCTGGGTTCCTTTAAAAATCCAATAGGAATATCTTTGAACTATCTTTTACAATTTTAACTGCATATAATTATTTAATCACATTCTTGGGTAGATTTATTGAACAAAACTAAGAAATATCTTTATTCATAATAACATTGAATCTCAGATTTTCATGAAGACTACATTTTTTATAAACTTTATAATTAATATACACAATGTAGCCACCATTTGACCGTCGTGTCACTTTGTCGACATACCAGTTGACCGTCGTGTCACTTTGTCTACATACCAGTTGACCGTCGAGTCACTTTGTCTACATACCAGTTGACCGTCGTGTCACTTTGTCGACATACCAGTTGAACGATACACATTGGTCTGATCGCTGTTACCCTTATTTACCGATAAATCTTGGAACAGTGATAGCGTGATTAACTTATAAACGTTTAGAGCTAATATTAGAATTATTATGTAACTTGCTTAAAACCCTCCTACAACTACTTACTAAACAATTAATTAATACAGACAAACAGTTGTAATAAATGACTTAGTACAAATGTCGATATTTCGTATAGCAAATTTTTGACTGCGATATTTCTAAGATTATCTGCAGGAGTCGAGGCTAAATGGAGTTACGGGAAGCGTGAAAATTTATAGCATCAAGGTCTTGCCCGGGCGACCCGCACTCCCCGCACTGCGGACAACACACTCCATCTCTACTCAATACAAGCCGTAACCTATATACTGTACAGATATATTGCCATATATTGACATGTATAAATGTTAGCTTCAAACTGCTTTACTGTACAAAACTTTTAAGTTAAATTTTCTACTGGCAAAATATAACTAAAACTTTTTAAATATCATAAATGGTAGCTGAAAATACTTTAAAATGCTAGATAGTAATAGATAAATCTATAGATCAATAACTTGAAGACATGTAATGTATAAACTAACAATTTTGGTAATACTTCTGGGCATGATCTAGCAGCTAATTCTCCAGTTGTTTCAATAGCAAAACTGTACCAGTTTTTGTTTAAACTTTCACCACTGTAATACTTTTATATTTAATGTTATTTAAATCCAGCACAAACAAGGAGTTGATTTTAAACCCCTTATCTATAAATTTCATAAACCTTTAATACATTTTAGAAAGTGTTAACAAGAAATATCACAGCGATACAGAAACAACAGCATACGAAGTAAATCGACAGAATGCACTTTATTGAATCACGTGGTAGTGGGTTTGTGTATGTGTGTGTGAGGGGGAGGGAGAGAGAGAGAGAAAGAGAGATAGTTAAGGGTGCTCCACTCCTCCTAGACAAGTTGATAAGTACTCCATTATTTCCACGTGCATCGTCGTCACGATATGTCCTTGAGTGATTCTTGTTTTTTCAATACCCGCAATATGTTATTGGTGTTTGTAATTTAATCGTCTAATCAGACTCAATTTGTTAACCAGTTAAAACTTTGTGAACCTAAAGAAAGACAATTCAGGTGCAAAGCCCTCTTAAGAAAAGAAGTAAAGTTTACAGTTAATTTAAAATTTGTATTATCTAAGTGATAATGCCGCAACCCCTAGGACTAGCCTTGAGGAAAACCATCCCGGGCTCGTGCATAGCGTCATAGAAAAAAAAATAAACTGACATACATAATCAAATGTGTGTGTCTAACTGCATGTTTGTCCTTAAAACGCTTTACATAATAAACCAAAAATAAATTTCCACGAAAATTGTAAAAACGTTTCAATAACTTCATTTCATAAATGATACTTTCGATAGATATTTTTTGTCAACCATTAATTTATTTACAGTTATAACAGTTCATTTATGTCCATAAAAAGAACTGCTTGCTTTACACAAACTTAAAAAAGATTAAATAAATGTACGTGAGTATAAAGCTTTGTATGTATTCAGGATGTCAGGCAAATCAACCATTGTGATGTGTATTGTTAAGTATTCTATTGATATATTTTGCTTTTAGTCTGTCTCCAAGACATATACAGTTTTGACATTCAATATGTGTGCCATTGGTCTGGCTCCAACACATGTTTTGGGATTTTAGAATATTAACATGTGATTTGTATTACTGTTGGTTTTTGAAGTTCTGTGTTGATGTTGAAGAATAAATATTACTCAATTATTTTTACTTTTAATTACTTTTATAAATTTCTCTCTATCAAAGTATTTAACAAAATTTTCCTCTTCTAACTATAAATTTAAATATCTAACCTCAAGACACATCGAACTTACAAAGGAGAAAATAGTTCAAGGTAAAATCTCTTCCTATTTGTTACTACTCAAGTCTGATGCTAAGTTTTATTCTAACTACTTTGAGGCTCTCCTCTCTGATCAATTCATAGTCAAAGTGAGATATTTAAGATATTTACTATTTAATTACACCATTTTAAGTTTTGTTGAAGGCAGTTTAAGTTTACATTTAACATTTCAAGAATACCCATTTTCTGTTATTTACTTATATCCTATAGGCTATATAATCATGTTTTTTTTTATGAAACGTGGTAGTCCCGTCTAAAGGTCAATAAAATAAATAATGTTAATCTTTCAAACAACGCATTCGTTTAATACGGTTGAATGTTATCCTTACAAATCATTTGAAAGAACCCCATATGTTGCTCCACAAATTTAATAAATACTGCGACCAGTTAACAAGCTTACAGGCTTTTTCCCTTCTCTGTAACAATGTTTTCCCTCGATTCCGGACGTTGGATCAATGCCAGCAGGGGGGGGGGGGGCAGGATGCAGAGGGTTCGGCCCGGACAGAGGTCGAAGAAGGGGTGAATATTGTTTTAACGGGTTGTTTGAACGTTTGGAAATTAAAGTTTTGCTGTTGAAAACCTCTGCCTGGTGAGACTATTTGAGTGTCAACCTATTCACAATAGAGATAGTTATGAAAAGAAGATAATTAAAAGATTCTCATGAAAATAGATAGAGGTACAAAACGTATTATCTTCAAACACGTATTTAGCTGGCACAACTTATTGCTAGAGGTAGAATTGTTGATAAAAGAAATGTTACTTCCTTGGAAAACTTTGTAAAAGATCTCACAGCACCTTGTACTGCAGAACTGTCAGGCATTTAACGAAAACTGCTCAGGGAATTGACAAGATATATAATTGATGCGCAAGGTATGTTTGATGATCAGACCCAGAATGGATCTTATAGCAGCATGTACTGCAGTGTAGTTCAAGTGCAGTAGTGATTACTACACAGGGACGAAGTGACACAATGTATATTTGATGATCAGACCCAGAATTGATATTATAGCAGCATGTACTGCAGTGTAGTTCAAGTGAAGTAGTGATTACTACACAGGGACGAAGTGACACAATGTATATTTGATGATCAGACCCAGAATTGATATTATAGCAGCATGTACTGCAGTGTAGTTCAAGTGAAGTAGTGATTACTACACAGGGACGAAGTGACACAATGTATATTTGTTGATCAGACCCAGAATAGATCTTATAGCAGCATGTACTGCAGTGTAGTTCAAGTGCAGTGGTGATTATTACACAGGGACGAAGTGACACAATGTATATTTGTTGATCAGACCCAGAATAGATCTTATAGCAGCATGTACTGCAGTGTAGTTCAAGTGCAGTAGTGATTACTACACAGGGACGAAGTGACACAATGTATATTTGATGATCAGACCCAGAATTAATATTATAGCAGGATGTACTGCAGTGTAGTTCAAGTGCAGTAGTGATTACTACACAGGGACGAAGTGACACAATGTATATTTGATGATCAGACCCAGAATTGATATTATAGCAGCAT